AGAATAATCAGATTTAGATGTGAGTTGCTATTGCAGGCCTTAAGCCTCAGGGTTGAATCATGTGACCTTCTAATCGGAGCCATGTGGGATTATCGCGGAGGTCGCAACTGCTGTCCTTATCCACGGATCTCCTCGCTCAGAAGCAGCTCACGACGCGGTCGAACATCGATTTGAATTACATTCGAGATCAATCACGGACCCGTATATAGCCAATTCTGTCTCACCCGACCCGGAACCTGCGAAAATACTGGCGCATGCACTTCCCACTCTATTGATACCCACCTGTTCCTCGATTGCCCTCCGATGCGATTGCGAACCCATTCTACCCAGAATTGATTATACGGTGCCCTTTTTGAGTACCGCAGGTACCGAGACCTGTGACAATGGCGGAAGGAGAGCCTTCCTACATTGATTATGAGGCTTTCCTCGACCCCGACTTCTCGCCAGCCGGCTTCGCCAACACACTCGTGCTAAGCACCAACAATGCTACCGATACACCCCTGGACCTATCGACGCCACTATCACGAGTTCTTTTTGATCTCCAAGAGATTGACACCCATATTCATGCGCTGACCACAAAATCAGCACTTCCACTGCTCTCCCATACACAAGGTCAAACGGCCGCCGCAGAACGTATCTTGCAAGAGACAGGGACACAGATTGCCTCCGTGACCCATGGATACGAGCGATTGGAGAAAGAAGTTATTGAAAAATGGAAGGCTGCTGAAGAGGCTCGAATCGCGGCTGAAAAGTCATTGGCTACAGTCCGATTGGCACGAGCCGTTGCGCGCTGTTTGTCCCTAGGCCGACAGCTTGAAAGTCAACTCGCCGGGATCACAGGTCGGGGCTCGGCAGGACAGAATGCGACAGCAGGATCTGACGACAATACGACCGCAAGAGAAGGTTTCCGAGCACTGGAGCGCGCAGCCTACACAGTCTTAAGTTTGCGGCAGATGTTCTCTGCCACATCAGATGAGGATGAGGGCTATGGACTTGATCGGGTGAAGGTCACCCGAACCTTGCGCAACGAATACGTGATTCCCGCCGAGAACATGATCAAATCTAGGGCGCAGCAGACCATCAACCGATTTTCATTATCCGGTCAGGCCAATGGCCAGTCCGGGCCCTTGAGCTACAAACAAGCTCGTGACGCTCGATCGCGACTGGCCACCGCAGCAGCTACTTTATATCTTCTGTCGCCTATTCCTAGAGGCGAAACCACGGTGTCCGACTTCAAACCCGAGCTTCTTCTCTCGACACTACAAGGATACATGCACACAGCCATCATGACCTCTGTCAACTCACTTGCTAGAGCTCTGTCCCAGCTTCCCACCATGGACCGCACGCTTGCCGATGTCTCTGCCCGATGCCAGGATATTGTTGCTTTCGAGTCTATCTTAAGAAACCTCCGATCCCCATCCCACCCTCTCTTGTCGGCTGAGCAGCCTACCGATTGCGAGACACCAACCAAAATGAACCTCTTACAACCACTTCAACAAGCGCTGGACACGTCTTCGCTACCGTCATACTATTGGCGCACGATCGCCTCTTCCCTCTCTCCACGTGTCCAGGAGATTATGAGTCGCGGTGGTGTGTCTGCACGTACGCTCCGATCCAATCGCGATAGACTCAAGTCCGAGATCAAGGAATGCGTGATGCGTGCATCCAACGTGTCTACCAGCAGCTTACTAGCTGAAAAGGGACGCCTAGGGACCGACACCGTCAACGTGGGCAACTGGGAACGAGAAGCAGCAGTCATGGTCAGCTCAGTTGTTGGGCCGCTGGGGCGGTAAAAGCATAGCATAGCATAGCATGTTGTTTTCCCTACAGGCGACCCGCAGCGCGAGAAGTCGGTTTGTTTTTACGAGGAAACCCTATCTAGCACATAGACCTAATTCGAGCACACCTTTGGACCGATCCACGATCCACGATCCACGATCTACATGCGCACGCACCACGGGCCAACTACCCCAGGAATGTAGGCACCCATGTTTTCCAGGAACCTGGCAGGAGGAAGGGGACGGTACCTTGGATCGAAGCTCACAGTGACACCACTAGCCAACACTCCAAGTAAAACCACGACCAAAACCAAAACCAAAACCAAATGCCTCCGAACTCGGGGATTTACGATGGTCAGATGACCCCTGCACGATGCACCTCTTTCCAGGCATTGGGTTGCGAAGAGGGCTGGGGACCGCGCGCACACTGCAGCTCCGGGTTGCCTTGGACGAGGGTACAATACACTTTCGCTGAAGGTGGCCAATAAGGACATCGAACCTGGCGAGGACTCAGCGATATCACATGTGCCGTGCACAGTGGCAGTGCTGATACGGTCGGAAATGCCCCGAATAGCCTCATAATCGGCGTACGTGGCCGGGGGGTCCAGGTACGCACAACTCACGACACAGTCAGGTACATGGATCCTCCCGGGAGATGCAGCGCGACAGCTGGTGATTGGTGTTGGGAGATCAGAAAGTGCAAGAGACCTGTCATCTGCCGCCCTGACCGCTTCAAAGGCAAAGAACAGACCGGAGGGACAGTGATCGACTGGAGCTTCTTTTCTTATCCCCAAACAGACCCATGGAATCCACCCATTTATGTACTGTCGATGCGGATCCCCTCCCGTCGCCAGTCAGGTTCGGAGAATTCAAGTCGTCGACGTCACCAGGGAACCGTGAGTCATGTTTATCGATAAGCCCTGCAGACGGTACCTGGCGCTACCTGGCCGTGCGCCCACTTGGCCTCGCGGTGGCGCCCTGCATTTTGTACCTACAGGTACCCGGCCCTTACAGCTGAGGGGTTGTCTAGTACGAAAAGATGTATACGTGTGGATCCAATCAAGTTCTTCGGTCGGTTCCTCCCCTGTCCGAGGGGGGGCAAAGCGTTTTGATGATCGTTCCAATCCTGCCGAGTTCCAACTTGATCCACGGCTGGGCACCGGGGTCTCAGCGTGCGTGTTTCCCGAACTTCTCACCAATCGCGTTGCTACGGTATTGAACTCCGGAGGGTGTGGGGGGGGAGGGGGCAGACGAGAGAGAGAGAGCATGGGGAAAGTGCAGCACATCATCTGGAGATCGGGTGGCGTCACGTTTCTGTTATATGAACTTTGAACTGGCTCGAGCAGAAAGGCGCATGATTTCGCCAGACAGGAATTTGCAGGAATTTAGAGTACATTAAAGTACTCTTGTACCGTGGGATATATGAATCACCGTCATGCGAGTACTGTACAATGCAGCCCAAGGTTTTCGTACAACGGGCTGGGACCCGCCGATCATCAGTGTCCCGCATTTCCGTTTGCAGATAAGAAGAGGGGGGTTGGAGAAGTGGGAAGCAAGTTGCAAAGTTGCAAAGTTGCAAAGTTGCGGGTTGAAAGTTTACACCAAGCTCGACGCAGGCACAGTGATCGGCCAGTCGGTCCCAGCCGGGCCCTGAAGGTTTGGGGATTCACGGTCGAGTGTAGTTTGTCCCATCTTTCAATAATTCCAGTTGACCGGAATTAAAGTGTCATGTCGCTGCGATAAGAGCCCCGCACCTCTATACTTAGCATGTAGAAGTACATAGGGTAGGGTCAGTGCCCAGATCGTACCTCAGAGGCTCGAGCTTGAGCTCGAGCTTCCAAGACCAGGGGCAAAACAAAAAAAAAAAGGGAATAGAAACCAGAGAATACGAAGCACGGAGATTTTTTTTTTTTCTGACAGAGCGGACCGTTCGGAATCGCCAGACCCTTACCGCGTAACCACACCAAGAGACGATCTGTAGAGAGAGAGTATGACGGAGACCCCTCCAATACTCAGCGAACCCTGCGATGATACATCCACGCGGATGCAAGGGGGTCGCATGGAGAAAACAGGCGAGAGTGCAAAGGTCGAGACCGTCTCGACCGATCTGCTTCTCCAGAAGAACCAAACTTGAGGGCATGTTGGCGGGGCCAGGACCAGCTGGGCCTGGATATGGGTCATCGTTCCTTTGGGTCTGGCAGGTGGTGAACGTCAAAGACTCCCAAGGCCTGGAGGTACGAGGTCTAGGACCCTGGTGCACAGGGTGGCGGAGGCGCTATGAATCATCGGGGAGGTGCCTGGTACCTTCACGGCGTGGGTGGTGGTTGGAGGATAAGATGGAAATGGAGACCATTTCCTCCCGCTCCTGGTCTAGCGTTCGTGGAGTTGCCAAAGTTCCCACAGTTCCTGGGATTGGTAGCAGATGGTCTGGAACTCGCGCCCGACACGCGGTTATAGTCGCATTGCGATCTGGTGAAACACTCGATGATTCGCATCGGTAGCCCCGGAAAGCACTGGAGAAGTTCCTGGGATCTTCAACATTGCCCCTCGCTTCCGATAAGCCTTTGCTTTCTCGTCGTCACCATTCTCTTATGCTCTTACCTTTCTTACTTCTGGTTCCCTACGGAGGTCTTTTTTTCCTTTTCTTTTTTTACCTTTACCCTTGAACCCTTCATCTACACCGGTCGGACATATCACCTTTCTCTCTCCCTCCCTCCCTCACTCTCGTGTCAAGTATAACCAGGCACAACCTGAAACATTTTGAACGATCGGGTCCCACCATCGCGATCTATGGCCATTTGAGATGCTCGCGATCGCCTAACTCTCTTTCTCCTTCTCTTTTCCCCTTTCCTCCCACATTTTCTCTTTCTTCTTCACCCTTGCGTCGCCTTGGACTTGGAAAGCATTCCATATCCAACCCCCCTCTCCAACCCCCCGCCCCCTCCTCTCTCTAGTACGTTTCGAAACACTCTTTGTTCCAGTAGTCTTATACTAAGGTTTTTGCGCGAATGTTCAGTCAGTGCTATCCGACTTCGTGTCTCACTCCCCGAGCTCTCCGGCGTAGCGCTGCGGCTTTTACACGCCTTCGAGTATAGAATACCGGAATATAGTGACTTGGATCGGGTTGCCGGCTTTGCGACCGGAGGAGAGTGGTTTTCGCCCCCTCCGGAATTTCGAGAGAGACCCTCGACATCACACCCGCATCCACCGCTGACGCCCACCATGGCCTCCTTCCTCCCCGTCAACACCTCTTCCCCCGAGGACCACGCCATGGACGGTGCGACGACTCCTCGTGCCAACCCTAATGGGGTGCCGGTCACCCCGGAACATTCTTCCATCGCAGATTCACGCCCGGACGCCTCCAACGAAGGCCTGTCGCGGGCCCCGTCCTCTGGTCACGCCAGGAACACCTCATCGTCTGACGACCACATGCATGATGACTCCGAAGGAGATAACGATACCGACCACGAGGGCGAGCCGGGCAGTGCGCCGCCGTCGAAGAAGAAGAAGGGTCAACGCTTCTTCTGCACGGATTTTCCTCCCTGCAGCCTGAGTTTCACTCGCAGTGAACACCTCGCCCGACACATTCGCAAACATACTGGCGAGCGCCCTTTTCAATGTCATTGCTCGCGCCGCTTCTCCCGACTCGATAACTTGCGGCAGCATGCCCAAACCGTGCATGTGAATGAAGAGATCCCCGGTGATTCGTTGGCGGCGACGGGTACTCGATTCCAACGCCAGGTGCGTACGGATCGTGTACGCCCACCCGGCCGTGCTCGAGCAGGTACAGGAGGCAGTGCGGGCGGTCACAGCCGTGGCCACAGTAGAAATCTGTCGACCTCAAGTATCACATCCACAGCATCTACCTTCAGCCAACCCCCGGAACTTCGGCGACGACCCCCGCCCCTCATGATGGCCAACGACCCAACGGCCCGAGCTCGCTTAGGGCTGGATCCGATGGGAGAGCCTCCGAGTACGCCGCCAGGCCAGATTCGTGGCATTCCTGGGGCGGCTCAATCGCCATACACCCCGTCCAATGTCTTCTCAGCCGGCCCGGGTGCCAGCCCGCAATATGCCTCTCCCATGTCCTCTGTATCCCATGGTTTCTGGGAGGGTAGGACCGCCGCTCGTCGTCTTTCCGTCCCCACCAGCAGCAACCCATTCGTCCCGCAGCCCGGCAGCGCATATCCTCCAGCATATGTCAACGCGCCCGCTGGACCCCCGTACCCGCCGAGCGCGGCCGGTGTCTTTGCGAGCCCTACTAGCAGTAACTACCCCTCGTCTCGTGACGAAAATGCCATCAGCGCAGCCGAGGCAGAAATGCGGAGACGAACATGGCATCCTTCAACATATCCTGCATTTGGCCGGCCAGGAACCAGTGGCCTAAGCCAATTCCATACCCCCGACACCGTCCAGGCACCGATCAGTGGAAACAACAACAACTCTGAACATCAAACCCGACTCCCTGGAATTGAAAGTTTCGATAAAGTTGTTTCTCAACAACGACCTTTGACTCCACCGACCCGCAAGGCGAGCCCTATGCAAATCGATAGTCACCATCGACATCCTCCAGGCCATGGCTTTGGACCTGGCTACAACTATAACCAACCGTCGGTGCGCCCGGCGCCTCCAATTTCCGGACCTGGTCACCGTCGAGGTCATGTTTCTTGGGACATGTCTCTGCATCACAATCTTACAGGTCTTGACATCCGAGATCGACGAGCTTCCCGTGATGCATCCCAATGGAGCCAGCAGACCATTGCAGAGCTCCAAAATGTTTCCTCTCGGCCCTCTTCCTCGTACCAGCCAGCTTTTGGTCCTACGGCGGAGAGAAGCCCCGAGGAAAACCGTGGTCACGCACCCAGTCTTTCGACTAGCAGTCGGCCAAACCACACATCCCCGGAAGACTCGAGCAGCAGTGAGGGCGTTCACACTCCATCCACGGCATCCGTTGAGTACCACCCAGCGATTGTGCACAGCAGCGGGTATATTGAATCGAATGATTCTTCGCTGCCATCCGACCATCCTCAGCCGGTAGGAACCCCTCTTCGAACGGACGGCTCTCGCCTCGGATACTAATCGCCGTCATAGATCTGTGATCGACAATCTCCTCACACCGACGGCTACCCGGGTCACGCTGAGCGAGAGCCCCGAACTGGTGTCTTCTCCGACTCGTCCGCACGGGAATCCGGTATGGGCCGGTTGGAGGCCCTGGTGGCCGTCGCGACGAGCGAGAACAAAGGAGCAGCCAAGCTGTTCCTGTAAATTGGATCATCCTACATTCTTCTGTGCCTCGACATTCTTTCTGTCCATTCACACATTCATGGACATTCTCATCTTCCTATCTCTCTCCCTTGATGAATTGACGACTTGATGACTTATACATGATGGAAATCTCCTTTCTCCTTCAGATGTTCGGGAGTTTTGTTTATTGGGTCAATGGATTTCCGGTTCCTTGCATGCCCTGGCGTTCGTGCGGAAGCTATGGATGGTGGTGTGTGCATGATGATACTCCAGCCTGGATTTGGTCCGGGCTGTCTGCGATCGTGGTGTGGCTTCGATCACTCTTTGCTTGGCCGTATGTTTCAGTCTTTGGGAGGACATGTGTCTACAGTTCCGTTGTGTCTTATTATACTTTTTTATGATGGTCGATTATGTGCCTACGGACTTTTGATGATCGTTATACGCAATATGACTGATGAATTTCATTGTGCGTTTTGTGTTGTAAGACCCCTAGTGTAGCTGAGACGATCTCCAACCCGAGCGTTTTACCCCGCATGGACGAGGATCCCCCATTCCCGAACTCCCGCACGAGTTCGCCCCAGACTACATTAACAGAGAGGGTCCGATCCCATGGAAGAATCCTACGAGTGTAGAATCCCCAAGTTTCAAAACCGTGGTTGGGACGATAGCAAGCGGAAACGGGTTCGATGACCAGCCGGTGACGTCGATAGGGGAGCATTAGACCAGTCTAGTGCCGAGCTAAAAAGCGTCCCCGACTCTGGCATCAATTCGCTCCAAGCAGCCCGTAGAGCGTGAAGTAGAGGTCAACGAGGCTAGAAATAGACCGTAAATAATTATGTACACATTTCCCCTTTTTTCTTGTTTCCCGTAACCCCATTCCAAGCATGCCAGCCACCGACAGGCCAAACGAGGTTCTAGCCGCAGCACATGCAGGGCCCGAGTCGAACAATCCGGGCATAGACGTCATAGTCCGGTGACGGCGACTGACACTATAAAAGCAAGGACTCCCAATCCTGACAGGCACACACTCCAATCACCCTCTACCTTACTTTACATCACATATTTCACCATGTCGAAGAGCCGAATGCCCCTTTACCTTGGCCTCGCCGCTGCCGGCGCAGGTGGTTACTACATGTACCGCGCAGGCGGCGATGTCGACGGTGCCAAGAAGGCAATGAAGAGTGCGTTTCGTCTCCTCACAGTCTCCAAGTCCCGCAAGTCCCGCTAACACATTCCAGTTGACGCCGAGAAGGCTCGCGAGAAGTTGCCCTCCCCGAACGATGCCGAGAAGGCCGGTGCCAACTACGGAAAAGAAGCTGGTGCGGCTGTCGATGAAGCTGTACGGTCCCCCTCCCCCCACTCCCAATGAAAAGTACCTCGTACTAGGGTATTATTTGAGCACGGCTGACCACTGCAGATCAACAATGCCCGCTCCAAGTTCAAGCCTGACGAGAAGATCCCCGAGCTGGCGGAGGATGGAAAGAAGAAGTTCAGCGACCTTAGCGAGGAGGCGCGGAAGAAGTTCAACGATGGCGTCGATAAGATGGATCGCACTGTTGAGCAGAAGGCTGCTGAGGCCAAGGGAACTGCGTCTGGCTGGTTCTCGAGCAAGAAATAAATCCGGCTTGTTACTTGCATCTTGTGGTTAATTAATTCCCAATATTATGTTTATGATCAATGATTGATTCTGCCTGTGTGCTATCCTGGGGGAAAATTGGAGTACTTGAGGCCTAGAGGAGTAGAGGATGAGTGGACAAGAGGGAATAGCTTCATCTCATGCGTGTCACGGTGGGGTACATGGGGCTAGAGGGTCTCAACATCCAAATGCCTATTGTCAATTGTGAGCTGCTGCTATTCTTGGTCTAGTGCTACTCGGCCTTGCTAGTTCTGGCCTGTCCGTAGTCCTGGTCGCGACATTCCAATGCCAGAGCATCACCACAGTGACCAGAATGTCGATCTCACTTCCCCTCGAAATATTCAGTTCTGTACAAATTATCAGTCGATTCCTTGTTAAAAAATTCCATATTCTTTCTGCTGTACAAACTGCTGAATCACTTTATTTTAATCGAGACGCGTGATTTTGACGATTTAACCTGATTGGGACAAGTACGTTTCCACGCGACTCCGACGCGTCTCAGGGACTTTCGCTTCGCGCCCTTCATTACGCTTCACGCCTTCCTCTTTCTAATCCTTCACTTTCTCGTTTTTACCTCAATTCTTTCTAATAACCTGGTATCTCTTACCCCGAGTATACTACATTATCATTTATCCGTCGCAACTTCCTCTCCCCACCCCGAGAAAATTTGCTGCCGCGATGCCGCGCACCACAAGGCAAAGCCTGCAGGCGCAACCTGCCATCCAGGTCTTCACCAGGGCAACCAAAGCCGGTATCACACCGCAGTTGCCCGGAAAACCAACTGTCACCCTCCCCAGCAAGACCGTCTCATTACCAGTCTCCCCTTCGAAGAAGCGAAAACTGCAGGAGATCGAGAATGTCGTCGCTCCCCGGCAACCAACGGAGGATGAAGCCGAGAGCCCCTCCAAAACCCTCAAGCTCAGCCAATTGACTGTCAACTCGCCACGTAGTGGTCACTATGCCACGCCCAAGCGAACCCCTAGTCGACGAACCCGTTCCCCAACCAAGATCGACCAGTCACCCGCGACACCTGGCACCCCCTCGAAGCAATCAAAACTCAATTTCACAACCGTTCGCGAAGAGCCAAAGCTTGCACCGCGCGCGAAATGTGTCAACGAGTTCTTGGATCTTCACTCCGCGTTCGTGAAGGCTCTTTCTATCCACGCAGCACACAACGGCCCGAAAACCCCTGCGGATCTCAGAGAATTCCTTCCTAGCGTGACCCATGTCTGGAGGAAGCGCAAGGTGCATATTAAGGACTTGCAACGTCTGCTTTGGGTTTGGGATCAGAGTATGAACGCAAAGGATATCTCATACCGTCTTGCAAACTACGGACTGGGCAAGATTTGCCTTGAGCGAACTGTGCAGCTTGACATGCAGCCTCCGGCTTTGCAGGACACGTTTGAGCAGGCATTTGATCTTCTCTGGGCGCAGACTGAAGATTCTTTGCAACAGGTTACTGAAGAAGACCGTCCTTCTTTGTTCCTTGAGACTCTCGACCTCGCTGTCATCCACGAGTCTCTCACCCCCTTCACCGCATTCCAAAAGGGTCAGCAGCGACTACAGGATTTGCGAGGAGGTGTTCTCCGTATGAAGGCCGACAAGCTGCGCTCGGATATGGAGAAGACCGGCTCGAAGCCGTTGGCTGCTACCAGCAGCCGCCGACAAGGACTTCTGGACCGCATCAAGAATAAGGAGCTGATTCAGTCTAAGCTGCCTCCCCCGCCGTCCAAAAAGGAGGTTATCCGTCGTTCTGCTGCGGACCGAGTGGAGGAAGTTGCCAACATCCTGGCTCTTCTCCGCCCCGTTGGATATGTAGGCACTGGCATCAAGGCTATGCTTGCCAACCAGCGCAAGCCCTTCAAGCTCGAGACTATTGTGCAGCACATTCGCGACTCGGTCCGCAACCCCATCCCCCGTGAGGAGGTTGAGACCTGTATTGAGATTCTCGCAGAACCTGGTATGGCTGGTCACTGGATTGGTATTGTTAACATCAACAACATGCGTTCGGTGGTGTTGAAGTCCTGCAAGGACATTGCATCTAAGGAAATCGGGGCCAAAGTTTCCCAAATGAAGGCCGACTGGGACAAAGCTGGAACTTGTGTGCAGTCTCCCATCCTTGGCATCTGAGTGGTGGATTGTTTATTTTGATGATTTGTATTCGCATCCGTGGAGCCCGGCTGCTCGCGGTTTTGCATCAGCGTTTGAAGATACCCTGTACTGTAGCATTTATCTTAGCCTCTACCCGGGCTACCTATTAGCATGAGACCCCAATAATAATTACTATAACAAGAAAATCTCTCTCTTGTAAAATAATATGATGTATCAGCCTGAGCGACAGACCACTTAACGCGCGACGCGTTTCACGTGACCGCGTGCGGAGCGCGTCTGTAGCTCATCCCAAGTTCAACCCAGCTCTGCCTCCTAACCACCTCAGAATCCCCCACAAAATGTCTTCACGGCCAGACCTCAAGGTATGCTCTTCATCGTGTATAGACCTTATTATCGGAGAATAATTGACTAACCACCCCCTGGCAGGTCGACGACGAAGTCGGTTTCATTCGCTTCTACAAAGACCTCCCTACCTCCGACAACAATGAGACCATACGTGTGTTTGATCGAGGTGATTGGTACTCCAGCCATGGCTCAGACGCCGAGTTCATCGCTCGTACTGTGTACAAGACCACCTCTGTCCTCCGAAACCTCGGCCGCAGCGAGACGGGCGGCCTGCCCTCCGTCACGATGAGCGTGACTGTGTTCCGCAACTTCCTGCGCGAGGCCCTCTTCCGTCTAAATAAGCGTATTGAGATCTGGGTTTCTGGCGGCACTGGAAAGGGGAACTGGAAGCTGGCGAAGCAGGCTAGTCCTGGTAACCTGCAGGATGTGGAGGAGGAGTTGGGCAGCGTCGGTGCACTGTCTATGGACTCTGCGCCTATTATCCTGGCTGTTAAAATCTCGGCCAAGGCTTCTGAGGCACGGAATATCGGTGTGTGCTTTGCTGATGCCAGCGTACGTGAGCTGGGTGTTAGCGAGTTCCTCGATAACGACGTCTATTCCAACTTCGAGTCCCTGGTCATTCAACTCGGTGTGAAGGAGTGCCTAGTTGTGATGGATTCGACACGGAAGGATGTCGAACTGGGTAAGATTCGCGCTATTGCAGATAGCTGTGGAATTGCCATTTCTGAGCGGCCTGTGGCGGATTTCGGTGTGCGTGATATCGAACAAGATCTTACCCGATTGCTTCGCGATGAGCGCGCTGCGGGTACACTTCCCCAGACGGAGCTTAAGCTTGCTATGGGATCTGCCTCGGCTCTAATTAAATATCTCGGGGTTATGTCTGATCCGACCAACTTTGGTCAGTATCAGCTTTATCAGCATGATCTGTCTCAGTACATGAAGCTCGATGCGTCGGCTCTCCGTGCACTGAACCTCATGCCCGGTCCGCGAGACGGTGCTAAGAGCATGAGTCTGTTCGGTCTGCTCAATCATTGCAAGACGCCCGTGGGAAGTCGATTACTTTCGCAGTGGTTGAAGCAGCCGCTCATGGATCTCGCTGCGATTGAGCAACGGCAACAGCTTGTTGAGGCTTTCGTTGTGAATACTGAGTTACGTCAGACTATGCAAGAGGAGCATCTGCGTGCTATTCCTGATCTTTATCGACTCACGAAGCGTTTCCAGAAGAAGCAGGCAAACTTGGAAGATGTCGTCCGTGTTTATCAGGTGGCTATTCGCCTGCCAGGCTTCGTCAATGCTTTGCAAGATGTCATGGATGAACAGTACCAGTCACCACTTGAGAAGGAGTATACATCCAAGATCCGGGCTCACTCGGACAGCTTGGCTAAGCTGGAAGAAATGGTGGAAACTACGGTTGACCTTGATGCCCTGGAAAACCACGAATTCATCATCAAGCCCGAGTTTGACGAGAGCTTGCGAGTCATTCGCAAGAAGCTAGACAAGCTACGCTATGATATGGATATGGAGCACCGTCGGGTTGCCAAGGACCTGAACCAGGAGATGGAAAAGAAGCTTTTCATGGAGAACCACCGAGTCCACGGCTGGTGCTTCCGTCTCACTCGTACCGAAGCAGGTTGCATCCGCAACAAGCGCGAGTACCAAGAATGCTCCACGCAGAAAAACGGTGTTTATTTCACCACTTCGACTATGCAGTCTCTCCGCCGGGAGCACGATCAGCTGTCTTCAAATTACAACCGAACCCAGACTGGCCTTGTCAATGAGGTAGTCAACGTCGCCGCGTCCTATTGCCCGGTTTTGGAACAAGTCGCTGGTGTCCTGGCTCATCTTGATGTGATTGTCAGCTTTTCCCATGCATCTGTCCATGCACCATCTGGATATGTCCGCCCGAAGATGCACCCCCGAGGAACGGGTAACACCATTCTCAAGGAAGCCCGTCACCCATGCATGGAGATGCAGGACGATATTTCCTTCATCACCAATGACGTTTCTTTGATCCGTGATGAATCTTCTTTCCTCATCATCACCGGTCCCAACATGGGTGGTAAATCCACCTACATTCGCCAAATTGGTGTGATTGCACTGATGGCCCAAACAGGCTGCTTCGTCCCCTGTACCGAGGCCGAACTGACAATTTTCGACTGCATTCTGGCCCGTGTGGGTGCCAGTGACTCGCAGCTCAAGGGTGTGTCGACCTTCATGGCAGAGATGCTTGAAACCGCCAACATCCTGAAGTCCGCCACTTCCGAGTCCTTAATTATTGTGGACGAATTGGGTCGTGGTACCAGTACTTACGATGGCTTTGGCCTGGCATGGGCTATCTCAGAGCACATTGTGACGCAGATTCGTTGTTTCGGCCTGTTCGCAACCCATTTCCACGAGCTTACTGCGTTGGCAGATCGCTACCCTAAAGCCGTGCAGAACCTTCACGTCGTAGCTTTCATTGGCGATGGCACGGACAACAATGCCGAAGCAGAGGAGAAGAAGAAGCGCCAAGTCACGCTGCTCTACCGTGTTGAGCCTGGTATTTGTGATCAATCGTTCGGTATCCACGTCGCTGAGTTAGTTCGTTTCCCGGACAAGGTTGTGAACATGGCCCGTCAAAAAGCTGAGGAGCTGGAAGACTTTACGTCTGCGACTGGCGAGAGTGCTGAGAAACAGGCTGCGCCCTCGCTTGACAAGTACTCCCAAGGAGAAGTTGAAGAAGGCAGCGCACTGCTCAAGGAAATGCTGGTGAAGTGGAAGGCAGAAATTGACGGCAAGGATCTATCTTCAGAACAGAAGCGCCAAATCATGCGTGACTTGGTTCAAGCAGATTCCAAATTACAGGGGAACAAAGTCTTCCAGGGTATCAAGGCTCTATAACGGATCGGATTGAGGCTATCCAGGAGTATGGCGTCCACGGGAACATTTAGGAAAACGCATTTCACGAAACCCCCAATTATCTAGATCTCTCGGGGCAATTCAAACATTATTATTCTCCTCTCTTCCACCTATTCCGTTAAACAACCCCTGTAGTGCTATGTGCATGTAGATCCAAGTCACGTGGCGCCACGTTGATCGGTCCAGACAACGCGCGGAGCAGGCGCGGGACTATCCTCTTCAGCCACTCGTTTAAGCTCCTTCTCAATTCCACCCAGATCTCGATCCTCTACTTTTACAATCCTCCCGGTCCTTCGATCCTTCCCCAGCTATGCGCGCGGACTGAACGGCGACACGCTTGGATTACCCTGATTCATGCACCCCTTTTCCATCCTCACCCTTGGGATCTTCGTCGCGGGCTACATCACCGCCAGGTGGGACCTTGTCACCCGTCTTTACGAATTGGCTATTTTCGCGTGGGATCACGGCGTCGTGGTGAGTTGGCCTATGGAGCCCCTCCGCTCCCGACTTGGCGCTGTGCGAAGTTGCTTACAATAACATCCGGAATTAGACACGCACGTTGAAGGGGTTCTTGTTTCTGTCGGTCTTTTTCTTCCTCTTGGTACTTCCTATCCATCTTTTGGCTTCAAGGGAGGGCACTTTGGTGAGTTACCGACTGTGGGGAAACATCGCACTTGTATTGAGACTAACGACTTGCGCAATAGCATCCACGCCACGTCAACCTCGGCGTTTCCGCGCGCGAACAATTACGCCGTCGAGGCTCTTTCTAGACGCTGGAGGATGACAACATGAACATGAGTGATGGGCTACTGCGGGTATTTTGGCCATACGACCTTCCGCGATCCTCGTCGCCGGGAGTGATAGTTGGATGGCGGAACTCGGAGCTAGATTTGTTTGTCCTGACCGTGCTGGAAGATGTTGAGGTATTTACTCGAAAACTGGTTCTGCGCGGCGGGCACTGATTCTATTGACAGCCACGAAATGTCGACAATGCGCTTCGCGCTGGAATCCTCTTTCGAAATGCCCCGCATCCAATTGTTCGCATCTTCAGCCTTTGCGGCAGGTCTCAGATGCACGTCCTTGGTTCGACGAACTCAAGCGATGCCCCGACGTCTTTCAATCCCTCCCATCTATGTGTGACTACGCATCCGCCGTCGAAAGCACCGCAAGTATATTGCCCCTCGGAAGCCAATTTGTCGGTTCAGGTGATCATGTTTCATCGACCGCATCCGACGCGCATGGAATATATGTCTTTGGATCCGATCTCTCTTGCGCTAGGAGATAAAGTGAAGGCGACTGAGGGGGGTGGTGCAGTTACGAGCAAGGTCGAGTCCGAGGAAGAGAAGGAGAAAGCTAAGGCTCAAGTCCTGGTTGACAAGTTGAAATTCCATACGGTGGTCAAACATGTTCCGTCGCATAAGGAGCAGGCTCTTCCTCTGATCGTCAATCAGGTCAATTGTGCCTACGAGATGAGTCAGTTGATGCATAAAAATAGTCATCTGATTGGAATCCGAGCCAAACGAAGCATGAGTGTCGGTGAGCGTGTTGTGGAATCTGCTACGACATTGTGGGGACTTCTTGTCCTCTGCGTGGCTCATGTATTCTGGCAGTGGATTTGGCCGGTTCTCACTAGGGTTTTTGTGATCGGGCTCGTGGGTCATCGGTCAATTGCGGAAGTTGTCTTACAAGTTCTTGAATGGCGTGCCAGACCGGATGCTGCTGCTATTAAGGATGTATCTGCAACTGCTCAGCAGGTTGATATACGACTACAGCAATTCTGTTACTGGCCCATTCAATATGTCAAGCTACGTCAAAGAAAGGACAATTGGGAGAGTGTGACGACTAGTCACCCGGACTATATTCGCTTCTACAACAGCCTGTGGCTTGTGGCCAACGATGTGATCATCGGGATTGCTCTCGGGTCATATATCATTGACAACGCGAACTGGGTGGCTTCTCAGATCAACCTCGTTCTCACTGGCTGGACTGTTGAAGGCCTCCAACGCACAATATCGTGGCTTATGGACTGGCCTGCTGGTTTGAAATTGAACAACGAACTTGCAGCCTTCCTTGGTGATCTTTTTCTCTGGGTCATTGAGAACTGGGCAGCCTGCATCGCCAACCTTCAGCCGTATCTCCCTGCCGTTATTTACGTTGTCGGTTGTTCCAGTTTCGCAGGCGCCAGCATGCCCATCGCCCTCTTCTCTGACCTTCTCTCCATCCTGACCGTCCACATCTACTCTTTCTACATCGCCTCTGCCCGCATATTCAACTGGCAGCTCACCATCATCATCTCACTCTTCCATCTATTCCGCGGGAAGAAACGAAACGTACTGCGCAATCGAATAGACTCATGCGACTACGACCTCGACCAGCTTTTGCTTGGAACCATTCTCTTTACGGTGCTGTTCTTTCTTTTGCCGACCGTGGTGGTTTTCTACTTGACCTTTGCCTCGGCTCGTATGTTGATTATTACCATGAAAGCCGGATTCGATACCTGTCTGGCGTTCCTGAACCATTTCCCTCTCTTTGCGCTGATGCTACGCGTAAAAGACTCGAGGCGACTGCCAGGTGGTATTCGTTTCGAGCTACGAGACGAATCGGATAAAAAAAGCACGGATTCGGATTCAACCTTTTCATACATCCATCTCGAGGTTTGTCGAACTTTCCTTCCTTTCTTTAGCAATGCACTAACATCCTTAGTCTATTCCGCTCCCGCTCCGTGCAATGTTCGACCAGTACTTCCAACTCGGCCACCGACTTCGAAAACACTACCTAGCACCACGAGTCATCTTCTGCCTCGCCACTGGCCGCTTCGTGCCACCCATCCACCGCCGCAACTTGTATAGCATGCAATACAGTATGCTTCCCGCGCGTCGGGCTGGAATGGCTGAGGTGTGGGCTATGCTCACCCAGCCGAAGAAGGAAAACAGTGGGAGTAGTAGCTCTAGATCTGGAGGCGGTGGCCTGGGAAATCCAATGCCCAAGGTCCCGCCGAATTTTGGGCAGGGGGATATTCGAAGACGAGGTCATCGATGATTTGCCTCGAGTCTTATCCATAATACCCTAGTATATAGACCTTTAATGCATGATTTTTTTTTCCTGCTAAGACTATCTATTTATCCCAATCAGGGGTAATTCTCAGTCGTGTGGGTAAAAGTTGAAGTTGTGATTCTGTAAAAATGTGCTTAATGTTTGTAAGTGCTGGTTGAGATGATCTCATTGACAATGGTACATGCACCCGTCCATTTGCGCCGGTAGTAAGGAAAGCTGCAGTCGCTCATATAAAACAAAGTAAATGCAAGAGTAGAGATGATTCTGATATAGAGTGTGACTCATGATTTTTTGAGAAACTCTGCATCAGTCTCACTGCCGTTGGTTTTGCGGGCATCTTCCAACAGGGCGTCAATGCCTCGCTCCTTAAGAACCTTCTGTAGGCCCGGATATTTGTTAGTCACATCACAAGATAGCTTACTGATAATATTAAAACATTCAGAATGCAGAACTTACGCTCAAGCAAGATCTGTACTTTTCGAACAACGCCTCGCAGTCGTTCGATGTGGTGTTGCCACGCAGGTACTCTGTCTTGATTTCAGCCACTTCACAGCACCGATCCGTCAGTTTTACATACTCTCACTATACCACTTGAGGAAGCAAGTGTCATATTTCCTGCAGAGCTCTAGGTCAGCTTCTATAGCTTTCCTTGCACACGGACTGTAGAGGCACAGGGTAGAGACTCACTCTTTGATCTCGTTGCATTCGGGTGCAATAGAAGCCGCCATTTTGCCCAGTTAGAGATGTATTGGATATTCTAGACAATGGCAATCTTCCCACTTAAGGATTCCTGGACAGCTGAGTTTCTGGAGATATCGAAGTTGCCAGAAAGAAAGCAGTCGGAGATCGGCCAATAAAGCACCGGTGGCCGTCCAGCTCCTTTCGGAAGGCGGTCACTGCGGGCGCATCTTTTCTGCTTCACTTTTTTTCGGAGCTGATCAAGCACATCTTTGTCGCGACTCTCTTTCATCTTTACGCGGTTGGAGCTCTGCCCGTCATGGATTCTGCAGAGTTTATCCCTTTCCAGGACAAATTGAAGTCCTCCTTGGTGCAGGTGACCCGCACCGTAGGCCAACTTTCCTCGGAGGATCTCAACTTCCACCGTACCTCCAGCGCGGAAGTTACAGAGGCGCTCGACGAACAGAGTCTTAGAATTCTTACTTTGACATCAGCTGTTCTCAAGGCTGCCACCACCGGAACAGATATCAAGGCTCCGACGCTGTACAATGAGGACTCGATCGATGACAATTGGCGAGGTGTGGTGGATGTGATTGACTCGCTTTTGGAAAAGGCCGATGCCTGTCTGGACGAGTTTACCGGCGTTATCAAGAAATTGAGCCCGTCGCAGGAGGAAGCTGCACCTGTCATCAAGAAAGCGCCCAAGTTCCCTACCGTCTACGACTATGGCCCTTCCAAAATTCCGAAACCTCAACTGCAGTTTGAGCACAAGCCCGATAACTCTGGCTCGAGCCTCTTCCGCCCTCTTCTCACTTCCAAGCCGCATGCTACTCTACCCCTCGACAAGTCGCTGAAAACGCGGGAGATTGATGGTGATGATCGGTACCCGCACCCTTACGAGACCGAGATTCGTGAAGCGCAATATCCCAAGTCTGTCTACAAGACTGCTACTCCGATCGACTATCTTCCGTTCGAGGGAACGACTGCTACGTTTGTGGATACTTTGGATGGAGTCAAGGAAATGCTAGGCGAGCTGAAGGCCGCAAAGGAAATCGCCATTGATTTGGAGCACCACGACGTCCACTCATACCATGGTCTTGTGTCCTTGATGCAGATCAGCACTCGCGACAAGGACTGGATCGTTGATACTCTCCAGCCTTGGCGACAGGAACTTCAGATCCTCAATGAGGTGTTCACAGACCCGAAGATTGTGAAGGTCTTGCATGGTGCTACTATGGATATCATCTGGCTCCAACGTGATCTAGGCCTGTACGTGGTTGGTATGTTCGACACCTTCCACGCGGCTTCCGCACTGAACTTCCAGAAGCGGAGTTTGAAATTCCTTCTCAACAAATTTGTGAACTTCGAAGCCGACAAGCGCTACCAGATGGCCGATTGGCGTGTTCGCCCTCTCCCCGAGGGCATGTTCGATTATGCCCGATCCGATACCCACTACCTACTTTACATTTACGATTGTATACGCAATGACCTCATTGAAAATTCGACTGAGGAAGAAAACCTCATCGATTATGTGCAGGAGCGCTCAAAGAACGAGGCACTGCAAAGATACGATCGTCCGGTCTATGATGCAGAGTTCGGAACAGGCTCCGGGGGCTGGTTTGATCTGCTGGAACGGAATGCCGGTGTGATCTCCAAAGAACAGTTCGCCGTTTTCAAGGCTGTTCACCAATGGCGCGACGAGGTTGCTCGGGCCGAAGATGAAGGCTGGCAGTGTGTGTTCCCGAAGCACATGCTCTTCAAGCTTGCGTTGACCATGCCATTGGATATGGGAACTCTTCTGCGAACACTCTCGCCTGTGACCCCCATTACAAAGGACCGTGTAGGCAGTCTCCTTGAGACTATCAAGGAAGCAAAGATCGCGGGGGCCACGGGCCCAGAATGGCGTGACGTTGCCGCACCCCGTAAGGCTGCTGCTGAACCGATCGCTGTTGATATAGAGGACGTGGACTTCCCCGTCGCTGAACGCTACGAGTCGTCTCAGTTCTGGGGCAACGTCTTGGAGGCCAATGAACCTCCTGCTCCGCTTGAATACTCGCTCGCTGCTTCGAATGAAGCCCTCCGACTTTCCCTGCCTCTACCACCCATGCCATCGACCGTCTCGGAGGCCCGAGAGAAGCTTGGCGCTGCCCCGAGCCAACCTGCTCCTCAAGCAGCTCCCGTCCCTGTGGCTGAGGATACAACTCCGAAGATCTTCACCGTCAAGGAGCTCGGTGGCCCTCGCAAGCGCAAGGTTACTCCTGTCGAGCAACCAAACGAAGAGCCATTGATCCCTCTGACCGAACTCGACCCAACGGAGAAGGAGCACAAGAAGTCGCGCAAGGAGAAGAAGGCCAAGAAGGCAGGTCAGTCTGGCTCTAATTCTGAGGCCGAATCCACGCCATTCGACTACGGTGCTGCAGACTCCGTGCTCAACGCTCCCAAAGCAAAGGGCAAGGCTGCCCCGCGCCGGAAGCATTTCAACCCCTATGCCAAGGCTATGGATGCGCCCTCGGGTGCGCGCAAGGAGAGGAAGGAAACTCCTGGCAAGTCTCTTACTTTCCGCAAGTAGGGTTTTCCACCTCTGGTCTTATACGCAAAAGCATCTCCGGGTTTGGTTTCCTGTTTTTCTTCTTTTGATTTTTATTTTCCTGTATGCATAGCGATACCCGTGCGTCGAGGACTGGGATTGTTTTTTGTACGTTTAGAGATTGGGAATTCCTCTTGACAATGATACATTATCAAACTTAGGTATTCGACATCACATAGTAACCGCCCGTTCGAGATGCACTGAGCCTGGTGCAACAAAGTATGGCTCCATAAACTATCTATCAGCTGCTATACAATCAATTCTAGTCAAGAGGTCACCGAATATTGTGAGCAAGTGAGCTTTTGTCTACGTATCAGCGGCTTGTAATAGATGAGCGTGCCGCATCCTGAACAAGTAATTGTGTAAAAGGTTGACACAGGCGAAATGCATATCACAAGTTAAGAATCATTTATTTGGATGATCAAGTCATCTTGACTCATTGTTAGGCAATGTCGCAAGATGGCGGCGTCTAATGCCATCTACCTAGCTTTCTCGGTCTTGGTTATGACAGCTGATTCAATCAACTGTGTCCTCGACACCGGCAATGGCTCCCAATATTCTTGTATCCTAGCCCGAGTGAACACAATCCTTCCTATCATGATCGAGAAATGGAACCAGTCCCTTTTCTTCTTCCAGACTGCCCCTGTCAGTTCTAGAATTGATCCCTATGCTCTTCCACGGCTGGCCGTTCAACCGGTTGCTCGGCGCCGTGCCCAGTAGACTCGTAGTCTTCAAACCTTGGACCTTTATGTTGCTCAATGGTCAAAAGCAGCGCTCGTCTCGAGTTGCCAGAGACCAAGAATTGCTCCAAATAACTCAAACTGCGACCAACAAAATCCGCTGCACTGTTGCTGGATACAACAATTCGCGGCTAGAGCTCTTCCCCCACTTTGCCAAGAGAGTTTCAGTTCGGGGTGTCATATTTTTGTGCGTGATAGACCAGGAAGTAGACGTCAAAAAAAAAGCCTCTTGGACCCTACAGAATGCGAAGGAGACAAAAAGAAATCACCAATGGTGATTCGATGGTTCCAGAGGGGGTCGAACCCTCGACTTTGGCGTTATTAGCACCACACTCTAACCAACTGAGTTATGGAACCCGTTCTTGTTGTATCCACTTTTTCTAATAGAGTCATGTGGCCTTGGCTCACATCTGAAGCCTAGAGCATGTCTATTCTCTCGTTCATGAAAGGCTGCAAGCAACGCAAATGCCGGGCTCATCGTATGAGTGACGACTCTATTGTTTCCAAGGATTTTAGTCGGTTTCCCGAGACTGCAGGCTTTTTAACCTGCGCGGTAAGGGAACGACTTGGCCGCGCCGAACCCGGAGCTGCCTTTGACCGTGATACCGAGTCTAGAGATAATTTCATTTTCATTTCATGAACGATGACGACGAGTCGTGCTGGTTGGTGATGATTGTGAGAAGAATCTGTTGGGCTTGGGGATATCCTCCGGGACGTCATCGTTAGTGATTGCGTAGGGACGGATGGGATTTCTGTATGTCGCGTGCTATGACTGCGACTCCCACCGAAAAAAATAGATCACGCCCATCAACTGGAAAGACAGGGATATAGCAACAGTGTGCGGTGCTATAGTAAAAGAGAAGATAGCAGGAGGAGAAAATGCGATCAGGCAAGATGGGAGACGAGAAATGAGGAATTGGAACTGCAGCCATCGGTATCAAGAAAAAAGTTTCTAAATCATCGCCATTCTAAGCATGCTTCTCGGGTGGCTGCGCTGTTTTGAGCACAGAAAACTGTTGCTTGAGGTTGAATCATACCACCAGTCACACCATGACACCTCAAAATTGTGTTGCTGCTTGTTCTAGCTCTTCTCGGCACGTCTTTCCAGACAATATCTCATCTTCAAACGGGCTACAGAGACTATAGTAATCTCGGGAATAAGTTATGAGCAGACGCTTGAGACAAGGAAAACAAGATGAGAAATGACATGAATTTCTTGATAGCTTGCGGATCAAGTCTCTAGACAATGGGCTGTGCGATTTTCGCAGTAATCCTGCAACGTCTGTATCCATGAATACCTCTGGTGCACCTGGTATGATAGGACTTCATTTCCAGTTGAGTTTTACCTATATGAATTGGCAAGCACAATATGGACCGTCTATCCGAGTCATTACACCTAGCGATATGCAGAGAATGCCATCTGATATATATCCCCACAGGGGCTTGACATGATATGCAGCCAGCACTGACATGTATAGATCGCGTAACGATCACCGAATAGAGTTAGGCGCCGAAATTGATCAAAACAGGAAGATCTCGGCGAAATAATGGCCAAATATGGCTAGTGTATCACGGATCCTGCCGAGCATGTGGAGGTGCTCGTTCCCATTCGAGGGAAGTGAACTTCTCATTAGCGGGCCCGGTTGTTCATCGAATCGTCTATCTACCCCTCATGCAAATCTGATTGGTGGTCGTTTCGCCCAGTGTAGATTGACTGAGAATATATGAGGGTTCATTAGCGCCAGCAAAGACCTATGATTTGACCCGCAGTACACGTCTCTGTTCGATAAAGTGGCATTCTCAAACCTCAAATAATTTTCTCTTTCAGATATCTCTAGGTGATCATGGCAGCCGCAGCGGACGTAGTGCCTATCTCTCCAGGTCTCTATGGTTCTCTTAAGGACCATTTGCCGGAAGGCCTCGGACAAAATGGCGGCAGTATTTCCCCAGATCACATCGACCTGCTCCGTCCGACTCCTTCTTCACTTCCTATGGAGGAGATGAGAGAGCGTATCAAGCAAGATGGATACTTGTTTGTCAAGGGATTGATACCTAGAGAGGATGTACTGGATGCGAGAGAGAAGTAGGTCTTCTGGGAAGTAGATCTTTTGACACCTTCCTAACATGCAAATTCCCGTTTAGCTATTTTAGCCAGTATTCAGTAAGCTCGCTTTTGGAGCCCGGATCATCTCCACGGGACGGCATTTTCAACTCAACCTCCCATCCCGACGCTCACAAAGGGATCGGCGGTGCGGGTCTACCCACCGACCCCGTGGAACGCAGGATTCTTGTTGATGCTCATTCGAAACCGAATTACCGTGACTTTGTGGAACATCCGGCTTTGACTGGGTTCATCAGAGAATTTATGGATTGGAAAGAGCATCGCATTCTGGATCGCACGATGCTACGACATAATGTCCCATTTGGATTGGGGACCGGTATCCATTACGATAAGCTGTTCTTGAGAGGAGGCAAAGGCTACTTTTTGACTGCTTGGGTGCCTATCGGTCAGAACCAGATTTTCCTTCGGTTTAAAATGTTGTTACAATGCTCTAATACTTTTAAAATAGGTGACATCGCTATCAATGGAGGCGGTCTTTGCTACCTCGAGAACTCCGTTCCTCTCGGACACCATATCGAAGAGGACTTCAATAAACGTGCCCAACATTTCACAAAAGAACAGCGCATCTCTGCGTTTAATGTCAATATGCTGGACGGCGGTATGATATCCTCTTCCCCACAGGATTTCCAAGCCGCCCACTCTGCTTTTGGTACTCACAAGTGGCTTGTCACCAATTACGAAGCTGGAGATGTGGTATTCCATGACCCGTACAGCATCCACGCCAGTGGACGCAATGAGGATCCGGCGGGACGAATCCGGCTGAGTACGGACCTGCGATTCTATGAGAAGGATGAGCTGGGTATTGATCAGAGATGGCTCAAGATCTGGTCTCCTGGTGACGGACTTTGAATAGCAGACTCGTTCTTATTAATGTTAGTTTTGTGGTGGAAATGTTTAAGTTCTATGTTTATTTGAAAAATGACCCAGAAAATACCACGTAGATCTATATAGAATGCTTGCTGCATGATATACATGCAAGCCGATCGCCGACGTCGTTCCGCACACAAGGGTCTGTCCGGTGGTTCATTTCCGGAAGAGACTATTTTTCAGTCATTGTAGGTAAGACCAGATATCCAAAGGGCCTACCAATGGCAGAGCTTCTGCCAGAATCGAATCTTGTTGGAGAGGGGAGCGGGTCAGCTGGCCAGCAACAATTCTGTCCCACCGAGCCATCCCTCACCTAGATTTCGCCAAGATTATTGCGGCTTTCCAACTCCCGCTTATCAATGTTGCGATGACATCAAGGACAAAGCTTTCGTTGCCAGGGTAATTTGTTTCCTAATATACGAACTGAGTCCGGGTCAGTGAGAATTGTCAGGCCAAGTTGCAGCTCGGGTTATAATTGAAGAAATTCAACTCTTTTGATCACCAAAAAACCATTTGACATGTAACCCCCTCCGACATTCACATATTTTCACATGTTTCATCGAGGAGCTTACGGTGCTAAACATATGCTAGGTGACGACAAGAAGCCGAAATACACGAGATGCAAGACCCGCCGGGGCTGAAATTAATCGATGTCAAGCTCAAATGGGCAGTCTTGGATATTTGCGGGGTAGCACTCTTAAACCGCTAAGTGATGACCGCCATACTTACAGCATGCATAGCAATTCTCATTTGCGGTAATAGATTCTCCGATCGTACGGAGCAGCAAGCGTTAATGCACTTTGTGGTGTATACTTGTGCCGGATAATAACTACTGGGGCGTCGACGGCGTTGGGGGCCCGACCACGCAAGTCCTGGGGGTGGGAAGCATGATCTACTCACTCACAGGCTATGAATACTGCATTACGTTACCGGAAAATAGTATAAAAAGAGGCCAAAAACAGAAAACAAGAGTTGACAGCGCGGGGATATAGTCGCACGTGACATCCCACTGCGTCCGACCAATGAAAGCGCGCACTGATAGCGGGTGGGCCTGACTCATCGGGCGATCTTGCGAGGGGCACAAGAAATTCCCCGTCTCCAAAACTGCACAAAGAGTAAGAAAGATCCTACCGTACCGGCGCTATAGACTCTAATCGTCTGAATCTAGTTGCAATTCATACATCATGGCGGACGAACCAGGCCAGCCTCCGGCGCTCACCAACTTGAGCCTCGCCGAAACAGCCCCAGCACCCAAGGCTACCGGCCAGGTCGTTACCCCGTTCGATGTCTCTGGCGGTGTTGACGAAACCGGCAAGCTCCTGCCCGTCGACTATGAGAAGCTCACCCGCGAGTTCGGTGCCAGTCCTCTCACCCCGGACATCCTTGAGCGCTTCGAGAAGGTCACCGGCCACCGCCCTCATCGCTTCATGCGCCGAGGCATTGTGTTCAGCCACCGCGAGCTGAACAAGATTCTGGACCGCCATGAGAAGGGCCAGCCCTTTTACCTTTACACTGGCCGTGGCCCCAGCAGTGACAGCATGCACGTGGGACACACTGTGCCATTCGAGTTTACCAAGTATGACACTCTTTGTTCCATATTGACTGTCGATTACAACGCTAATATGCTCCGGTGAAAAAGGTGGTTGCAAGATGTATTCGATGTACCCCTCGTGATCATGATGACCGACGACGAGAAGTACATGCACTCCCAGAAGATCGAAATCGAGGATGCCAAGCGGTTCACCAAGTTGAACGCACGGGATATTATTGCTGTCGGATTCGACATGAAGAAGACTTTCATTTTCAGCGATTTCGACTTCGTTGGTGGCGCCTTCTACGAAAACATCTGCCGCATGGCCAAGCGCATCACAATCAACCAGATCCGCGGTACCTTCGGCTTCAATGACAGCAACAACATTGGCGAGTTCCATTTCTGTGCCACTCAGTCTGCCACTGCTTTCGCCACCAGTTTCCCCCATATCTTCGGTACCGACAAGAAGAAGGTTGCTTCCATTCCCTGCCTGATCCCCTGTGCCATTGATCAAGATCCCTACTTCCGCCAGTGCCGTGAGCACGCTGAGAAGATGAAATTCAAGAAGCCCTCTCTCATCCACTCCATCTTCTTGCCCGCCCTTCAGGGCCCCGGCTCCAAGATGTCCGCCAGTATCGACAGCTCTGCCATCTTCATGAGCGACACACCGAACAAGATCAAGAACAAAATCAACAAGTTTGCCTTCTCTGGTGGCCAGGAGACCGCCGAGATGCACCGCGAGCTGGGTGGTAACTCTAAGGTGGACGTGCCCTTCCAGTACTTGACTTTCTTCCTGGAGGATGATGAGGAGCTGGAGCGCATCCGCTCCACTTACGAGAAGGGTGAGATGATGACTGGCGAGCTGAAGCAGATCTGTATCGCCGAGCTGCAGAAGTACGTCCAGGGCTTCCAGGAGCGCCGGGCTAAGGTCACCGATGAAATTGTGGCCGAGTACATGCGCCCGCGTGATTTGGAGTGGAAGGGTAACCCCAACCCTGTTGTGGCTGAAAAGAAATAGAGGTCGTCGGGTGCTTAACGATTTCATCTTGCAAAATAAGACTTTCAAATATCCATGATTGGTACTATAAAATAAAACTTTTACATTCAGCTTTCATCATTCATTTATGCGGGTTTAAAGTTCCTCGTGGGCTCCAAAGACTGGTCCTCCGCAAATAATGGTTGTGTATGAGGCTTCTACTTCTCACCAGGGCGAGCGGTTCAACACAACTACGCCAGGAAGGAATCCCCGAACCCCATTACTCAACCAGCATTCTTCACCATCGACCAGCTCCGCCCTGACAAGTTTCCGTTCCGTGCAGAACCCTTGAGTCAATGCATATCTCCGGGTGGTGCCGTCATTACCACCGCTGCTCAACGGCGGTGTGAACCAAGCTTGACCAGATGTTCCCCGGGTCCGAAAGTACGGCGTTGTAATGCTTCCTTCCATAATCTCGCCAGCATGATTGACTACCAAGACCTCCGCTGTCTCCGCCGGGGAATTGATTCCCGCCCGTAACCGAGCAGCTGTATAGTCCTCCCGAGCCGTGGTCTTGTGGGTAGTGAACCCGGAGGGATTGGTTGACTGTGGATCAACATACACGCGCCAAATAGTCGACTCTGTCGGTGGACGCACCGAAGGAACCAGGAGATTGAGGGGATCAATAGCTGGTGTCGGGTGAACATCGACCAAGCCCTTGCCATTACAATCTACTACAATCCTGAGCCGCCATGGCTGTTGTCTGTCGGGAATTGAGGCATCGAGAAAAGTTTCAAGACAGCTCAAGTCTTGCTGTAGCCAGTCCAGAGCTTTATTCCATTGGAAAAAGCGCGCCGCGGTTATAAGCCGATCTTGGTGGTAGGCCAGAAGGTAGTATGGGGAGCGCAGAGGTTCGGGATAGCCATTCGAACGTTTTGAGGCCAGATCAGGAAGGGCTGGGTCGTATCGAAGAGACGAGATGATCTGAAAGGACTCGGGGGAAGGCACGGCCATAGTTGGGAGGGTAAAGGCCGTGAGGTCATCAATTCCGCCCTAAGGTTAGTCGCGCCTCACCCGCGATCAGTCTTCGGCAATTGAGCGCGTGCTTTGTGCAGTACTCCCCAAGGTAAGAGAAGCGAGTGTTTCTTAATCACTCGAGAGTAGACTCGAGATCCAAATATCCCTTTGCCGGCGAAACCGGGTTGCGGATTGTGGAGAATTTGAGCGGTTGCCGTCGTGGTGGCCGTGATTGGCCCGTGCCGAATCATCCAACTCAGGACTTTTCCTCGTAGCTTCGTCACTCTCTCCCTATCTCATACTTCCCGCTACTGGCGTCACTGGTCCGTCTCACCCCTATCCTTAGAATTGACGCGCATCTAATCCTGGTCTATCGCGCAGATTCAGGACTCTCACAGCACCGTGTCCGATCTTTCATACATCATGTCCAGCGAGTCGCCGTTACCCGCAACTCCCACCCAGGTGGTGTTGGATACCTCGAAGCTTCCCGCTTCATCAACACAGTCGGTTTGGGACCGTATCTCCAACTGGGTCTCAGAGAATAAGGCTGTCGTCTATACCATTGCCGGTGTTGCTGTCGTCGTGACTGGCGCCGGTGTTGTCTACTACCTGTCCGATTCGAAGAAGCCCGTAAGCGGCGCTTCTTCCTCGCCGAAGAAGAGCAAGAACCAGCGACGGAAAGAGAAGAAAAAGGCCGAGGAGAAGGAGAAGACCAAGACTGCCTCTGTCCAGGATGGTGCGTGATGAATTCCCCCTCCCGAATGCGATCGCGAAATCGCGACTGACATCATTGCAGAGCCTGTCAAGAAGGCCGAGGAGCCCGCCGAGGAAATCCCCGATGTTGACGAGGCGAATGTCGACCAGCTCTCTGAGGAGGTTTGTTTTCCAGCCCATTGAGTCGTTTCACCCAGCTTCAGCCACTGACAGTCGATGGAAGACCCGGAAGGAATATGCCGCTAAGCTGAAGGCCGCCGGTAACAAGGCCTACGGCTCTAAGGACTATAACAACGCCATTATTCTGTACGGAAAGGCTATCATCTGCAAGCCCGACCCCGTTTTCTACTCGAACCGCGCTGCCTGCTACAATGTGTTGTCGGATTGGGAGAAGGTTGTGGAGGACACCAGCGCTGCGCTCGCGATGGACAGCGAGTATGTGAAGGCCTTGAACCGGAGAGCCATTGCCTACGAACACCTCAGCAAGTTCAGCGAGGCCCTCCTTGACTTCACTGCCAGCTGCATTATCGATGGCTTCTCGAACGATGTCAGCCGCAACTCCCTCGAGCGTCTGCTGAAGAAGGTGGCCGAGCAGAAGAGCAAGGCTATTCTGGATGCGCGCAGCAAGAAGCTGCCTAGTGCTACCTTCGTTTCCAACTACCTACAGAGCTTCCGTCCCATCACTCTCCCGGAGGGTCTGGAGGAGTCTGTTGAGTTGAGCGAGGACTCTGGCAAGGGTCTGCTCCGCCATGGTCTGGTTGCCATGGGCAAGAAGACCAGTGAGGGCTATGAAGATGCTGCTTCCTCGTTCGAGAAGGCCATCGAGGCCGGTGACCTTCAGGACTTCGAGGCCCTGGCTCTCAACATGCGCGCTACCTTCACATACCTCGGTGGCAACGCTACCAATGCCCTCGAGGACCTGAACAAGAGTGTGGAGCTGCAGCCCTCCCTCGTTCAGAGCTACATCAAGCGCGCTAGCTTGCACCTGGAGCTCGGTAAGCTTATTTGAACTCATAAGTATTCCAGTCACGGAACCTCTCTCTAACAGTTGAACAGGAAACAAGGATGCTGCCGCCGACGACTTCGAGCTTGCCATTACCCACAACAAGGATGACCCCGATATTTACTACCACCGCGCCCAGCTCCACTTCATCCTGGGCGAGTTCGCCGAGGCCGCCAAGGACTACCAGAAGTCAATCGACCTCGACCGGTCCTTCATTTTCTCTCACATCCAGCTTGGTGTGACCCAGTACAAGATGGGCTCTGTGGCCTCTGCCATGGCTACTTTCCGCCGATCAGTCAAGAACTTCGAGGAGGTTCCCGACGTGTACAACTACTACGGTGAGCTTCTGCTCGACCAGCAGAACTACTCCGAGGCCGTCGAGAAGTTCGACAAGGCCGTCGAGATGGAGCAGGCCAGCAAGCCCATGGGCATCAATGTCCTTCCCCTGATCAACAAGGCTCTGGCTCTCTTCCAGTGGAAGCACGACTTCACCGAGGCCGAGAACCTGTGCCAGAAGGCTCTCATTAGTAAGTGAACCTGTTCGGCCTATGTGACATGATCGTCTAACATGTTGTCTAGTTGACCCCGAGTGCGACATCGCTGTCGGCACCATGGCCCAGCTGCTCCTCCAGCAGGGCAAGGTCTCGCAGGCTCTCAAGTACTTTGAGCGTGCTGCCGAGCTTGCCCGCACCGAGGCCGAGATCATCAACGCCATCTCCTACGCCGAGGCCACCCGTACCCAGCTTGAGGTTCAGGAGAAGTACCCCCAGCTGGCTGCTCGCCTTAACTCCATGGGCGCCATGGGTGCCGGGCCCGGCATGTAAAAGTGCTTGCCGCGAATGTTATTTCTACACTCTTCCCTCTTTCGTTTCTTGTCCGTCTCCGAGGCGTGGACTCGGATGCATGTCTAATTAACCCCCTTTCGAATCCCGGATTCTGTGGCTCTGGTGGGGCCCCGGTCATTTTTTCTCTGCCTGTATTTAGTATCTCCTGACATATTCCCTCTTCGTGTTGCTTTGATCTTGGGGCGATAATATCCAGAGATACCGGGATGTTCAGGGCAGGACACTTGCATTGGGTTGTAAACATTGGAGAGTAATTTGTGTACCATAGAGGTGAATGTGACTGATGTATTCAGTATACAAGGCAGCATCAGTTGTAGTAGTAGTAATAGTAGTAGTAGTAGTAGTAGTAGTAATAATCTGACTATGGGAATAGCCGGCAACATGTGGGTAGCAGTAGTATAGTGAACTCCATCTAATCTTCCCCGGGAGATCCACAAGTGGGATGCGATAAGAAGATGCGCCCCACCCCGTGATAACAACCATTTACATGCCTCTACTTGACCCAGTCTACTACATTTATTGCTTTTTAACATTAACCAAACTTCGAAAATAGAGAAGTGATTACCGCACGACTCCTTTTCTTTTCATTCCATTTCTGGGTCAGACCGCGTCCATCCAAGGGTCCTCAGGGACCGGCCCCCCCACGAAGCCGTGACCAACCTGATTCATCATCTACCCCTCTCCCCTCCTGCTTCCTCACCTTCACTTTCTGCCTATCCTGTCCTGTCCCCATCCTGCCTTCTTCACCTTTTGCGAACCTTCTTTCTTAAATCACTGTGCTTGGGTGTTTTCCGTAACAGCCGGACGAACCCGGTAAGCTCTCACCGACCCCAGGTCCCGTGCTTATCAGCCTCCGCTGCAGCCTGGGCTTCTCCGTTGGCACATATGACCGCTTCTTATCTTCATCTAACCTGCGTCATCTAGACCACACTCCCCCTGTTCTTCCAACATCCACCCGCCTCACCATACATGCTGCCGTCACCATCGGACTCCGCCAAAATGTCGGACGTGCAAGGTAAGTCCCTCGTCCTTGATCGTAAGTCTGCCCAACACTTGCTTAATCTTCCATGACTTTCCAGTGTCGGTGGTGCTCTCACCCGTCAACCTCAACGCCGAGCTTGCCCTCGTCCGCTCGTTCACCCTCTCTGCCTCCAACCCAACCATCGAGATTGGACGCTGTTCAAAGCGTGGAATCAAGAACCGCTCCCCCGCTCAAGATAATGCGTGGTTCGACTCCCGAGTGATGTCTCGAGACCATGCTGAGCTGAGCATCGCTCCAGAAATACACGTATGTTGGCAACATTCTGTTCATGCTCTTTTTAAACAACTTGCTGATGGGAACTGACTGCAGAATATCTACATCTGCGACTATGGTTCAACTCACGGAACATGGATCAACAACTCAAGACTGATCATCGGCGAGAAGACTCCGCTCATCCATGGAGACGTTCTGACATTTGGTGTGCCTGTGGACCGAGAGGATGGTTCGTATCCTGACTCACTTACCCTTTTGATGCCAACTGATAGACTGACCCTATAAACAGAAACGTATCCCGCTCTGGTGGTGAAGTGCAAATTCCACTGGGTCGACGAGTATGACTCACCTGTTGTCCGTATTAGCAGGCTCTGGACTGACTCACTATGCAGATGTCCTACCAGCGATGAAGTTCCAGTGAAGTCCAGCATCATTGAATGCATCACCCCTCCCGCGTCAAAGCTCAGGCCCTCTACCTCCACCAACACTTTCTGTGTCCCCGAAGATGACAGTGATATCGAAGACATCCTAGTTCCAAAGGTACGATTTCCATTTACCCGATGGCCGAAAATGTTTGCTCATCCGCTGGAGCCCATCTGTGTCGATGAGGACGAACAACCTCTGCCCCAGACCGTACAGGAAGAGCAGCATATGGACGAAGAGCTCAAGTCTTCGGAAAATGAAACCTCTGATTATGGAGATGTCCTTGAAGACGAGTCCGATGATTCCACAAACTCCGACGAGGAGGAATCAGAGCTTGAGGAATCGGTATCGTCTTTGCTCATCAAGAGCACTGACTGTGCTGATGTGAGTGAGGATGTAAATGCTGACGTGAGTGCTGATGCGGACGCGGATGTCGCCGAGCTTGACGCATCTCATTACGAGAACGTCTTCCCTTGTTATGATAGGGAGCACGACGGGTTCCAACCGCCCCATGAAGATGATTCTGATTCTGAATATGCCTCGGACTCGGATGTCTTGTCTGAGAAAGAGTCTTCTGTTGAGAACAACTCTTATAATGACGATAACGACGACGACGACGATGGGGTCTACATCAATACGAATATCATTACTGCTCCCTTCGTCAACCCCGACGTGCTTTCGCTAGAAAAGCTGCACTCTGTGGACACCGCCCCTCATATCAAGCCCGAGACTATGGAGCCCAAGCCTAGCAACCCCCTGGTCAGTCCCCCAGCATATCATTTCCCAGGTCCATCTTTCCAGCCTGGCCCTTCATTTTTGCCTCCTCCGTGCTATGAGGCCAATCCATGGAGAATGCCTCAAAGCTTTCCCCCTGCACCTCACATACCTTATCCGCGCTTTGAATACGCAGATGGCCCCTTCTCGTGCAAGTATGGCTCCACATATCAGCGGAACTTTGACTCCAATCCATCATCTCCTCTCAGAGAGCCCACCCCGCTTCCCTCGCTCCCCAAGGAGCTCAGCTCCGATACTGATTCAGTTTCCCTGAAGCGGAAGGCCTCTGAGATGGAGACCCAAGATGCCGAGCAACAAGATGCACAGGAAGCCGAGATTATTGCCCCTGCATCGCAGCCGGATCTCGATAGCATTCCCAAACCGGAACTGGTTAATGCTATCACATCCGCCCTCACAGAGAGTGAGCCTTCACCTAAGCGAGCCAAGACCTCGCACTCTTCATCCAATACCATGGCTGGCTACACTGCCACGGCAGTCATCAGCGCCCTCCTTGGTGGTCTCGGCACCATCGCTCTCCTGGCAGCCCTTCCGGCGGAGTACTTCCAGTAGTTCACATGGATCATAGGCGTCATCCTGAGTTACCTGGTTGATAACCCTTGGTTTCCCCCTCCCCTCCCGTTATATTCTGTGACTTCAATTGCAGACATTTTCTTGCTCCATTTACTGGGCAAGAGTTGAGTCACAGGATACGGAGTTACTAGGACTGGAGTTTGGATTTGTTGGTGCGGTGGGTGTTTGGTTTTCTCTTTTCACTTACCCCTTTTGATTTCCCTGTGCCTTTGTATTGCGTTCTCATCACCTCAAGGATTTGTGTTCCATCGACCACAATCTCGTTGTGAACCATATCTCTCGTCGCTTATGATATCTCCCCCTTTGCAATGGCGATCCCCAAGCTGGTCATAATGATTATCAAGAATAAATTACCAATATCCTGTCCTATTTAGTTCTCTCTCTACACTGTCTTCATAGAATGCCATAGCTCTTTTCAAAGTAGCGAGATTGGAGCATTGGAGGTCCAGAGGCGATGCTGTCCCAATGCTGCCAGGTACCAGCTGTTTGAAAGCGCGCTGTGATCTCATATTACCAAAATCAGCAGGGGTAATTATTTACGTGTCCAACGTGGAAATTATGTTAGCGTAATGATGGGTGGTCCTCGAAGATTATCGCCAACACTCGAAAACAAGCTCGCAGATGGAACAAACAGAGCCCGAAGTTCCGTTGGCAGCCAAAGACCAGATGGCAGATCAGTTAGAATATCGGCGGCCGAAAAAGCCCGGAGCGCCGCTCCGTCCGTGGTCCCCGAATCAGATGGAGAGATCAGTTCATCAATCGGGCTGCAGCTCCTCATATTCGTGTCAGCTGACTGGCGACCTTATGTCACATCTCCTCTGCGCGTGGTGTCACCACATCCCCCCGAACAATGAATCCGCCACGACCACCGAAATCCCCGGGAGTCACAGACAGCCTTTCGAGTGTTGGGTTCTCAAGAACGTACGCTGCCGTGTGAGGCCATTGACCCCAGTCTGCGTTGGAATCCTGGGTCTAGTGCGTGATGGAGAGTGGCTGGCTGCAGCCCACTCCCACTTCGCCTCGAACCGGTCGAACAGGCCCATCTTTGCTCTCCGCTCTGATGGAGTCGATGTACTTGATGCACCGGTGAGACGCATGCAAATTGACTAGGGTTACGTATCATGCCACGAATTGTCAGGCACGTTTCTTACTGCTGACTGGCTGCACACAATCACAGGCGCAGGATTTACTCCAACAATGCCTCCGTAAGACATCTCAGCTCAGGAGCATCTGGTGAATCAGCAACTTTTGTCCTCAACGGTTGCCGGGGGGACCCTTGCATCTGAATCTATCTACCAGGATCTTGTATCAAGCCTTGTCAAGGGCGACTTCGCCCAAACCTCAGAGCCTTGACCTAGTGTGGAAATATGTCCGGTCTACTCACTGCAGTGCTCGACGGATACCTGCGGGGAGGACCACCGTGGTGGCTGCCATGTCGCATATACAGCGCTTCCAGGGGGCTCGTTTTCGCTCACTACATGAGGCGATTGGCCACTAGGTCAACTTTTCGACATGTCCTTGACCGTCTAATTCGCTTGTCAGACTAGTTACCTTTTCTTTTTTTTCTTTTTTGGGCCTGCGAAATTAGTCGCATCTCACATCGTCATTCGAGCCAGGGGTATATTCACTTGAGACCCTGGAACTGAGCTCACATGCACCGAAACTCAACTACCATAATGTCCGCTTGTTCCAGCCCGGTCGATCGAGGGCTGATTACGAATGTGCATTGCCATCTCGGGGTTGAATGAGCTGATTAAGAGGGGGCCTGCAATCTCTAGATGACACACAAGGCGTGCCGCTCCCAATGGCCCTTTTATTAACCCGGTTTTGTCCCTGATATCTAATAATCGCTTGCTCTGGAATGTTGGCTCGGCTTGAACTATATGCACAAGGCCATATGACTACCACCTTGTTGAAACACATGATGCATACCAGCCCCTCCAACGCCTCCAACCCCGTCAAGATGGAAAGACAAGATTGGAGTCATCGCATGAAAGTCTATGAGCGCAGTCTCATAAGCTGACAAAGATCATACTGGCAGGAGGGGAATGTGATCCATATACCTCGGAAATCAGATAATCCTCGCATGGTTGGATGCAGCTTGCCGTGGATGGAAGGTCCAACTACCCCTTGGCGGTCCAGCTCAGCCCCTTTTATCTTCGTTCCTTTGTGAGCTCCATTTCCTGTCCGAAAGTGAAGCGGTCTACTCTCTCTTGATATGTATCCGCTCTAGGACTCGTAACACAAAACTGTGGTGGCTTCCATGCGCCTGGTACTTCTTTCCCGCGTAGGCAACACCAAATTCAGTCTGAGTGACGCCCTGCCCGACGCTAGATGCGTCTATTGTTTGTGGTGGCTGGTGACGCCCGTTGGCTGATCCCTGCAGCGTGTTTCTCTTTCTACCTAGGAAGCACTATCATTTTGAACCGCCGCGCAGTCCGGGAACACCGTTGCAGTCAGGTGGTAGCAAGTGCTAGTCCACAGTCGCGCACAACCTCACTCACTTGATCTACCTTATGACCAAAACAGTCCCCACTAGCTCGGCCCGTTTCAGCAACCCTGAACGTGCGCCGCTGGGTACCTTATCCCGGGCATCAAGGCATGGGCTTCGGCGTCAGCCCTCCGCTGCATGCCTCTGGGGTCTGCTGCGCGTGCGGTCGCTTTAATCCAATCGGGAGCAGGCGTCGTTCTTCTCTTATGCCAGGTCCACTTCTGCGGCTTTTGTTGGAAGATGACGATCTTGAAATATGTCGCCTACGCCGGAGACTGATCAAGTCGCCTAACTACACAATACCCAATTTGACCTGCAATCAATTTGATTGCAACAAAATGCCCTACTGATCAAATGAGATCCCCTCAGCGTCATCAACTTCTTTGTTTTCGGGCAATGTAACATCTCCCTTAAGAGGTGTCGTGTGCCACCAGCTCTCGCGCGTATAAGAGGCAACCCGTCTGTTTCTACTATTTCCGGACCCATTATATTTTTACCCAGGCAATATTTTCCCTTTGCCTGATCTGTGATCCAACGCGTTGCTTTCGTTGCTTTCGTCTCCGACAGTGGCTAAATTGCCAAGGCACGTTCATAAAGCCCCGGCTTCCCTTGGATCAACCAAAACAATCCTTGACAACCGGCAAGCGAAACCAAACTAGGAAATATCGGGATACATAAGCTTCGAAATTTATCATACCTTCGATCTCATCCTTACCGGGCCCAGGCCGTACTACCCTTACTATTGCAAAATGGCCACCTCCAAAGTCTCCCTCTTCAATCTCGACCCTGAACACATATCCTGCATTGGTGGAAGAACTGTCTCGACGTGCCGTAGCTGTGCTGGGAACGCTCCAAGGTAAGTACTCCATCCCTTATCTCCATGACGAATCCATATTGATACATTCAATAGGGGAGCAATTTGCACCAGCTGTGAAGGCCGGGGGTTTCACATCTTCGTCTGTGCCCATTGCAATCCCGCCGCTGCGGCTGCTGCCGTCCGATCGGCCACAAATAGTACAGTTGCCCCCGCCACAGCGAACACAACGCCAGAATCATCAGCGCCGTCCTCCCCGGGCTCCTTGAGTCGCAGTCCATCAACGTCATACTCATCACATCTTGACCCGCGGACAACACGATCTTGGAAACGGTATAGACCCCCTAGAGATGACCCAGGCCGCGGACGAGTCGAGGCAGACACGCCTCGCAATTTATGAATGGCCTCATAAGTGTTGTCCAAGTTGAATCGTGATCATACGCCTGCCACTTAGATGTGGCACTGGATCTCATATATGGATTCACTATCTACTTCATTTTCTTCCTTCCTTCTTCTCTTTCACTTCAATGTTTCTTCTTCAAATTTTTCTTCCTTTTGACTGTCGTTCTCGCATAGGATGCTAAGGTACAGGTTGTACATGTTTCCGACTCCTGGCAGGACACGTGATTGAAGCGGTCGTTCCACAGGCGTAACTAGCATCATCTTTTCGGCTTCCTTTTTCTGCTTTTGACACACTAGTTAGTACGAACACGAGGCGGCGACTCCACAGAATGAAACACGAATTTGAAGTTTTCAAAAAGCACGTGTGGATTCTACATTCACATGCAAGACGAACTATGAATAGTATCATTCTCCGCATCGGAAGGTAAACTCTCCAAAGGTCCTACATGCCACCGACACACTATACCCGCAACAGAGAATGGTGCATTGCGATCTCGGGCTGTGCTGGAGGCTGTGCTTCGACACGCGTTGCTTCCCGATGTAGCCAATTGATAAGCATTGGCGCGATATGCCGCCACACTCCTGTCGCATCGCGATCGGCTCCGATCACGGGGGAACGGGGTCGTGTCCTAAGGGATACGAGACGGAAAGTCACATCGACCTCGGTATTCCACTGAGAGGGCCCGTGAACGGGAGCTTCTATCCACTGTATGCTGCCCTTGCCTTCCAGGTCAGGGGGAAGAATTCCAATTTCATTTTGTCATTCACTCAATGGGATTTCCAATCATTGTTTTTCCAAGCGTGCTAGGAAGCCTACCATTCAATGAGTAGCTATTTGCAATGTGAGGCCTTTTCCTTTCAGAATTCTATTTGTTGAGGTCTTAAGCTTGGCCCACAATCTGCTTCGGGTTAGTTGCCCCATATCGCCTTTTGCCTCTTCTAACGGGTCCGGCTCAACAACTTCCCCTGATTATCAGTCCAATTTTTATTTTTTTATTTTTTTTGGTCTGTGACAGCAAAAGACGCGTCTCGGCTCGGAACTGGGCTTTGTCTAATGTCAATTGGCCATGTATTTGTGTTATCTAGCTGCATATGCACCACCGTTGACAGTGGACACCGGACACCCAAGGCTTTGGGAACATTTGAACACTTGTTTGCCGAACCCAAACATTTTGTTAGTTGATAAACGGCAGAATGGTTCGACGAGACACCAACTAACACCAAGACGGCTAAGTGTTTCTGAAAAGAAAAGATAAAATAGAAAAATAAAAAATGAAAAATGAAACTGTCAGGGGGGCTCCATAGGGACTAGCGATTAGACTCAAACTCAGTAGCGCCTTTTGGGCCTATAAGGGCGCAGCCAAGGGTATTAAATTAAGCGCTAGGCAGAGGAACAAAAACTGCTCCACGCGAATCCCCCGAAAATCAACGTCTTTCCCTACAGTTTTGTTGGGCGACTAAGCGAGACCAGGAACTCGGACAGCAGAATGGAATGATCCGGACGGTGACATTGGCCCGTCGAGGCCCCCATCCATGGAAAGGGGCCGCCACCATCTAGAAGGGGGCTAGAAAGGGATCCGCATAGGGCTCCATCTTTAGGGTACTACGAACCAATCAGTCTACCATGCGATTCATGTAAATAAATTTTCAACCAAGGGGCTAGGTCTTTAATTCTGCTTTCATTCTTGTTTTACGTTCTAGTTTCTTGTTTTCTGGAGCAATTGCAAAGATGTCGACTATTCAGACGATAGAGCCCGTTATCCAATTGAAGGGCGACGCTGAGGTATTTCACCTCATTCATTTGAACAAGTTCTGTTCATGCTGACCCCGAATAGGCCAAGGATCTTACTTATGGCTTCATCAGAAGCAAGGTCCCTGCTCACTGCTTTGAGCGCTCTGCTCTGCGTGGAATTTTGTATCTGCTTCGTGACTTTATCTATGCCTCAGTGCTCGTCTATCTGGCTCTGAACATTGATTATCTGCCCTCGCCCACTCTCCGAGCCGCCGCGTGGATCCTTTATGGGTTTGCCCAGGGCTGCGTTGGTGTCGGCATCTGGATCATTGGCCACGAGTGCGGTCACGGCGCTTTCTCTGCTTACAACAAGCTCAACAATGTTGTTGGCTGGGCTGTGCACTCTCTTCTCATGGTGCCTTTCTTCTCGTGGAAGATCACCCACGGTAGACATCACCGTTACCATGCTCACATCGACAAGGATGTTGTCTTTGTGCCCGCCACTGAGTCTGAGGTCAAGGCCCAGGAGCCCTCTATGTTCAGCAAGTTCATCGAGCTGGTTGAGGAGACTCCTCTCTACCACGCTATCACTCTGCTCGGCCACCAGCTTTTCGGATGGCAGCTTTACATGCTGTTCAACGTCAGCGCTGGTAACAAGAGTCTGCCTCCCAAGGAGAAGGGGCCTAAGATGCTCAGAAACAGCCATCTCGACCCCATTGGCTCCCTGTTCACCAGCTCGCAAGCTCCTTTGATCGCCATCTCTGATATCGGTCTTTTGATCGTTGGAACCTCTCTTTACTACCTGGCTCAACACATCGGTAGCTGGAAGGTCGTCCTTCTTTATGTTGTTCCCTATATGTGGGTTCACCACTGGCTGGGTAAGAATCTCTTCTCTAGATAGACAAGCGAACAATTTTCTAACATGAAATTAGTTGCCATTACTTACCTGCACCACACCCACCCCGATGTGCCTCACTATGATGAGAACGCGTGGACTTTCGTCAAGGGTGCTCTTTGCACTGTTGACCGCCGCTTCGGCTGGATTGGACGCCACTTGTTCCACGAGATCATTGACTACCATGTCATCCACCACCTTTTCCCCAAGATTCCTTTCTACCACGCCGAGGAGGCTACCAACGCCGTCACTCCTTTCCTTGGAAAGCAGTACCGCCTGGACGAGGGAATGTACCTCAAGTCTCTGGCCGACACCTTCGGATCCTGCAAGGTCAAGACCGATGCAGACTCTAAGGGTGAGCTGCACTGGGTGCGTCCTGAAGCAGGAAAGAAGCTGAACTAGGACTTCCACCATTTCTTCCGCTCATGCTTTACACGTTTTGTTTTTGTGCATAGAGGTTTAAAATAGATTAGACTAGACTCCACTACATCGTCTTCATCACCTTTCGCAAATCTTTGATCAGTAGCACGTATTGGACTGTGATCTACTAAACTAACGCAACGCATCATGAAAGCTTTAGTTAGAAATAGTAGGATGTGAAATGAACCATGGTAACCATCATTGAATTTCGTCCTAGATTGCTTTCCACCTGACTGTGAGGCTTTAGCCACATAATATTGGCATCACTTTGATGAATAGACCGTCCAAAAACGTGAATGTTGGTTGGGATTCCAGGAGTGGTACAGCAGACACGTAGATTTACCTCTGAGACTGCTGTAGATCCGGAATGCGGTATGTTGAATGGCAGCATGGGCCGTCGATATCTCTTTTATAAGCTCAGTTAGCATGAGACTGCGCAGCAGACTATTACATCTTTACAGGCTTTGGACAGAGATCCAATTATTTATATTTGTTTTGCCCACGACTGTGCCCTATCTGATATAGCCCCACTGCTCAACAGGCGGCCAGCGGCCAGCCTCAATTTGTGGAAGACTCGAGGGTTGAAAGAGGTGTCAATGTTGGGGCTCTTCGAGAATTTACGGTCGTGTGAATGAAAGTGTTAGATGGCAATACTCGGTACGTAGATAACAGCCTTCGCACTAGTGGTGAAATTGGGTATCCACGTTTTTTGTCTTGAAACCGTAATCATTAGAAGAAAGTATCATTACTAAACTGACAGCCAGCGTCATTGTATAATTGTACCCCATTATAGACAAACACCTCAGAACAATTTAGTGGTCCGGGACCGCAACCAAGGCCCAGCAAAGTATAGCGGCAACGCCAATCCAATAGCCGCCCACTCCATGCCCGCAAGTTCATAGAACATGTCAGCCACGCCCGACGCAGCCAACCAAGAATAACAGCTGCTAGCAATGCCAAAGGCAACAATGTTCTTAGACGCGTTGACCAGTACCAGTGCCTCGCCGCTAGTATGTGGGTAGGAGTCCACGACATACGAGAGCATGACAGAGGGAACGAGGGTCAGCGCAGCGGAGTTGATGGCCGCACCAACGGCAGGCTGAATGTAATGCGCTGACCGGGCGACTGTGTATCCGAACACGATCAGACCGACGGGGCAAATGAGGAATGGGATGATAAGTGCAGGGAGACGATGCTCGGGCTTGTGGACGTTGTTGTTACGCTTGCGCATCCAACGGGAGAAGAGATCGGTCAGGGGGCCGGCGATGGGCCAGGCAATGATGATACCGATGAAGCTGCTGAGTGTGAAAAGGCCTAGGTCGGCAGAGGTAAACAGATAGGGTGGTGGTCCGAAGAGGGAGGGAGCGAGGGTGGAGATCGCGACGATTCTATAGATAGTTTATTAGCAGGTCGTTCACAGATGAAATCGTCGATAGCGGATGAAGGAAAGACGCTTACCCTCCAAGAACAACACCATACATGATCGAGGCGATCAGCACGCCGGGAACCAACAACATGGGCAATGGAAGTACGAAAACATAGGCCAAGTGCTTGAGGACACCCTTCTCCCTGGCTTCCTTGGTGATGCGGAAAGTGAAAAGGCTCTTCGTGTATTCCCCATAGTCCATCTTGACACGGTCACCAACTTGGGATTGACAAGTTTGAACGGCTTCAAGGTGACCGGTCGCGCCCTTCTCGAAATCATCAATGACTTCGGGCTCTTCATCGCGGTCATAGATGGTCTCGGGAAGCATGAAGATTGTGGTAACCAAGTTGACAGCGGCGATGATAGAGCAGAGAATGAAGAACCACCGCCATCCACGGGCTTGAATAAGATATCCCGCAATAACAGGGCCGATCTGGGAGCCACCAGACAAGAAAGCGGCATATACAGCCATAGCGCTCGAGTAGTTTCGCTCATAGAAGAGATCTAAGGGGCCGTTAGGAAAATGATCGAGGGTTATCAAATGAAGCAAGGCATACCTGCGAGGATACTGGGTCCCAGCGACTCAATAGCACCATATCCTATACATATATTAGCCAACGTCAACCGCTGCGGAGTTTGAACCGTCCAACTCACCGAAACTGGCAAAGACTCGTGAGCCGAGTAAACTATTGTAATCCTTGGCAACTGCAGACCAAATACAACCGCCTAGGAACATCATCATAGAGATGATAACAATAGGACGCTTTCCGAAGCACAGGGCCAAAGGCATCCAGAATAAGTTGGCCAAACCCATGGAAAGAACTGAATAAGTGACAAGGGCTGATAACTTTGAGTTGTCTGCATGGAGTGAGATGGCTAGGGACTCAAACCCGGTCGCAATCCCGGACTAGGATTAGAGTAGCAAGTCAGAACCAGGGTCCAGGTCGAAAGAGCGGATCAACTTACCGAGTACATGTTCCCCATAAAGACGTAGACATTGACGGTAAGAAGAGCGGCATAGCACACCCGCCGTGGGAAGAGCTATAGACAGGCATTAGCAGTAGATCTGGATTAGTGGGATGCAATACTCACTCTAGGATCTCCAGCCGTCATCTTGATACAAACACTCCGGTAGACTGGAATGTGGGGAAGAATCGTATGATAGTGGGAGGATACCTGGGGGATGCACCCTGCCTTTAAGTCGCGTTTCCGGCTTTTCAACTCGGGAATTAAGAAAGCCACACCGGGGATGTTAATAAGACTAGACCGTTTCCCCGCAGGTTAGCCAGCTTTCACCACGAGGAGAAGCCATCATTGACTGGATGGCGTTGTCGGGTAGTCCGTGGGGCGATTCTGGGAATCTCGGATGCGATTCGGGACCACATCCTTGTCTGCGCCGCAAGGTCGTGCACTACTAAACAGGGGGTAGCTCGTGGTTTTGGGGCCTCTTTTTTTTTTTTTTTTTTTTTTTTTTTTTTTTTCCTTTGAGAGATGGATGAATAAGTCCGCGAAAGAGGGCGTCTCGTACACTATGGCATTTTTTTTTTTTTTTTTTTTCAGTTCTACTGTCTTTTGCATCGCATTAGTTGCGAAGATCTTGCAGAGGGGCCGCGTACTCGTCAGGATAGGAGTGAGTCAATGTTAGGAATCAAGCAATCACGAGGCCAAATAGCGTGGCTAGAAATTAACCATGGATTGGCTTCGCTTCCGCGGTGTTTGACAGTCGAGACTGAAAGAGACAAGTCCCTCGCTTATGGAGTCCGTCTTGGTACCCCAGACTGATCCACCGGGGATCTGTTAGCTTCCCCATACTATGCACCCCAGACGAACAGGATGACAGCGGAGACGAGGTCTCCACTAGGTCCATCCTGGGATCGATTTCTGTGCATTATTCATCACAGGCGAGTGCCGCACATGGGAAATCCGGGAGGGGGGGGGGGATAGGGCAAGTCGGCAATCCCGAGTCGTGGCGGGTCCTGGGACTCGGCCATTCCGACTGTCTTGACGAGCTGCACGAGATCCAAGCTCCCTGCTCGTTCCATCTCTCTCTCTTTATAGAATTCGGAATTCCCTCCAAGTAATTATCGTCAGATCTTTATTATTTCAACACACATTCAAGATGGTAAGCATAGCCTAGTGTGACCAGGGTGTCCGGGACTTGGTTAACAGATCACATAACAGGTCCCAGAAGATGCGCGTCTGCGCGTGGTCATCGTCGGAGCTGGTCTCAGCGGCATTGCCACGGCTATTTCTTCAGCTCTTTCCGGTCACTCAGTCACAGTTATCGAGCAGGCCAGGCAACTGGCAGAGGTCGGGGCAGGCTTGCAAATCACTCCAAACGCAGCTCGTCTTTTGAAGTACTGGGAACTCCCCGCTTCATTATGGGAAGCAGCTGCAGAGCCCACTAAGTTGACTGTTCATCGTTATTCTGGCCAGATTCTGGCCCACGATAGCACTTTTGACAAGAACATTCGCGCCAAATACGATGCGCCCTTTGTGGATTTGCATCGTGGGGATTTGCAACTGGCTCTGTTTGCGCGGGCAAAGGATCTGGGTGTGACTTTCCATTTTGGAGAGAGAATCGAGCGTATTGATTTTGACTCGACTGTTGTGCATTCCGTGGCGGGAAAGACCTTCTCTGGTGATTTGATTATCGCTGCGGATGGGCTGTGGTCCCAGTGTCGTGAGGCCTTTGTGGGGAAGAAAGACGAACCCATTCCCACTGGAGATCTTGCGTACCGAATCGTTTTGACAGCCGATCAGATCTCTGATCCCGACCTTAAAGCACTGGTTGAGAACCCTGAAGTGCATTTCTGGATTGGACCTGGAGCTCATGCGGTCGGTTATTCGCTACGCGGCGGCCAGATGTACAATATCGTGCTGCTGGTGCCGGATAACCTGCCTCCGGGTGTCTCAAAGCAGGCTGGCTCTGTGGAGGAGATGCAAAAGCTCTTTGTCGGTTGGGATCCAATGTGAGTGGCCCTGGTCTATCCCATCGTCACTATACTGACTCTTTGCTCAGTCTGAACAAGTTCCTTACATATGTGACCAACGTGGACAAGTGGAAGTTGATGCACCGTAAGGTTTGAACGGTACTTCAAACTAGAAATGCTTCTAACATGCCTACAGACGGCGAAATGGAGAATTGGGTGAACGATACCTCAAATCTGGTCTTCATGTGAGTTTTGCTATCGAACCTTTAAAACATGCAACGTGAACTGACACGCCAACCAGTGGTGACTCTTGTCACCCCATGCTCCCATACTTGGCACAGGGTGCCAATTCTTCCCTCGAAGATGGTGCTGTCCTGGGCCTTCTACTGGGACACATGACAGATAAGGCACAATTACCTCGTATTCTGCGCCTCTACGAGAGCCTCCGCAAGTCTCGAGGTGAAGCAATTGTGCGCGAAACCTTCAAGCAGGTGAGCATCTTCAATTCAAATCCGACCAAATGTTCAAGGTAGCTAACCATCACCACAGAGACACGACTTCCACATGGAAGATGGCGAAGAGCAGAAGAAGCGTGACGAGCTCTTCCTCTCACAACTTGGAAAGGAGATCAAGGGCCACTTCCCCAGCCGATGGTGAGTATTCCTTCTATTGTGCATATATCACATGGCTAATACCTTTCACTATAGGACATGTCCTGAAGTTCAACCCTGGCTGTATGGATACGACGCCATCAAGGAAGTTGAGAAGGCCGTGGCAGAAAACCCCGATCTGTTCTCACAACCAACACCTTCACGCTCGTTCTGCCAAATTCTGTAGTATTGGCGTTCCCACAGATTAGACCTTTTGCATAGCTATACCGATTCAATGACAGGTTCAAATATTCGAACAACCTCCGAGCTACCAATTAAATGTAGAGATTGTCATTAGAGTAGAGAACTATCTACCATTCATGGCTCTAAATCTTAGGCTTCATAATATTAAAAGCCTCAGCCTTCGATCCAAGAACCGGCTTGAAGCCCTCCCCCTCACACTTCAACATGGCCTTCTGATAAGCCGGTCGCTCGCCAATACGCTTCAGATAGGCCAGGATATTCGCATTCTTCACTGTATCCAACTCAATCGGACAGAACCCTCTCATCGTGGTCAGGGTGAAGACAGTCATAATATCTGCAGCGCTCAACTCCTTGCCAGCAAGGTAAGCGCCCGTCTCACCCAAGCGTGCATCCATCATGTCGAGCAAATGGTTCCATTTAGCTACTGTGTGCGCAACAACCGGGGACTTGGAATCAGACGCCGGGCCTCGGGCCATCATCACTCGGAATAGCGTCGGCTGGAGACTGCCATTGGCAAAGTGGAACCATTCAAGGTACGGCGCGTACTCTGCGCCGTCCTTGGCCGTACGTCCTAGGCGGCCGTTGCCGTGGACCGCGATCAGGTAGTCCGCGATGGCTCCCGATTCGGCGATCACGACTTTTGATCCGGTGACGGGGGAGGGATCATCCTCCATTACGGGTGCCGTGCCGGCGGGGTGGAGGTCTTTGATTGATTGCGGGGAGAAGATAGGGTCGCGGTTGTGGTGCACATATTTGTAGTCAATGCCGAGCTCTTCGGCGAGCCAGATGACGCGCTCGGACTGGGAAAGTCCGAGGTGGTGGAGGGTCAAGACCATATTTGGTAGGATTGTTCGGATTATGCGGGGAAGAACAGGCAGTCTCGGGCGATCGAAATAGGAACCAGCTTGCCGGGACTCCAAGCTTTTAAATGTGGTGCGGGCCCGCTCTACGTTCTAAACTCCGATTGCTGAATTCCGGTTTCCTGAAGTCCGATTATTTTGTTGTTTGGCGACGATCATGACATCAGGGGACGTTTCTTCGACTGTTCAATACTACCATTGTGATGCAGCTAGAATGAGTCAAAGAACGTGCGTAACGAGCACGAGCACGGTGAGATTAGTGGATGCACATGATTGAGTGGGTAGTTTAAGTCCCTTGATAAGCACTAGAACATAATGGGAAGGACTCGTGGCCTGTGAACTCCTCGCTAATAAAGGAAACAATTAGGCTAACCATCCAACATAGGCAGCCCTCCAATATCATCAAATAGCCGGGCGATTCCGTCGAACGAGTAATCGGGGAACCCGAATCCATAAGCCCACTCGGGTATTTCAAATCCATTGCCTGTGCCTGACTCATTCCCAGCCATGTCTTCGGTACCATCCGTACCGGCAGCTGGCGGTTGTGCTCCCGAGGCCCTGAAGTCTCGAAGGTACTGCCGGATTATTTCCACTGATTTGCGCGCCACGACAGATTCTTCCATAGCTTCCAGAATCTCGACGCCCATTTCGACGGATCGTAGAAGCGGCATGGTTTCGGCGCACATGCCGAGTTTTGACATTGGGAGGAGGAGCGTTGATGTGGCAAACATCACATAGGTTGTGTTGTACCACCTGTAACTTGGTAAGCAGGAGAAATGTAGTGGGTAGTAAATGAACCCACCAGCATCGGAAGAATGTGTGGACTCGGTAGATGTCGTGCACGACTTCGATTGTCTTCATAGCGGCATCGAGGCATTTCGAGATAGTTTCCTCCAGTTCATTTGGAGGATGTCGAAGTTTGCGAGTAAAGTGGCTTAAGAAAGGTCTGAAAAGGAGCATCTTCACGTTATAGAATCCTATTGTGAATGCAAGAATTAGCTAGCTTCAGTGTCAACAGTAATAGACGGCGCTCACGAATAGCCAGCACAAGCCGTTGCCTTCGGGCCCATTTGGGATCCCGAAGCGCGCTTCGAGAAAGCCTGTATGCGCCAATGTCTGGCTTGATCTTCTCTGGGAGTCTTGCAAGCCATCGGTCCATTTCCATTTCGATCTGAAGCGCCAGCTGCAGCTTTTCTTGCAGTGTGATTCGGGAATGGTAGATGTGAATGGACACACGTCGGATGATCTGCGCAAAATCGATCATCCAAGGAATGATGGCATATTCTGTGTCATCTCGCTCTGGGATGGCTCGGTTATGATATTCGTCCATTCCCAGGGTATCAGGCCGCCCGACGGAGAATCCCATTTCACTGGGAGATAATTAGAGATAAGTGTAATCAAAGCTCATTGGAGATCGATACTTACATTTCCAGCGAAAACAAACCCCTAAATCACCAAAATTTGTTAGCGTTTGTATCGCGAGATTAGTTCAATTTTGACTCACCACCACGTCCTTGAGATCCAGCTCGTACGTTGGTCCTTGGGACACTGAACCTCTCTGTTAAATCCCGCTGAAAGGCAAGTGCGTACAGCTAAGCCAAGATACATATATGCCACTGTTGAAATTAGTATCAGTCAAGTAGCACTGGCCGGGCAACTCACAGTTAGGGTTAAGTTCGTTTTGGCAAACTTTCGCCTGTGGCTTTTTGTTAGATCAAGTTCTGGGGGGAGGTAACGACAACAGACCATCAAATAAAGACACTGTACTGTCTCGAGATCATTCGAGAACCGTAGATAATTCAGATATGCTTGGGCCTCGCCAAATAACTTGCGACTCCATTCGAATCGTCCCATTCCCGCAAGGGTACTCTCGTCCCACACGCGCACCAGGGATCCAAACGAGAGAACACTCAGGTATAGAGCAACGAAACTAGGCTCGGGAGTATGCGCCCGGTTGAACCAAAGGTTGTTGGCGCGCACCAGGAAGTCTTCTTTGTCGATAAATGGGTGAATGAAATGTATGTTCTCGAAATATCCATTCATGAAGACATGTGCCTGATCAAAATAATAGTTCTGTTGTTCGATAGATGCGAGCAATGTTGGATGGGCTGGACCAGTGGTACAAGATGGCGAGAAGCTTGGATTATGCAATGTGGAGATCAATGAGAAATCTAGAGGACGAGGAAGACGCTCCTCGTGGCTTTTTGTCTCTCGTGCCTTCGTGAGGTGGCCGATGAGTGCTGCTGATGAGGTGCTTCCGTGAAATTCAATCCCGTTGGTATGATGATTCAACTCATTAATCTCGTCAGCACTCTCGGCTGACTCCTCCCGTGCCTCGCCGGGCATCTTTGTCGCATCTCCAGGCGTAGACCCAGTTCGAACCATAGAGGCCGGCGGTGTCTCGATTCCTGTGGAGAGTGGCGGTTGGCTCATTGGCCCCTTTAGGGGATGCGGAGGTGCTGCAATTTGGGCCTCAGCAATGCGCAATTTTGACGCCAGCTCTTCCACTTTCTTCTCCAGGTCAACGACATAACTGCGATTCGTGTCAGTTGATTGCACGTGAATAAAAGCTTGTTTGATATGCCGAGGCGATCAAAAGGGATGCCATACTTAGCAGACCGGCTGCTTTCGCGCTCACGATAGTTGCCTTGGTATACGCAATCCAATCCACTCTCTGCGTGTCTCTCAGCATAGGCCTGCAATATGTATACGAGGGATTCACTCACTTCTACAATGGGCACATGGATACTGCTCGTCGCACTTGTATTTCTTGGTCCTGCAGCGGTCGCAAGCTTGGGCAGCACGCGGTCGCTTAGCACGCTTGGGAGCCGGCTCATCCACAGCCGACTGCAGAATCGGGCTCTGGCTTGATTCCATTATCCCAGCATGATAATGTGAAATCTGGGGTAAGTGTTCGTGGTCGCGACGCTAGTCGGATGTAGATGATAACGAACATGCATCCGGAAATTCCGGGATCTTTGGCCTCCCTTGGCTCCACGTGACACCCCCGCGGGGGCGTTGTGTCTCACTTTAAGTCCGGGGCTAGTAGAACCAGTCAATTAGGATGGTGGCTCAGTCTAATGCGAGGTGGGAAGCTACTCGGCAATTTCCACGAGGAGGGGACCCCGCTGACGGCGTGAATTGCCGAAGGAAACCGATTGGAGTCATTCTTGGACATGGAACATGGAGTCATCATTCAGAACTTTGTAAATAAGCAACTATATACACCGGACCTTTATACTATATTTAAACGGCCCTAGAGGCTCATATTGAGCTGCTTCGCTACGGAAGCCAACTGAGAAGCGTCCCATTCAGGAACCTGATCCGGCAGTACAACTTCCTCAATAGGCTTGCCGAGCTGGTGAATCAGAGCTTCGATACCATCACCATCGCTGAAGGAGTGGACCTTGACATATTTGCTCTCAAATCCAAGAGAGAAAGCCTGACCAGCAGGGATCACCACAGTCTCGCCTTCGCGGAAGAGGGTTTCCCCGGATCCTTGCAAGCTAACCTTGAGAGTACCCTCCATGATGCAGAAGCAATGATCCACCTTCTCGAAAGTCATATATTTTGAGAATACAGTCTCGCCATAGTCCTTCGATGACTCAATGCTAGAGATGGCACAGACATTATCACTTTGCTTGGTAGTAACGAACGGCCGGGACATGACTCCTCCCAGCATCCATCGGGGTCCAGTGTTGGAGCGCAAGAAATACCCCTCGTTGCCTTCGGGCAACTTCTCATCCTCCTTAGTCCATTCGCTGACCTCCGGGGGCTCATAGTGAGGCTGGAAGACAACGTCGAACTTGCCCTTGGCAGCCATGACTTTGGGAATCAGAATAGACTTCAAATCGCGGTTGTCGGTCTCGGGCACCAGAATGCCTTCGTAGGGCTCGGAGACGTAGCGGAAGAAATCGACCCAGTCGCCGGGGGTAATCAAGCCCTGGATCTCTGTGTGGGGGCCGATCATTTCAGGGTTGTGGACGACTGTCTGTAGACATTGTTAGATCGAACGAGGTACCTCATCTCATTGTGTTCTGAATTCATACCGGAGGCACATAGGCAAAATCGCCGGGACCCATGATACGGCACTTGTCTCCATTCCACAGCTTCAAGTATCCCTTCGTGACCAGGAAGACATCGTGCGCCTTGTTGTGATAGTGGAAACCAGGAGCATCCGAAATAGTAGCACCGCTCTGGAAAACGGCCATCAAGCCATTGGTCTGCTTGGAGGAGGTGAGGATACGGAAGACACCTTTGCTGCCGGGGATGGTGATGCGCTCTCCCTCAAGCTGAGGGATGGCATAGGGCACCCGGTCTGCAGGAGGCTGATTGGAAAATGGCAAAGACATTGTGTAGATGAAAAATAAAAGTTTACGAGAAAGTCAAATTTCGGATGATTCCCAAGGTTTTAAACTTGCAGAGTCGGTATGCGGGGGACTTTGATGCCGAGAGCGGAGAAGCCGTGCCCGGAAGATCCGAGTTGCCTTTCGCGGGGTTTAGCTGCATGTCTGGCCTCGTTGTCTGCCCTGGAGCTCTATTATTGTTGTCAAAGGTGGATTCGGAGTTGTTAGAGGCCGACCGGAGCCGCTTAAGCAATCAATGAGGGGTCAAATGCCTTGACAGCTGCCGACTACCTACATGCATGAACCGGGGTGTATCTAGACTTGCATTACTAACATGAATATGTTCTAGACTGAGTCGGCAAAAGAAATTGAAATCCATCCAGGCGAGGCATCGAGAGGTCAACGGTGTGTAGCTGCCAAACTGCCCCGCGTCATGTACGCGTTGCACTAGCCCCACCATCACGTTTGATTTTGACGCAATTCCACTGGCTCCAAGCCGATGATCGGGCTGTCGATCTGTATAGATCTCTACGGCCTAGCCTTGTGTTATACACGCCTATGTATGGGTATCAGTTTGCAGGGGTATCTACACACTTGTGTAGACCTTAGCCGTTCGAGGACATGGGCGAAGCTGGGCGACTAAGATACATTTCATTGAATTAAGGGAGCTTTTGAAGAGTGAGGCTGATACCCCACGACATCGGTCATCTATTCATCTCGTACTTTTACCCCGCGGAAGCCAATCTCCGTTAACAGGGTCTCCCACAATGGCCCAACCCCGTCCGATGTGGAATGATCTCACTCTTCACGGAGAGTCGTTGAACCGACAATTTGTTGCTTAGATCTTTTTTTTTCCTCCAAAGGAGAGGCACTCCTCTGCCTCATAAATCTCCTTCCGGGACATCCAGATTGGTTGAAATGAAGCATTGCCACCGGTTCACCATACGCGCGGATAAAATATCACCCACCCTCCCCACGCTCGTGGGGACGCGCCGCCCTGCACTGATTCGTGTGGGGTGAGGTGAGTATAATACTTGATGAGTTCCCACCTCCCTCCGCACTTCGTCAATTATCCTACAGCCATCATGTCGTCTTCTCTAGAGAAACCAACCGGCGAGTACCGTCAATACCTGCCAGACCTGAACATTCCACGGTTCCAGGTGATGTGCACCCAGGATGCGCATGAGTATGCACACGCCTTTAAGACTGGCAAGCAGCCGCCGTGGTTGCACGCGCTGTATATGCATTGGCTGGATCTGTTGCAGGAGCCTTTCAAGGGTGTCACTACCGACGGTAAGATTCGATCATGAGCTTGAGCTGTAATGCAATCGCTGACATCCACTAGGCAAGGTCCGTCCTGACCTGTTCACACTACAAGATGAAGATGTCCCGATCCAGGAGATCGTGGCCGCGACACAATCCATGATCTCCCTGCTGGACGACAAGCAGAAGGAGGCCGTCAGCTACCACATTGATTCGCCCCAGTGGCGCACCTGGTCGAACCCCGAGTTCCTACTCGCACACAAGGGTGTCCGCCTCGACGAGGTGAATGAGCAGATTCGCGACGCAGTCATGAACATTCTGAGGGCCACCCTCTCACCCGAGGGCTACGAAAAGGCCGTCAGCGCCATGCGCATCAACCACTTCCTCGGCGAGCTCGTCAAGTCTCCCCGCGTCATGAATGAATTCTCTTACAACTTTGCGCTCTTCGGAAAGCCCTCCACAGATCGCCCGTGGGGTTGGTCCTTCTATGGCCACCACCTGTGCTTGAATGTCTTCCTGTACAAGGGCCAGATTGTTGCCTCGCCGTGGTTCACCGGTGCCGAGCCCAATGAAATCGACGTCGGTCCCTACGCCGGCACTCGAATCATGCAGGTCGAGGAGAAGCTCGGTCTGGAGCTGATGCAGTCCCTCTCGGCCGAGCTGCAGGCCAATGCCCGTGTCTTCGCCCTTATGAAGGACCCCGCCATGCCCCCCGGCCGCTGGAACAAGGACGACCAGCGTCACGTGTGTGGTGCCTACCGCGATAACCGCGAGGTGCCATACGAGGGTATCCTGGCATCGACATTCAACGAGGACCAGAAGAAGCTGATGTACGGTATTCTGGAACAGTACCTTTTATACCTGCCCGCCAAGGCGCGTGCTAAGAAGATCGAGGAGGTGCGCCGCTGGGAGGCCGAGACCTACTTCTGCTGGATCGGAGGCTACGGCGACGAGGATCCCTTCTACTACCGCATTCAAAGCCCTGTTCTTCTCGTCGAGTTCGACCACCACTCCGGTGTCTTCCTTAACAACGAGGAGCCCAAGAAGTTCCACATTCACACCCTCCTCCGCACCCCGAACGCTGGTGACTATGGACAGGCGCTGCGCGCTCAGATCCCTGCTATCGAGGGAATCAATGGGAAACACATTGTTTGGTAGGTCGCGCCAGTCGTGGCATGAATCACTCCCATGTATACTGTATGCGATGAATTTTGATGAAGCATTTTTCTTGTGTCTACCTTTGATCACTTGTGCATTGGGCCTATATGTCTGATGGGAGTGTTTCTTGTTCTTATTTAGACTGCGATGGCTGATGCTCCGGTCTGGTTGCTTGTTTGAAGGTCTCCAATGCGAACAACGAAGATATGATTGATTCGACAAGAAAATACTCCATCTGGTATTACTGTAGTATGTCTGGAACGAAAAAAGTATATCGAGTGGATGAACGAAGGATGACTCTTGAATGCGCCCCATCATCTCAAGGTCTGTATTAGTTGTATTTTCCATCCAGGCACTGAAAAGAAAGAAACGTAAATTATATACAGTACGAGCTCTTGGGGGACCAAACGAAGAAACATCGGTTTTAAAACCACCACCAAAAAGCAGACCATGCCGAAAAAAAATAAGGACTCGTGTATCGTTAACCGAAATCGAGTGATCAACCGTTCCACCTCGGTAGATTCCCATATAGCGTATATTTCGTCGACGTAGAATATGTTCAAACAGCCGCACCGAGCCGCAATGGGAGCAAATCACGAATCCACCCTGAGTGCATCATTATCCGGGATAAGCTCATACCCACCCTCCGAGGGCAGAATCTGAGCCGCGACAACGATCGCGCCAGCACAGAAAATACCGAGGCACCAGCTAACGGTACAAAAGACCCACGACTCATCGAGGTTCCAGCCCACGAAAAACCGATCTTCATTATCGTAGAGGTATGCCTAGCGCAGACAATCAGTATCAACCCACCCCCGGGCTGTGAGGAACCTACCACTATAGACATGCTCGCAGCCTGTAGAAACGCCGACATAACGATCAGCAGACTAAGCAGTCGCCATCCATTCTCACGGAGCCGCTTTCCGCCCAAGAGAATCACCATATACGTCACTATGCTCATGCCCTGGAGCACGACCGCGAACGACATCAGGAACCCGACCGAGCGCCACATGGAGCAGAAGTACCGGTCATCGCCATGGCAGTCTTCGCGCTGAGGGAAGCTTTCACAGATATCGGTGAGGGAGGAGCAGCGTTTGTGGAGGCCGTAGGAATAGTGGAGCGCAGGCTGCGTAAAAGGTCAGCGGAGAGTCAAGGGAGAATATCGCGCGTGTAGTTTCACCTTCTCACTGTGATAGCTGACCCATTTAGGGATTATGATGGAGCTCAGCGTTAAGGCGAAGGCTGGTAAGTGGTTCCCCTTGTCAGCGAGAGCTCTGAACTGCAGCCTAGTCTGTTACCGCGGATCTCATAACTACTCACACGCCAGGAAAAAGACTAATGTCCCTGAGTAGACGATTGTCTTGGTTAGGAAGCCCGTGTAGTTCCAGTCGGTGCCTCGAGGGACGAGGCGGAAATCCATGGTGGATGTCTAAGAGAGGAATGGCCGATTGCGTAGGTGGTTTGGGACGGTTGGCCCGTGCGGACGGTGCATCGAAGCCCCAGGGGCTGAAGACAGGGAAGAATAATCAGGTGGGAAAGGCTTGGACGTTCCGAATATTAGGATGTATTGTAAGGAAGCATCAAAGCGATGTCTCCAGGCAGCGCATTGGAGGGAAGAGCGAGAGGTTTCAAGCAGAAGATCATGGGGGGCGTGACCCACCTTCTTATCAAACTCCCCGCAGTCCAAAACCGGGCACAGAACGTCTGAGCACCCGCACGCCGATCTCTTTAGTCGCGTGTGTGATGCTTTTTCCTTGATTCTGACCTTTGTCATGTTCTACGGATTTGCATTACAGATTCAACGGGCTCGGGTTGGTTTCAGGGGGCTGCCATGTACCTAAGGTCACCCACCCTAGTTCCTGGCCAGGAACACGGCTCTCACGACGGTACAAGGCATGGATCCATAACCAGGCAGCTAACCAGAAGTACCTGCCGGTGCATTTTCAACCTATCTGTTCGGTGCGTGACTTTATCCAAATCTCTCCCCCTCTACATCTATACTCCTTCGAGCGCCGTAGAGTTGTACAGGCCATATACAAACACGTCATGCATGATTGGAAACCCCCTCGTGAAACGAAGGATCTCCTGGAACAGCCGTCATCATTAAAACTAAAAGCCAGCGGTACAGAGACATAATGTACAGGAAGGCACGAGGCCCAGCAAAAAGAGAGCCACCCGGATGATATGATACATACGGATCGCGAGGTAGTATTGGGGCCGCTGAGAAAAGACAAACGCCAACCAGATTCATGCCATAAGGAATGTTTACGCCGGTTACTTTCATTGCCATTGCACTTCACGCCGTACGGTTCTGCTGCAGCATCGCACGGAAATCATCATTGCTCTTTTTGGACTTGCCACCGTCGCCATCCTTGTTGTCAGCTGTGGTATCCATCCTGTCGCTGTCGAGTGTCGCTTTGTCCGCCGGTCCGCCGGGCGCGGTGGTTCGTTTCAGGCCAAGTCCGCCTCGGCGGCCTCCACGGGCTCCGGGCTGCTGAGGGCGTCTGATGGGACCCGCCGGTTGGAGGTTGGTCTTCGGCTTCTCATGCTTGATCGAGGTGACCCGGTCGGTCTTGCGGTCAGCATTGAGCGTTTTCAACTCAGCAACACTTCCAACGTGAAGCGGGCGACCCGGGACAATTTCTTTCCCTTCGAGAGCCAGCGATGCTTTTCCAGCATCGTTGACGTCGGCAAACTCCACGATGGCGCCTTGATGGTCCGGCCGCAGAACGATCTTGATTAACTGTCCGAATGGCTCCACCAGGGCGCGGATTCGAGCGTCGTTAACTGTATCCGGGATATTCATTAAGCCGAGTGTGCGATTACCGCGGTCACCACTCGTTTCCACCGCATCTGAGCCATCACCGTTGACCTCTGCAGATGGAGAGGCCGATGTGCGAACACGCGAGATGATGGTGCTTGCCATGCGCTTGGCACCGGTTTGGCCACTAGGGTTGACTTGTAAACGACGGGATCCGAGCATCTCCTCATTCATCACGAGAGCAGCTTCAGCTTCTTCTTTTGTGGAGAAGGTTATAAAGCAGAACCCTCTACGAGTGCCATCGACATTGACTGGCATATGGAGCTTCTCGATTGTGCCGAATCTCGCAAACGCCTCCTGCACCTCCTTCTCGCTGAGCTTGAAGTCAAGATTCTTGCAGAAGATCTCACGTCCTTCCTGCATGGCCCCGGAGCGGTCCTGCTTTTGGGAAGGGTCAGAGATCTTGGCAACGAGCTTGAAGCCTTTCTCAGTAGATGTACCGTCAAGTTCGGTAGCCTGGTGTGCTGCACTGGAAGTAGCAAACTGCACGTAGCAGAATCGGCGTTTGGTTTGATACTTGAGCGATGGGAAGCGTACTTCAAGAACTTCGCCGTACTTACTGAAGAGGTTACGAATGTACTCCTCATCAGCAGTCGGGGGGAAATTCGTGACATACAAGGTGGTGTTGGTATCAATCTGCACTTCAATGGTATTTCCATGGAAGTCCTTTTGATCCCGAGTCTGGGCACTAAGAGCTTCTTCTTGTGTTTCGAACTCGATGATTGAAACCTCCGACTTCTTATCTTCACCGCGCATCATCTTGACGCCATTTATGGTGCCGATCTGTAATCTGGTCAGTATAGGTTGATATGACAGGGCAAAGCTGGACTTACGTGGCGGAAGAATTGTCGGACCTGGTGCTCGGATGTCTCGTGCGGCAAGTTCTTGACAACCACAGTTGCATGCTCGCGATCACGACTAGGTCCCACGGGCTCCTCCTCTTCCTTGATGGCCGTCTCTTCACCACGAGCCTTCTTGCTAGTGGGCTCGCCATTCGCATCATCCTCACGTTTTCTCTTCTCCGACGTAGACGCTTCGGCAGCCGCGGCCTCCCACTGTTGCTGCTGCTGCTGTTGAGCCGCGGCAGCTTCGCGTGCTTCCGTTTCCCTTCGAGCGGTGACAGCTCTCATAGCCTTTCGGGTCTCAATGACCGCAAGTTGCAGCTCGTCCGAGTCCTCGTAGTCCTCACAGTGAGCGATGTAAGTATGCACAATCTTCTCCGGCCAGTCAAGATCTTGGCGTTTGATGGCTTGCTTCAAAACTGCAGTCGCATAGCTTGGGTTGGGTGTCCGCCTCGCGGCGTCCACTGTAGCCTCGCCTTGAACAAACTTGCTCCACGAGATAAGCTCCCATCCATAGTAAGTAAGCCAGAATTCATAACTGTTGCCGCGGCGAGGAACAAGGCCCTTGAAGGTCTCACGTGCGCTGTCCCAACTGCCACTTTCGCTGAGGTATCGAATGTAAATGCGCTCCAAGCGGAAGAGAGGATCGCCCTGGTATGAGCGACCATACTTCTTCTCACCTAGCTCTTGTACACTCTCAATTGCCGAGCGAATGCCAACCTCTGCCACATCTAGATCCTCGTCGGTAGCTTCAGAGAGGAACGCACGTCGACGAAGGTAGCTGCACCAGGTGACATGAACTTTGAGAACCTCTTCCATGCCTCCAGCATCAAGAAGCCCAGTGCTAGTAGCCTTGTGTTTAATGTTCGAGATCTTGGAGAATGACTGGCCCTCGCGTTCTGAGCTTAGTAGATACTGAGACCAGAGGTTACCAGACCAAGGGCAATGCCGAGTTGCCCGGTCAAGAGTTGCGATGGTCGTGGTGGAGGTGTGATTATGCATGGATTCGCCGATGAGGAACATAACATAGTCTTCCCATAAAGAGACGTCTGTAGGGAAATGTAGAACAGCGCGCTGGTAAATAGCATTTGCGAGTTCAAAGTTGTAGTCACGTCGCCGGTTGCGACTCAATTCCCAATCGATGTACTCGGTATAAGCTGTCCACTCAAGGGTCTTATCACCAGATTCCTGCACCTTGCTCAATCGAAGTTCATGTTCTTCACGAGAGTCATAAAGATTCTTCGCTTTCGATCCCTGAGCAACTGTTTTGGACATGATTTCTTCGTAGTTGGATTCATAGTATGTAGAAACGAAACTCGAGAAAGTCTGGAAGGTCTGATCCCAGGTCGCGTGGGGCGTCTGCAGTCGGACATCGTATAAGCCCCGAAGATGATTGATCTTTTCTTGGGAGGGGGCTTGTGAGAGGTCCTGGGTATAAAGCTCCAGCAATCGGTCCCAAACAAGGTGACTGTTGTTGATCCTCCACCGAGTGGCTTCCGCGGCCCGTTGCCACACATCTAAGACCGACTGCCAGCTGAAAACTTCACGCCCAACCAACCGGTCTTCTTCAGTCCACTGGCCAGCTCCACCTTCACCGGCCGCAGAGTTGTAAAGGTAGAGTACCCATTCACCATAGATATGCCAGAGCTGTGTGCTGCCAAATTCTTCTTCGACCGATCGTTGGCAAAGCTCCATCACGGCAATACGCTCCGTTACTGAATGAGCCAACATGCTTTCATCCTGGATCCATTCGGCCCAAAGATCTTCACCCATCGCGAAAAGCTTATCCATTTCCTCCCGAGCAGTTCGAAGATCCTTAAGAAGATCGTATCGCTGCGGGTCGCCATGGATATCCGGATTGTTGGGCGGGTACACGTGGTTTACGAAGCCTGCATGCAACAACCCGATAAACTGGACGTGCGCTTCATAGGTGTGGGGGTTTTCCTGGATTTGATTGAACAAACTAGTCGCCGAGTGCTGCGCGTCCGGCTCGAGCGATGTCTGAATGTAATTTCTCCGCGCGCTTGCCCGCGGGCCCTCTGACATTGCGATATCGAAGGATGTACGGGCGGCCGGCGTGTTATGGTTGATAGGATTCACATGAGGGTGAATAGTGGAGGGAGAGAGCTGGCTCTGATACGACTCGGTGTTCCGCAGCATGGAGGGGGGATTCCTGCCAGCTTGCGGCTGGTGGTGCTGCATCGAAGCCAGGTCTGCCAAGGTATCCATCCCAGTCGGTGGTTGTCTCGAGGGTGGTCGTTCGGTCACAGTAGCTGCGCCATTGCCACTGCTAGGGTTGGAGGCGATAGGAGGGCTTGCAGCTGGCGGGGACGACTCGGCCATGGAAGGTGGCGCATACACCTGCTGCGCAAGAGGCGAGGATACCTTTCCTTTGCGACCAGGACCCGACCGTGCGCGTTGGATAGCTTTATGGGGAGAGGACGATGGGGCCGGGCTTGGAGCTGGTGCGTTATTCGACGGAGGGCCGGGCACGGGCGTCGAGTTCCCAGATTGCGGATTTGAGTCCGGGGAAAGCAGTGAATTGATATCCATGTTGCCGGATTTTCAAAGTCTACTACACACCCTGGAAAAATAGAAGGAGCGACAGAGAAGTCAAAGATATGTCAAGAACCAGAGGTCACGGATAGTGCTAAAATAGCAGAGATCCAGTTCAGACGACAGCCACGATATGTCTCAACGACACATCCATTCCTGCATCCGCCAACACAGCTCAGTATTCAGATCCCGTCTCGATGTGCCGGATTCCGCAGTCGCCAGGGATATCGCGCTTTAATTAGTGCGCGAAGCTTGAGTCGTTTTGCAACAGTTGTTTTTCGAGAAGACCGAAGGGGACCGAGGAGAGGCCGCGAAAAGGAACGTGTGGAAGAAAGAGCGGGAGAGGTCCCAGTTAGGTTCGATCACAGGTGTTAAGTACGTCGAGAGCGAAGCATGTAGGATAGGGACAGGCAGGAGCCTGATGACCTGGTAAAGTGATAGAGGAGGAGGGGTAGGGGGAGAAGGAGGATGGAAAGGGAAAAGGTGCCGATGGAGGGAGAAGCACTGAAGGCCCTGAAAGAGGGAAGATGAGGGCTAGTGGATCTTCCCTGTGGAGATGACGGTGGGAGGGAATGCAAGCCTTGACTATGGGCAGATTATGCAGAGCAGGTCCCCTATAAGGTTCAAGCGTCGCCAAATATCTGTCCCAAGTTCTTGGAGTTAATAATTAATAAAAGGTTGCGATGCGATTTCCCAATCTGATCAATCATCTCACGATATCATGCCTCAGGCATGATAAGTCTACGGTCGGCTGTAACCGCCATTTACGCAGTCCGCTTCTATCACCTTTTTTTGCACCGTCGTCCATACCAACAACACTCCATTCCAACGATCACAATGGGTGTCGTCTATCCATCCGGGCAGCTTGTTCGGGCCGGTGCGTTCATTCTCTCTCGATTCTCAAGACCTAATTCATGCTGATTGTTCTATTTAGCGGCCCGGACCCCCGTCTCGTTCGTCCCCCGGCGGACATTGACCACGACTCCGACCTATCGCGCTCAGGATGACCAGAAACCCGGGTTCTTGGCTGGAATCAAGCAATGGTATACTAAGAAGGAAAAGTCTCTGCTCAAAGGGACAGGCTTGGCCACGGGGGCCAATGGGCCTCAAAGTCTCGGAAAGGCTACTCACACTCCGTCCGCCCCCCAGCAAGACGAGGGTGATCTGGGTGCTAGCTCCATTTTCGCCGACGACATCGCCTCGGGTGCCAACATCAAACGTAAGAAGCAGCAGCTCCAAGAGCAACAAGCGGGACAGCTGGAGAATGCACCTGTGGAGGAGCGCAACAAGGACCGCATGCAAATGGCCTTGAACCCCAACCCCAAGGCCCAATTCCGCTGGGAACAGAAGATGGTCATCCGCGAGATCCGCAAACGCGGCCGCATCCCGAAAGCCGTCCAGATTAAGCGCACCGAGCGCGAAACCCTGGAGAAGTCACACTGGTTCAAGACCTCCGTCAAGAAGCTGGGTCCTCTGGCCCGCCAGATCGCGGGCAAGAACATCGACGAGGCTATCCTGCAGATGCGTTTCAGCAAAAAGAAGGCCGCTAAGGACGTGTTGGGACACCTGGAGCACGCGAAGAACGTCGCCATGGTCCGTGCCGGCATGGGCCTCCCGGCCGAGGGTGAGACCCCCAAGCCCGTCACCATTACCCTCAAGGACGGCGAGCGCAAGAGGATTACCGACCCGACATCAATCTACGTCGAGCAAGCGTGGGTCAACCGTGGACCGTACGGATTCGGCATGGACCACCGTGCCCGTGGCACGATCAACACTCTCCGTCCCCCGGCCACTGGTCTCTCGGTGGTGTTGAAGGAGGAGAAAACTCGCATCCGTCAGTGGCAGGACCGTGAAGCCGATGCGCTGCGGAAGCGGAGATCACAGCTCTGGACCCAGTTGCCAGACCGCAAGATCTCTGCTCAGAACCAGTACTACAGCTGGTAATTGCGAGCGAGATTCCCTTTTGGCGTTGAGTTGTATTATTTACACCTGCATTCCACCAGTGGATGTACTGGGTCTCTTTTGGTTGTTTTTTTTTTCAGTTTCCCTGGCCGGGAGTGTGCAGAAGTTTTGCATCTAGCAGTAGAAAGCCGGGCAAGTAGCCCATGTACAATATACAAAATTCAATACACATCTCATGGACATTATTTAAGCATCTTTATCCGCAGCATCATCAACATGCTTCTGGAAAGCAGCCCTTTCTTCGGTTGACGCCCGGTCTGATCCCACAGCCTCCATCAGCCTCTTAAACTCCACGTCTCTACGAGCTTTCTCCACAAACGCCTTAATCTGAGGCCCTACCTCACTTTTCGATGCAGAGGATGATTGTTTCTTTTCCGCCCTAACGAGAACCGGTATCACCGCGCCGGTCTGTAGTGGAAACTTCCGATGCCCAACCACCTCCAAGATACTAGTAATAGCACCTGAATGCGCTGTCAGCGAGAGGAAGATATTCTTGTCATTGCCGAAGATATCATTCAGCAAAGTCTGTAGCCGCCTATTCCGGTCTTCATCGGACTCTCGTGTCTTCGTGTCATACAACAAGTCATCTTCTGAGAAGCCAGGCTCGAATTGATATTCGGGGAACTCGGCTGCGATTGCAGATGCCTTGGATCGACTATCACAGGTGTGTACGCCCATTGTTTCACGTAGGAGCTGATTCAATATTAGTTTTCCCAACCCCATTTCAAATGCTACGCCAACCAGCTATAACTGTGTTTGCAAGGAAGAGTTGCATCTTACCTCCTTGATGACCGGTCTGAAGGGACTTGTGAGAGGCATGTCAAGTCCCTCGAAGGTAACTTGTGCCGTCTGACAGCATCGATTCAACGGGCTGACATAGTACGACTGTGGTGAGGGAATATTCTGCTTGATCTGCTTTGCCCACGCGTCGTGCGCAGTCTTGGCTTGGGAGATGCCCACTTCTGTTAGGCGGGCATCTACCCATGAGCCGTACTCGTCTCCGTCCAAGAGGGACCAGTAGTCCTGTTGACATTGATGAGCAAAGACACTTCACATATCAGGCTAAGAAAAAGATACGTACATCCCATGCTTGAGTACCGTAGCGTCTCTCGGCGACGTTATGGACACCTTCGCCGTGCCGTCCAAGGAAGAGAACCTTGTACTGGACATCGGTCTTGTCTGAATTGGGGAAATCGTTCATGTATTCGATTTGCTCCCGGAACTTCTCCCATTGGGTAGGGTTCTTGGGGAAACCTGATTGAAGGTTGTATTCTCGGTCTATGAGACCGAAGTTTGATGAGACCTGAGTGTGTTAGTGGGCCTCTTTGATGCTCTCGGAGTTGGGCTTACATAGTCAAAGGTGGCTGGATCAGTAGAGGGCTCATCTTGAAGAAAGTAGCCAACCTCTGTGCTGAATTTAAAGGTTTCTCGTGCCATAATTGATGGGCCTTGGGAAATGTGAAAGGTGTGTTTTGCTGGACACGGGGGCGGTTGTAAGAAGCGTGGTGGGGCAGTGGAGCTCCATTGAGCGCACTCAACCTTCTACGGTACTTGCATTACTCGACTGCTCTTCATCCCAAGGTTTACAGATGAGTGTAAATCATAATCATAATGACTTTTTCATATTTCATATCATAGCAGGATTTTATCCAGTCAAGGTATAGATCTAAATGTCTATGCAAACAAGTTTTACCCATCAACTCCAGCGCAATATTGTTGCCAAATGCATAAACCAAGCTTCAATGGTTGCTCAAAAAAAAAATCATCCAGAGCGGCTCAAAGGACAGGTTCAATCCATTTGCCTGGCAGTAGCCTAGCAAACAGAAGGTAACCAGTTTATGCAGACCAAAAGGTACGCATACTATGCAGCTGGAGACCCTTCTTAGCAGACATCAAACTCCTGCCACCAATAGAAAGACCCTTATAGGCCACGTCCTCCAACCAGGTGGTAAAGAGCAGGGAAGATCGCCAAGTGCCAGCAAATGCGAGAACATTCGTCGCGAATAATTCTCCAATTTGTGCGGCACAACGACGAACCATTGAGGCACTTTGACCAAACAGACCCGAGGCCGCGGATTGCAGTCCAGTCGTGAGAATCGCCAACGGCTGCATCGAACTTTCGAGAACGGCTGGGCGTTGAGTGAGTCCTGACATGGCCAGGACTCCACGGCTCTGGACCCTCCTGGGAGATTGGGTCTGGATTGGGTTGGCTGCCGGTGATGTCGACTCGTCCTTGATATGCCGCGATACCGCAGTCTGTCCCGCGCGCCGAACTTCCAGGTTTGGCGCACGTACTGTGCCCGTGTCGGACCGGTTTGTCCGCGGCATAGCTTGGCTGGTGAGTTTGCTTTCCGAGGAACGCACAGAGTTGCTTGTTGGGGTAGATCCAAGCGCAGAGAACCAGGACACTTGCTGGCCAACAAAGCTCTGAATCGTCTTGACGGACGGGCGCATAGTTGGAGACTGGGATGTCAGTACATGGCCCGGTGGGCTGCGAACGTGCTTTCCATCCCGAATTGGTGATAGAACGACGATGGTGTTCTTTCGTGGAACGCGGCTCGGTGAGCTTTGGACGTGCTGTCCAACCTTGACGGAAGACTGCACAACGGTCAGGCTGTTTCGTGGATCGTGACCCGCAACACTGTCGACGCTGCTCTTCGTCTTGACGGATTGTTGCAGTGCCGTCGTACAAAGCGATGAATCGTAGCGCGGCGAGTTGGTGCTTGTGAGTTTCTTGATCACCTTGGCAGTAGGGCGTAGTGTAGGTGAAACCAGCGTTGGCTCGTGGCCCGGTAGACTGTACGGTCGCGTGTCTGGGAGGACTGGCATCGGGACATTCTGTGGTCTCGGGCGTTCCCTGTAAGAAACGTCCATCGGGACATCGTTGACGCCCGCGCGGGCGGCGGCCTTCTCCAGGCAGTTGCACTAGAAGAACATTAGATATCGGATGACATTACAAGGGCAAATTAAGGACTTACCCTCTTGTGCTGCTTCTTGTGCTTCTCGCAAGCGCCGTACTTGCGGGCCTTGATGTAGTTCTCCTTCTGAGCCTGGGAACGAGGCTTCTGCTTCTTGGGCAGGTTGGCGGCGGCGTTCATGTTCAGGTCAAGGACCATTTCCATGCCCCCACTCTCTTGGGAAGAGACTGGAGTACTCTCGGGGCTGGTGCTTGTCGGCTTGGGAGAGATGCTCTCGCGCATGCAATCGGACCAGCTTGGGGAGGAGAAGCTGGTGTTGGAGTCGGAGGACATTTCCAAGTCGAGGGCGGTAGCATCACACAAACGCTGGAGGTGCAGAGCGATTGAAGCCTCGCGCCGCTTCTCCTTGGTGGAGGTAATGCGCGGGTCAGCGGCGGCTTGGGCCTCAACCAATTGCCTGAAGTCGTAAGGTTGGTAGCCGTGGAACGCAGCATCGTCAAACACTGGCGCCGGGTCCTGCATCAACCCCATGTCGGGGGACTGATCCAGGAATGCATCCTGGGACATCTCATAGTTGAGCATGTCCGGGAAAGTGGGGTGGGTGAAGTCAGGGAGGTCATTGCCGAACATGTCAGCATCGTAGGGAAGCCCCATTTCGGGCGAGACGGAGTTGGCGGAGGCGGAAGAGACATCGCCACCGACCGAGGTGAAGTCGAGGAACTGGTCAAAGTCGACGTACTCGTCGGACTGACCAGGGACTTCCGTATAGAAGAATGGAGATTGAACGGACGCCATTGCTTCGGGGGGTAGGGTATCACTGAATCACTGTCACACGGTATCTATAGAGGGAATAAAAGAGAGACGCGGGGGCACAGGGCCTAGATAATCCCGGGGTAAAAACAGTAAACAATAGGATCCGAAGACCGTCAAAAGAAGAACAACCAAAAAGAACCTGAGGCAGGGTGAACACCCGTTGTATATGCGCCCGCACCAGCGAAACACGCCTTCCCGCTTCGGGGTCCCCGACTTACGCTAAACCCGTTCTGGACCCCGACTCAGGCCCTCGTGTTGGACTTGCGCAGTGACTCATCGTTCTGATTGGGGCTATGGGGTCTCATTGGGGGGCTGAGAGCTGATCACAGCGGGGCCGTCATAATTTTTATGCCGAGGGCCTGTTGTTCCCTGGTTTGTCTCTTTTCCTGTGGTCATCATAATCATCTCGCCGAGCCCTTTTCCATGGGAGAATTGGGTGTTACAGTGGGCATGTAGTAGACCCGGCGTAATGGGGCAATTCGCCCAGGAGGTACCTTGGGGAAATGACCTCATGTCAGAGCAATCAAATGTATCAAGTGTATCAAGTGACTTGGTGATGATCCGAGCGCAGTGCTCAGCCTCGTTTTCAAGATCACCAATTTCAATCTCACGAGCTTAACCTGCTAGTCTGCAGCTTAATGCCCGCGCTGGCCCCTCTGATTTGACAACACAGCCCAATTGATGGCAACGGTATCTGCAGCCAAGGTCTGGCGGATGCAATCGTGCCATCTCACAGTGAGAGAGGTCCAGGGTTCCAAGTCGGGATCGCGAGTGACTCTCTGTCACGCCTAGAGGAAGCCCGTGTATAATCTGCAATGTTCATCTGCAATGTAGTGAGTAAGCTTGAAAGATCTCCAATACCTATAGGCCTGATCGGATGAAAGAATAAGGAAATAAAGATAAAAGTAGAGACGAGAAGTTGATCCGCGAGTCCAGAGTCGAGAGCGTCGCGAATCGGCCCCACTGTGTGATCTCCGTGCGGAACTTTTTCCCACCAGCTCTAAACAGCTACACACAACCATATCTATCGATCGCCATGACTGACGAATATAAGCCTCCGCCGCTCCCCTCGCCTTTTACAAATACGAGCCCGGCACCCGTTCTCCTCACCCAGGGCGCCGAGGCCCACCTCTACAAAACTGTCTCTCTTGACCCCTCCATTCCGGCCGCCCTCAAGATCCGCCCCTCCAAACCATACCGACACCCGATTCTCGATCGTCGCTTGACCCGGCAACGGATCGTTCAAGAAGCACGATGCTTGGTGAAATTGGTCCGGGAAGGTGTCAGTGTCCCCGCCGTGCTGTCACTGGACTGGGAGGGTCAGGGCGGCGAGGATGGCGGCTGGGGCGGAGCCTGGCTGCTCATGGAATGGATTGACGGCCCCGTTGTGCGCGTCGTGCTTGAGCAATGGGAAGCATGGTTAAAGAAGAACAGTTCATCGCTGGATCAGGCACAGCTCGAGCAGGAGGAGGAGCGAGTGCGGGGTCTGCTGCGACGCATGGGACATGCTCTCGGTGGGCTGCACAAGGCCGGCGTGGTTCATGGCGATCTGACGACGAGTAACCTGATGCTACGTTTACCAGCGACCTCCTCGGATCCTGGCCCCACGGGTGTTTCTATGGAGGGAGAGGTCGTCCTCATTGATTTCGGCCTTGCATCGCAGAGCGCACAGGACGAGGACCGCGCCGTGGATCTGTACGTGCTGGAGCGAGCAATTGGTAGCACGCATCCCCGCTCAGAGCCCCTCTTCGAGTCCTTGCTGCAGGGATATCGGGAGAGCTACAAGGGCGCTACTTCTACGCTCAAGAGGCTTGCAGATGTGCGGTTACGAGGCCGCAAGCGAAGCATGCTTGGATAAAGGGCCTGTTTTCTTTTTGCATATAATTGTCCGTCGAGAATGCATTCCTTAATACTGGAGTTCGTCTGGACCCTCAAAACGCCACGCTGAAATTATGAATGAATGCTTGACGACCATTTCCTTATCTTTCACGCCCGGTCCTTGACGCATGGGCCGACGTCCGCTAGTGCGAAATATCCCTTGTTCTCGACCACACCGCGATCCTTGACCACGGCTGTGTACTTCACCACCCACTGTGGCTCCACGTCTCCTTGAATCCCATCCTCGGCCTGCGGGGCAGAAGCCAGGATTCCTGCACCTTGCTCCGTGGGTCCAAGGAGCTCTCTCGTTGTGCCGACCGGAAGGATATCGTTGCAGTCGTTATGGGTCAGAAGCTGAATCTTCTCCTGCTTAGCATAGAGAATCAAAGACTTGGGCACGACACAGCAGTCTTTCAGGTTAATCTGGTCCACAGAGGGCTTGACTTGAGTATGCGGGAGAAAACGCGCCAGACGTTCACTGCCGAACTCGGCCACGCCCAACTGTGCGATCATGCCTTGCTCGTGAAGAGATTCCAACACCCGCCATGTCTGCACCATACTATCGAAGTCGTCCGGTTCTCCGTTCAGCGAGGCCTCCTCATCTTCGCTGTCGTCATCGGCATCGAACAAGATTCCAGGGAACGACACGATGAGCAGGTCAATAGATTTCACATGTAGCTCCTTCAATACCAAGTCAATCGCCTCGCGGGTGTGTGCGCATCGTCTCGACATCGGGATTCCCGGCAAGTAGAACAGTTTCACGGTAATATCGTACTGATCGCGCTCCTCGGACAGACCGGGGTGCGAGAAATCAATCGCGGGGATGTAGAGAGCTCCGTCTTGTTCTGTTGTCCATGACCTGTAGTCCTGTCGGATGGAATGAGACCCGTTCGCATTACCATTTGTAGAGCCGTTGGAATCGATCTGCTGGGAAGCGATGAAGTTCGAGCGAAGAGAGATGATAAGCTCGACGTTTGACTTTTGTGTGAGCGGCAGGCGAATGACGGGCCGGCCGCCCTTCATGATATTTCTGCGCCGAGTCAGCCGAGTTGATGGATTCTCCGGGAGAACCACTTACGAGGTGGAGAGGATCAACTTCATGATGGCGTTGATCAGTGAAGCAGGACAGAAAGTTCAGGTTTCATACGGAAAGGAGAAAAGGAAAGGTTTGGAGAGGTCGCGCTGGAAATTGGACCCCGCGATAGCCCCTCCGAGAATCCCTGACAAATCCACGGCTCCACGGCATTCGATCTATGTTTTTCTACTTATCACTTTTACATCAACAACTTGTCATCCTAATCCACATCCACGGTTGGATCCCAATCCGTCGGCGAATACTCCCCAGTATCCAACAATTTCATATCCTCCGCTGATAACTCAAAGTCAAACACCTCCGCGTTCTCCTTGATCCGGTGCGGAGTCACAGATTTGGGCAGAGGCAGGAATCCCTAATTCGATCAGCATACGCCAACGTTTAAATGTACGATACTAACCATCTGCAAACTCCATCGAATCAAAACCTGAGCCGGGCTCTTGCCGTGCTTCTGCCCGAGACTCTTCAGTACCGGCTCCCGAAGCCGCTCACCATGTGCCAGAGGTGAGTACGCCTCGACGATGATCCCGCGCTCATGGCACCACTCCGCGATATCAGAATGGTCCAGCCACGGGTGCAACTCCCACTGGCCGACGGAAATCTCACCGCCGCCTCCGCCTTTGATGTACTCCTCCAGCTCTTCCAGGTGGTGGACACCAAAGTTGGAGACACCAATGGACTTGGTCTTGCCTGCTTTCTGGGCCTCAACCAGTGCGCGCCACGATCCAAGACGGGCTTCTTTGCCGCCATAGGGGGCGTGGAGGAGGATTCTTGACCGCATTAGTCGTATCGAAAGAATTTGCATAGATGTATAAACGTACAGATCGAAATAGGCATGGCCTGCCTCTCGCAGACTCGAGTCCACAGCTCTCTTCGTCTGAGAATATCCCATTGATCCTGGTGGGATCTTGGTCGTGAAGAATAGCTCAGAGCGGTCAATTCCAGAGTTCAGCAAGGCCTGGCCACAGGCCTTCTCGTTTCCGTACATGATGGCCGAGTCAATCTGGCGCGAGAGGTTAGATCCATCGTAAAGAACAGATAGCGAAACACTTACATGGCGGAATCCCGCCTTAATTGCCTCTGCGGTGACCTTTTCTGTCACGGATGGAGGGCTGTCGTTATTAGTCGGGCTGCTATGCGGGGTTACCATCTGATACGCACATCATATAAGACTGTCAAAGTGACGGCTTGTCAGTTCTTGTCCGAGAAAGACTGGCTCCAGGAGCTAGTCAGTCGCTATAGACAGTTCCATAGTCAGTATCCAAGTCTACAGAAGCACTTACCCCGTATCCAATGACCGGGATCTCATGGCCCGATAGCATCCGGTGTCTAGACCGGAGGGTGTATTTGGTCGCCATTTTGTGATTTTTCCAATGTCGCAAAGTCTTAGGTTGGATAGAGAGGAAACAGGCAGGTCGAAAGAAAGGAAGACGACGTTGAGACCTACGAAGGTATGAGATCATCCCAAGTGGGGGCAATTGTCATCTCCGTCTGCTCCGGGGCCAACGATGGTCTTGTGATCGGCCTTTCGTAAGTTGTACGGGTTTCATTCGGATCCCTTGTTTTTGGTTTCTCTTTTCCAATAACTGTGTTTTTTAAGTTCTATACAGCGCCGTGATTTTTCTGAGACTGACGACTTCTTGTCGTCGGTAATTCCTAGGATGTACTAATTCCTCTCAGCCGCTAGGTTGTATTCTTTCAAAGCCTCCTTCTCCTTCTGCGTTCGCTGTTTTTGTGTAGGAATGGCAGTCTCCTGGATTTGCTCTCCCTATTGAAGTACTCTACATAACTATAAACAATCCTAGGTTTCAGTATTGAAATAGATATGTCTTTCGTAATTTACCAACACTGAAGTCTCCTAGAGGTGGGAGGCTATAGAGAAAAATATTACAAATTGAAGCCCGATTGAGAAGACAATTTAAATAAGCTTGAGCACGTAATTCTTTAGTTTTTTCTTCATGTCGTTCTAGATATTTTCCTGAAGCCCTTTTTAACCTCCTTTCTATTCTCTTCTCAAGGTGTCTGTCTATTTGAATAACTTCGAATGTGCCTAAGAACAAAGTATTAGCTTCCTATTTAGGTCCTTTTTAATGCTCTTTCTAGTCCGAATATACAATCTACGATCTAGTAGCGTAGCCTACCTGAAGTATACTATAGGCGGGTAAAACCAGGGGCAATGAACCGGTTAGGGTTGTGAGCCCGTTGTCTCTATCGGTTGCCGTAGGATGACTGACAAGAGAAATGATCGGTTGTGAGCCGAAGCACGGCTATAAATCCAATGAACTACGCTGGTGCTTTCCACATCAACAAAAACACGAATGAATTTCATGCATGTTCTATGGACCAATCTCCACCTCTATGTATACATACAAGTCCACGAACACTCTAAAATCTCAACCACTTAAATCTTTCTCTGCTGCTCTTTCTCAGCCTCGGCCTCCTGCAGCTCCTTCGCCTTACGCTCAGTCTCACGGACGAGCTGGTCAGGGCGACGGACAGCGATGTCCTTAGGATGGAAGTCACTGAAAAAGCTCTTCAAGACATTCTCAATGAGCCAACAACCACCGTAATCGAAGATCATCAGTACAGTCAGCGTCATCTTGAACTCGTTGCTGAATGGCACCAGACGCAGCTTCTCGTTGATCTCGGGCACGAACTCAGTGGCGCAAGAGAAGGCAACACCAGAGGCGGCGACCAGACCCCAGTACATCGCCTTGTTCTCGCGGATAGACTCGCGGAAGGGACGGCCCTGGTAGTTGATCGAGAAGGTGGAGATCTGCTGGATCAGCTGGAGGAGGTAGATGGCACTGTTCAGAAGGGACGGCTCGAACTCGCCCTCGAGGTCGATTTTGTCGGATCTCCTATTGCGATTGTTAGCCATGATAGCTGGGTGTGAATGAGGAGGTGACGTACGGCTCAATGGAATACACGTATCTGGAGAGGTAGATCAAAGTGACAATGTGGATAGCGAATTGTCCAAGAACGGAGCCAATGATATACACGTTGAAGATATTTGGCTGCGGGCGTTCCTTGGACAGACCCTCGACCGACTGGAAATTGTTAGCACGATTGACTCTAAAAAGACATAGAGGGGAGGCCATACCTTGGCGCGAGAGATAGACAGGAAGCAAACACTCATCAGCATACCGCTGATGGTGACCTGACCGTCACCAAATTTAATACCATCCAAGTAAATAACACTCAGACTGTAGGCGCTAATCAGGCAGTTCAAAGCAAGAATTTTATACATCTGGATAGTGGCGACCAAAGTGCAACGGCCCTGGCGAATAATGTTGGGGATGGCAATGACGTTAGCCAGCTTGCTGGTGAACGGCGCAGCACAAGAAGCATCACCCAACTTAATCGTAGGTGGCTCGCTGTCATCCAGCTCCTGCTCCAACATAGAAGAGGTGAGCTTGTCGGCAAATCCAGCGGCAGCAGCCTGGGCCTGCTGCTGTCTCTGCTGATGAGTCATGTTCTGGGACGTCTGCAAAGCCTGGGCACCAGGCGAGGTGATAGTAGGGATCTCTTCGCCGGGCTTGGCACCCTTCTTCTGAGCCTCACGCTCCATGGCCTTCAGGTAGTTGGGGTTGGAGGGACCAGGGGGGTAAAGGTGGGCAATCTGCACAGGCACAGGGGGCGCGGGCTGGTTGAACTTCTTCATCATGCCGCACTGCTTCTCGTACAGCTCCTTCATCTTGGTAGTTCGGTAGTGCTCGGCAATCTTGGTCAAGTCTTCGGGAGATCCATTCAGGAGAGCAACACCAACGTGAGCCTGCTTCAGAGCACCGACATCGTTGGTACCGTCACCGCACATCAGAGTAGTGTAGCCAGCGTCCTTGAGGCCAAGCAAAATATCTTCCTTTTGCTTGGGAGACACACGAGCGTAGACCCAGGTGTGGCGAAGGAGGTCGGGCAGGGCCTTCTGGTCCTTGAACTTGGCCAGAGCGTAACCGGTGATACAGATATCCTTGGTCTTCAGAATCTCGGGGTCCAGAGGCTGGGTGGGGTCAACATCGATGTTAAGCTTATCGTCGATGGTACGCCAGACAACCCGAGTACCGGAGGTATCGTGCTCGGGGGCATCAAGAATAACCACCTCGCGATCCACAATCTCAACCTGGCGGGCAACATGGCAAGCAGTCAGCGGGTTGTCACCGGTAATCATGACAACACGGTGGCTACTTTCGTTTAGCATGCGAACGGACTTGATAGCGTCATCCTTTAGGGGACACTGGAGTACAAGGAAACCGGCGAAGATCAGATCGGACTCAATCTCCTCACGAATGTAGTTGTTGATGCGGTTTTGAGACAGTTCCGATTCGGTGGAGAGATACTTGTAGGCCAGAGCGAGAACACGGGCACCATTGCGAGTGAAGTGCTTGTATGTCTCTTCATAGTTAGGAGGCAGGTTGACAAGCATGGTGCTGATCGTCTCAGGAGCACCCTTGACACTGACAAAAGTAGCTTTGCTCTTCTTCGAGGTCTTGGGCTCGTTGGTGGTAATAGTCGCGATGGTGCTCTGGCGCTTCAGGGCGGAGGAAAACTGGAATCTTCTCTTGACCTGAACAGATTCAACAGGCCGGTCGAAAACAACAGGGGCATTGCCCTTGCTGGTCAAAATGTCTTTCTTGCCAAGAGTCCAACCGAGCCATTCCAAAGCAACCTTCTCCATGGGGTCACCAACGACGTCACCCTCATCCAACTTCACCAGGGCGTGAGCACTGGCAAGAACAAGAGTGGTTTCGGATCCAACAGCCCCAGTCTTTGCCAAATCAGAGTGAGCACCATCAGCTTCAACCTTGGCACCGGTCCGTCCCAGAGTGAGACCAGCAATACCGTCCACGAGAAGGTCCTCGCCAGTCAGGGTACCCGTCTTGTCAAAGCAAGCAATATCCACGCGTCCAGCAAAAGGAATACGGAAGGGTTCGGTACAGAAGATAGCATACTTGCTCAGGGCAGCAAGACTAGTGTTAACAGCCAAGCTCAGCTCCATGGGAAGCTCCGGGGGTACGACACTTGTGACGATGAGGACACAGTCCAGAAGAAGCTTGGAGCGCTTACGGTCCTGGGAAACACCCTCTTTCCACACGTACCAGGAAGCCGCAATTGCGAAAATCAGGAGGAACAGGATGAACAGCAGAGCCTCGACGTTGTTGGCAGAGACACGCTCGGTAGAGTAGATCATAGTGCGCACCAGGCTACCTTGGCTAGTTTCGAATCCAGTCTTGACGACCACGCCAATGGCACCGTTGTCGGGAGGACTGGTAAGACCAGCAGCCAGGTTCTTCAGAGCATTATCTCCATTTGCGGCGCTAGGGTGAGTGATCTGGAGAACCTTGGTACCACCATGCACAAACGAGTTCTTGTCCAGAGCTTCTGGCTCAATCAGATCATTTCCAGGGCGAAGCTGAACGGATTCCTTCAGAAGCGGGGTACTTTCACCAGAAAGCATAGCCTCGTTCACTATGACACTACCCTCAATCAAGAGAATATCACAAGCAACACCGCCATCCTCCTTGGTGCGGCTGACAGACATCAAATCGCCGGGGAGAAGCTTATCACTAGTGATTTCCGACCACTTGTTCTCGCGGTAGACCCAAACATCGTAGGGTTTGATGTTCATTCCACGGAACTCGCTGAGGGTCCTCTGACGTTGCCACACCACGGTGCTTTCAAAAGCAACAAGCATGAAAAGCGTGAACAGCGAGTAGTACCAGTATTCGTCCAGCATCCAGAGTCCGACGCAAAATACCTGGAAAACGAAGAACGGTGCCACCGCATGCTCCTGGAAGAGCTCGACGAAGGTAGGAACGGGGATATCGAAGGTGTTATCACCATAGTGATGCTGGATGCGATCAATCTCGGCCTTAGTGGTAAGACCCGTGCTCTGCTGGAAGTACTTGAGGGCGGGCTTGGGCTCCGCATCGAGGACGTAGGACAGGGGGGCGAAGGTACGAGTCTCGGGGTAGAAGAGGAAACGGCGCTTCTGAAACAGGAACGACAGAGTCTTCTTTCCACCAGCGCTCTCACGAATCAAAGGGCAGATCTCGGCGGAACCGGCGTTGGTGATGGGAATGACCTTGATGAGGCGGGCAGTATCAACAGACTTGGCGGAGGTAGTGGTGAACAAGGTGCTAATGTTAATGTTCCATTTGGTCATCAACCACAGCAGCGACTGCGCCGTGATGATAGACCCCGCAAAGACGAAGGTCCACTCCTGGCCCTGGATATACGTGTCATAGCGATCAGGGGAGAGGTAAAAGGCGAAAAACGCCGGCCAAATAATCAAAAACGGCCATACGTATGTATGCAATTGAATCGAGAGGGGATTATGCAGGGACGCATGTTGAATCTGAGGGTCGTCTGTGAGTTTCGCCCTAATGTACTAATCAGCGGAAGGTCGAGGAATCGAAGCAGCTCAAGAAACATCGAAACATACATGATGGCAGCGGAGGACCACGAATAGGGACCAGGAAACGGCACACTAAACACGCATACAGACGCAATGAATGGAATGCTCGAAGAGGCCAGTTCGATATAATTTCGGTTCCAGAGGGTTCGCCCCCGGGACGCGCTAGTTGCTTACTAAGGTGGATCTGAGCCCACCGAGCCACAAGTGGTTTACCGGCTCATGATTCCAAATTTTCATCCACCCTTCACCAAGCCCTGCCGGGCTAGCTCAATCGGTAGAGCGTGAGACTCTTAATCTCAAGGTTGCGGGTTCGACCCCCGCGTTCGGCTATTCCTACAGAACAACCTGAGATATTTATTTTTTGCACCTAGTCTATGTATGCTAGGGTATACCTGGATCATTCTGGCTAGGTCAATTTTGGAAGGCTGGGATAGATAGTTATGTTTTCCTTCATCGTTCACGGAGTAAAGAGCGTACTGTTTGAGGGGAACCATATTTTACTACCCAGGTGTTCGAGATGAGTGCCGGCGCTCAGGACTTCAGTATTAGAATATACACATTGTTGTGCTAGGTAGATAGATACCTACTAGCACATAGTATAAATTCAACTCGGCCACCATAGGCATACATAGATATGCGTGTATGTATATATGCACGCGGATAACTCGCATGCACATGTGTATCAGCAGACCCCCTTCTCGATTATTGAACTCTTTCACTCCAGATGCCACGCCTAGGCATCAGCTTATCAAGAAAGTCCATCCACCACTGCCTTCTCACTTAGTTTCTTCACCAACTCCGTCAATACAGCAACCTGTTCCTTCAACTCCCGAATCTCCGCGGTGCAAGGGTCAGCCTTGATATCAGGAGTGTTCTGCTTCACTTCTTCCTTCCAGTTATCATTGAGGTCAAAGTCAACTTCCTCAGCCACGTGTTCCCATTCTTGGGTGTCATTCTCGTCCTCCTCCCCGTGACGACGATTCCATTTGATAGCCTCCGCCTGGCGGGTCTCAATCCAAGCAGTGATGACGAGAAGGGGCGAGTAGATGATACCCATCACGATGTCGTTGAGCTTGGCATAATGCTTTCGCGAGAGCCACCATTCAAATGGAGCAACAAGACCCAGAATCTCAATCAGATTGAAGGCTAAGGTGAAGGTTAGCTGGAGTCAGGTATGCAATGGAAGTAGGAGCTTACGTGGAATGAACACATTCTCATCGGGAGCACGGACGAATTGCATGGTCTTCTGGGCGAAGATGGCCATGTACTCGTCGGTGGCGTTGCCGGAGATGTCTTCATACGCACTGTTGTACAGCGCGATGAGGATGTTCAATAGGACTACGGAACATTAGTATTATCCCAACAATGTAAAGTGAGATAGACTGAACATACCGATCATGACAACAAAATTGAAGATGTAGTAGAGGATGATTCCGAAGGGGTATGCAAAGTCCTGGAAAGTATCAAACTCAGGGCTCTGCATCACGGTGTTCGCCATGCCTTGGATAATGGGTCTGACGATATCAACATCGTCGTCAACCTGAGCCATTCCAATGAAAGCCTGGAAGAAACCAGCTAGAACCACGAACAGAAGAGCAAAGAAGATCAAGCTCTCTTTCATCATAACACGCAGCACCACGAACATAGCACCGAAGAAGCGGAACGAGTCCAAGTAGAGCATCATGCGCATCCAGAACATTGGACCGGCAAAAGCTAGGAAGTTGTAACTTAGCTCATTGAAGAACTGCCGTTTTTCATCATGATTCAAGGGTGAATGAGCCAATGCAACCACGCGCATGAAGAATGATATCGCCAGCAGGGCGTAAAGAGTAGAGTTGAAGGCGTTCCAGAACTCGAGATAGTTCCAGCCCACCTTCCAGAATTTGACAGCTTCGTCGCAGATGAACGCAAGGGTCATCGTGTAAAGAATACACTCGACAATGTCAAGATCGCCGGTAGGGTTGACAGTATTGATCACAGCTGTGTACAGCGCGAGATATATCAGAGAAAACACGATCTGGCACACATTCTGATAAACAGGGGTGCGCATCCGGTCGGGGTGGAAATGAGTCCAGTAGTCAGAGTTCGACTTATCAGCGTACTCGATGAAATTGGTCGGATTGCCTTCTTCCTGACAGATCCAGCCTTGCCACAGGTACGTGATACATTTCTGGTATCCAGCAGAGCTGATGACTCTCAGCGCGTGGAGGTCCACCGAGCGCTCGATCACATTGGCAGGATCCGTCTCTTCACCTTCAACAAAGATAGAGTAACGCTTAAGAAGGATAAATTTAAGCAGATATTTCTGATCTTGCTCGCTCTCAATGCTACATAACTGATTAGTAACAATGCTCTTGGGAGTGTGCCCGATGGGGGAATTATACATGCGCTTGGCGATGACCTCACAAGCTACAGCTCGACCTTCGTGGAGATCCGCATCCCAGAGCTCCACAGAGGCCTGGATCTGGAACCATCGCAGACACGTCAGAAGACAGTAGACAACACAGGCCTTGTAATCTTCACCGCCGGCGTTTTTGGCGGTCTTGATCACATTGTCTGTGATAATGCGACTGTTAGGGTCGGTCAGGACACTCTCCTCAACCTCACAAGCGACCAGTTGCTCAATTTGGTATTTCAAGCGCAGCGCAACTTTGGCGATCTCCTTTGAGGACTCCAAGGATTGTGGCTCATCGGCAGCATACGCGGGGAGAACTGCGAGGTGATTAGTGAGATTACACAGCTTGTGTTGATCATGACGTACGTCGTCGTCGCTCTACATGAACGCGGTGGTTTGCTCTGCGGCGGTCAAAGCCGAAAAGATCACCCCAATTTCCCATGTTGAGTAGACTGGCAAAATTCCGGGTTAGTTCAAGAGAAGAGCGATCTCGGAAACCTTGGAAAAGGAAGAGATCGCGGCCAAAAGATCGGCAACTAAGTAAGTCTAAGCGCGCGAAGCTTACGCGCCGTCAAGCGATTCCCGGTTTTCGCTTTGCGCTTATCTTTTCCGCGTTTCACGTTTAGATTGAAGTAGTTTAGAGATTAGGGAACCGGGGAACCGAGAAATTGGGGAGCTGGAGAATTAGGGAATGAATTGCTCTAAAAGCATCACTGGCATTGAACGTCTCGGTTGCATCACAACGTATTTACATCAGAACTTGCCCCCTTCTCCAGCACAGTAGATAGGCCGGAGCACAAGGACTTCGCCAATTGGCACACAGCGCCTGCGTCAGGCGTAGGATAATCTCATCTCCAGGCCCGAGGTGCAGGCGACTGCCCTTGGTACAAAGGCAATTTCTGACTGCATTCGTGCCCAAGAGCACATGGAGCCATCAATCCGTCCTTTCTCATTGATCGCGTAATATGCATCATTTTTCTCTATCCATTTTTTGCCCAATTTTCCTCCTCTTTGCAGGGTTGCGCGTGTTGCCAAAGCCGATGAAGCGTTAGGCACCCGGTGCTTCGAAAAAGTGATGCGCCATTTACTCAGGAACATCGGCGTCGCTCTCCGAATCGTCCTCGTCTCCGCTGACCTGCTGGTTCTCACGCTCGCGCTTCTCCATGAGCTCAGCGAGGACGGCGTCATCGTGCTCGGTGACGGCCTTGGGTGCCATCTTCACGGTGCAGTTGCCGTTGGCTTTCTTGATATTGGCAGCGATCTTCTCAATCGCGGCCTCCAGCATCTTGATACCATGGGCCTTATCCACGCACTGGCTGGACAGGACGTACAGAGGAGGGGCCACAAGCTTGACCTTGATCTGGTTCTCGGGGGTGTTGTCGGCCTCGGCGGTACGGAGGGCCTCCTTGACGGCGTCGATTCCGTCATAGCCGAAGCAAGTAACTTCAACATCGGCACGGACCTTAGTGGGGTGGGGGGTAAGCTTCTTGCCGATGTAATCCTGGAGCTCCTTCTTCACAGGCTCAGAGGGGAACTCGACATCGTTCCAGACATCGGGGTTGCTGCAGGACCCTAGTTAGAGACATCCTTCAAGTTGTATCCTTGTCATATAACGTACGTAATGGCGAGCTTGAATGCATCGTGGGAGTGGCCGAACTTCCGGTCCAAGGGCCAGGCGATCTGTTGGTAGAGGGTCTCGAGGGGGGTCTGGGTCGCCTCAGCGACGTGGCGCATGATCGAGTGGACGGCCTTGCTCTTGTTGTACCGCTCCTCACACTTGAGAACATCCTCGGGGGAGACACGACGCTTCGACAGATCGATATAACCTGTAAGACCATGAGTCAGCCACCAGATCTCCTCCATGTCTTAGACGGGGACTGCATGCCCTTCTCCTTGTCGACACGGAGCACAATGACGACCTCGTTGCGCCCGATACGAATGAGCTTCTGAATGGAGCGAATACGTCTGCGCGAAAGTTCGGAGAGCAGAATCATGCCGTCAATGTTGTCGTATTCAAGCAGCTTCACGTAAGCGCCCATCTCGGCGATCTGCCCGAATAACCCATTAGACATGCCCATGAACCTTCAGACTTGATTCAGAAGTCCATACCTGCTTGACATTGACCATGACATAGCTGTCCACCTCAGGGAACTTGTCCTCGTAGAATCGGCAATTTGTTAAAGACATATTGGCGGGGTTGCGCTGTAAATTCCAGCGACAAAGTTTCCGGCGAAAAGTGGACTGATGAATCGGCAGTCCAAGGGAGACGGTATGCTAGAGCCTTTAAAATCGGTTCTGAGCAAAGTGAGGTGATTAGGGGGCCGGAAGAAAGGTTCTTTGATCGGAAGCACAATCGATTCAAATCGCTTTGTGGCGGACTCAAAACCCACATTGACCGCATTCACGTGACCGTAACTGCACTCTGTCATGTGACTCACCGCCATTCAGCCGATGACATAAGAAAGTACGTAGCCCCAAAAATTGGGGCCGCGAGTAAGTTACCGGGGCGAATCAAGATGGAGGCTTTAGGCTTAATGCTCATGCTGTTTTAGCTTGATGATACCTATTTCCCTTGCACAGTATCACAGTATCGACGACCCACCGGGTTTACTACAATCCACTAATTTGAAGCTATCACTGGCTTCGCTTATCGCTCCCTAGCGGCAACCGCCCTTGTCGGTAAAAGCCAGTAGTTTCCCCGGCCGCGAGGCTCCCTCGGACCCTGTTTCATTTCCTACTTTTGATGTCGCTGATGGAGGGTCTGAATACCCTTTCCCTCTGAAATCGGGTTTCCTCTGATTTCGTTGGAGCAAATCATCCGATCTAATCCAGTCCGCTGCTCCAGTAGCCCTCGGAGACTACTCACCACAGAACTGATTCATCGAAATGTTTCGCTCCAACGGCAATTCGCCGTCGCCTTCGGGCCTCGATTCCAATACCAATGGCAATGAGGGACTTGTCATCACAAACGAACCAGATGTGAGAACTCGCCTACTGGAATCTTACGATCGGTCGGGTCCGGTGTGTGGTGAGCGACGCTGCAGTCATGGTACATTCTCCCCGCGGCCGGAGGACGGAGAAAGACGCACGTACCTTGGAAGTTCGAGTGGTGGTGAATACCCTGGAGTGGGAGATGCGGGTGTAGCATCCGGCCATATTAGCGATGATCCACCAGGATCTCGCGCAGAATCGGAATATATGTCGCAAATGAAGTCGTCTCTTTCGGCTCTGTCCATGAACGACTCTAGAAAACAGTATGCCAAGTCTCACGAGCACCGTCATCCGCCTCTAGCCGAAGACTAACGGATAGCTGCAGATATCTTTCCTACTACATTCCGTTCTTCAACTGGATTGGACAGTACCAATGGTCTTACGTCCGGGGGGATCTGATAGCTGCGCTAACGGTCTCCTCCATCTATATCCCAATGGCTTTATCGCTGGCCTCTAATCTTGCGCATGCACCGCCCATCAACGGCCTTTATTCTTTCGTGATCCATCCTTTCATCTATGCTATCTTGGGTAGCTGCCCTCTGTTGGTGGTTGGTCCGGAGGCGGCTGGCTCGCTTCTTACAGGTGCTATCGTCAAGGCCAGCATTGGTGGTAGCGAAGCTGGAGATGACACCGGCATGGAAAGTGCCATCATCATAGGAATAGTCACCGCAATGACTGGTGCCATGATCCTGATTGCCGGATTGACTCGATTGGGCTTTCTGGATAATGTGCTTAGTCGGCCCTTCCTGCGAGGATTCATCACTGCCATCGGCTTTGTGATCTTTGTGGACCAATTGATCCCAGAGCTGGGACTTGCGACCAAAGCGAAGGAGACCGGTGTTAGCCATGGCACCACGGTCAGCAAGCTTTCATTTATTGTTCGCAATGTGGGAGACAGCCATCTACTTACATCGGTAGTGTCGCTGGTCAGCTTCGGCATTATCATGCTGTTTAGGACGGCGAAGAAATGGATGATGCCGCGCTACCCTCAAGTGGTCTACTTCCCAGATCGTTTCATAGTTGTCGTCCTGTCCGCAATCTTGGCATGGCATCTCAACTGGGAAGAGAAGGGGCTCGAACTACTTGGACATACTGAAATCAGTTCCAGTAGGCTATTTGCGTTCCAATGGCCCTTCCAGTTCGGACATATGAAGCACATCCGGGCGGCCATGAGCAAGGCTTTCATCATTACCCTACTTGGCTTCTTCGAGTCTTCAGTTGCAGCAAAGGGTCTAGGTGATGGGAAGCCCGGTGGCATCCAAGATATGCACATGAGTGCGAACCGAGAAATGGTGGCGCTGGGCGTTGCCAACTTCGTTGGTGGTTGTTTCATGTCTCTGCCAGCCTTTGGCGGATATGGTCGAAGCAAGGTCAATGTACAGACGGGAGCACGATCTCCGATGAGCAGCATCTTCCTCAGCATTATTACCCTCGTGTGTATCCTGGTGCTTCTGCCATATCTCTACTATCTTCCGGTTCGTTCACCTTGTTTATTTTTGTCTTCTGATTATTTACTAACTTACAATGAACAGAAAGCAGTTCTTTGCTCCATGATCTCCGTCGTGGCATACTCGCTTGTTGAAGAGTGCCCACACGATCTGATCTTCTTCCTCCGCCTCCGCGGATGGACTGAGCTCGTTCTCATGTTTCTTATTTTCATCGCCACCATATTCTACTCTCTCGAGCTTGGTATGGCTCTCGGAATTGGCCTCTCTGTCATAATTCTCATCCGCCATTCCACCAAACCACGCATCCAGATTCTAGGCAAGGTCGCGGGCACCGCCGCCCGCTTCGAGAACGCCGAGCTTCAGCCCGAAAACGTCGAGCTCATCGAAGGCGCGTTGATCATCAAGATCCCCGAACCTCTCACCTTCGCCAATACAGGCGATCTCAAGAATCGTCTCCGCCGCCTGGAACTCTATGGCTCCAGTCGGGCTCATCCATCTCTGCCTCGGATGCGTCCGCCGGAGTACAACAAGAACATCATTTTCGATGTGCACGGCGTCACGAGTATTGATGGGTCCGGTACGCAGGTCTTTTGTGAAATCGTATCTGCGTACAGAGAGAAGGGTACCCGAGTCTTCTTCTGTCGGTTGCCTAACACTCAAGTTTTCAAAATGTTTGAGCGAAGCGGCATCGTCGAGGAATGTGGAGGTTTGACCCATTTCGTGCCCAGTGTTGATGAGGCGATCCGGCTGGCTGAGACGGAAGACCAGACGCCTGATCTTTAGACCGACATCTTGAAAGCCATGATTGTCTAGTTAGCTATACTTGCAATATATGCTGTCCTGCATGACCGAAATGAAATGATCTTCTTCACATAGCGTGGTCTTTGGTGGGTTTTTGATCGCTGCTGAGCGTGCTACTGAGCGATAAAATTTGCTTTGAATTGAATTGAATCTGACGATCATAACTCGTTTCTATTCGTATGGAGTAGTCCATTACATATCTCTACCAAGGTGCTCTCTTGGAGTCCTGCTATGTTGGTAGGGCCTGAGGCTTCTTTGGGCCATGTTTCTCCTGCTTGCCGCAGCATGGTTCCTATTTCGGGGCATGCCCACGTAGACCATGTCTTCGTAAGTCCGCTATATCCGGACGAATGACGGTCGGTTCTGCAAACACGGCTGTTGGGGGACCTTGTGCTCGAACTTCGATTTCCCTGGGGGGGGGGGGGGGGCCGTTTGCTGCCGTTGGACGTTTCAATCTTGAATATCGCTTTTATAACCACGAATACCCTCATGTGGTTTTCTCGTCGCCAATGATAGCCCTGCGCACGACCATCTCAAGCAGCATTTCACTTGCATGCAGAGCAGGCGAGCTCTGCTCCCGTGCATCGTCCGGTTGATCATCTGCCGCCGGTTCAGCACCAACAACCAATTTCATGCGCCCTTCACCTCCCAAGACAAACGCAGCACATGCAATTTTCGATAAACGGACATGCTTCCTGGAAGTCTGGTTCTGCGATGAGCCATCCAGGTCCAGCTGCATCGCCAGGTGCGTTTCGAGGTAAGCAGTAAGGTTTCCGATCAACGGACTGCGCAACTTCTGTTTGAGCGTGCGCTTCGACTTGGGAGCTTCGTCGCGTAGGAATGCAATCAGAGACGCTCTAGAAATGGTAATATTAAGTGTGCGCAAAGCTGGCGCGATTGAGGGTGAAAAAGCGAGTGTAAGTTGCAATTCTTTGATTCCTTCTTCGATCGTCTCGTTTGCAGCTGAGCGTCCGGAAGGTCCCCGGCCGTTGCGTAGCTCATCGACAAAATCTTCAAGACCCTTGCAGAGGAACGTTGACGGAAGTCGAAGATTCGAGCAGTAGGTGTCAAAATTGGTAGATAGAAATGATATGAAGGTCTGTCGTAGTGCATTTGGGAGTTTGGTCAATAGTAGAGGGAAGAAGGTGGATCCCTCGCGTTGATTCTCTGGCTCTGCATCGGCAAGAAGGGCGGCTTTATAGGTGTTGTTTTCATATTCCAGAGTCACCAGTATTCCTGGAAATGAAGGGCCCGCGCGTCTGCCCTGCGCACCAGCGGAGATAGACTGCCAAAGACATTTCTTTAGTGCGCCTGTCTTTGATAACGCGTCATCTTCTGCTGTAGTTGCGCTCGCATGAAGTCCAGCGAGAATATCGCCAGTAAGTTGGTCGCGCAATCGCGTTGCATATGCTTTCAAAGCGGCCGGGTTGTCGAGAAGGGTCTCGAAATCCTTTCCGTGGTGAAGAGGGGACAGACGGTGGAGTGTCCAAGACGTATTGAACAGCTGCCAGTGTGATTCCTGCTCCATGTCTGTGTCTCTCTTCGATGTAATTTTTGGATCATAAATCTGGGTTTCCCAGAGTTCAAGCTTCAAAGTGTCGCATCGTTGATACCGACGCGCGCGGTGCAAACACAACAAACTCCCGAGTCGGGATCTACACAAAGGAGAATTGTTTATCTCAATTAATCTCGTTTTGAAGTTCCAATAAGCTCCTATGAACAATGCTCAGGTATATGTCTAACGCCGCTGCTTTACAATTAAAAGGGTCATGCTTGCCACCCGTCTATACGCCGACAATTACCACATCCAAACAAGATCGGGATCCCGTTCCAGCACCAGGCAGTTTCTTGATCATGAGGAAGCGCCTGTCTAAGCCCCAATTCGGTTTTTGCCGCATCAAACCAGAGGTCGCGCATCGAACTATGTATACTCTGGTTGGAAGCCCGACCAAAGATCGTAGAGTTCATGTGATCGCGTCCATGTGTCATCATGTCCGCATGGAAGTTGTACATGAAGTCCTTGCGCTGCATACGCTGGTTGCCTCCGTCTCCAATTTCTGCGGAGAAGAACTCGATAATGCGCAGGAATGGAGATACGGTAAGCAGAGAACTGATCCAGGAATCATCTATCTCTGCCTCGGGCGCCATTGTGTAACGTATGTATGTGACCAGCAAATGCATACAGTGGTGTGTGGCAAGCAATGCCATGGTGTTGGTGAAAGGAGGGTTTTGGAGAATGCGAATTTGTAGCTCTCTGTACATTCGCTGGCGAGTCTCCAGTGAAATAGGGACTGTGAGGCGGCCGGCTTCGTATTCTTGGAGGAGTATGTTCGTTTGTTCGCGCCGGGCGGATGCATACGATTCGAGAAAGTACAATGTATAGTACCTAACGCCGGTCAGATCATAAAGGTTATCCACAGCCTGTCCTTTGGGTCTACTCACATTGATGGAGCCAGGTGGTGCCATATGCTGACTTTTCCGCGTTTGACCAGCGCCGTCCGTTCAGTTCTTTTTGAGGGGAAGGAGGATCTCAAAAAGACGGGCTCTGTTTGCACGAACCGGTCCATCACCCGGTCTGCGAGATAATAGCAGAGTCTCGAGCACAGCTTCTGCCTTTGGTGCAACCCATGAAGATATCTGAAAGTGTAGAGGTGCCCGCCTCTGGCACTTTTGGACGGTGGGAAGAGGTCCGACAGGAGGACCGCGTCATCTTCGGGGTTGCCAGTATATATTCGTTCATTGTCAATAGGCGATGGGAGGGTACCGTGGCGACGGTGACGAAGGTATTGGCGGACAATTTCGTGTTCGTTTGAGCTGATGATATGGTTGAAGGCTTTGCAAACGAGCTTCAGCGAAAGATAATCGGCGGTTCCGCAGTGGGCGAAGATCGTGATTTGGATCTCGACTGGGAGTCCCCATGGGGAGAGGTGCGCGGGGAGGACATCGTCTGGGCTATACAGTCACAAGCGAAGGTTAGCGTTTGCATTAGACTGCAGGAGACACAAAGCTTACCCCAGGGTAGACGAGGATCCCGGGAGGTCGCGCTGGGATCTATCCCTGCCGTGCTTTTTCCGGTGGATTGCAGCTCGAAACCTTTGCACGGATGGTAGGATCTTGGAGAAACCAGTCATGCTGAGGCTTGAGACCACATCGACTAGCTCCGGTGAGACACCACCGCGGGGAGGAGCTAACAGGTAATCTCTGGTGAACTTGGCGGTGCTCGACTTTCGCACGCCTGACTAAGCGCTGCAAGGCACAGTCCCAAATGGACCTCGATCTGGGGAAGATTGTTTATTCTCAATACCTTGTCAATAGATAAGTAATCGTATGATTTGATTTGTGAAGGATGAAAGCACTTTAGTCGGTGGACGGCCGAGTCCCGCATTGTCTCAGGCCGACATCATTCCATTTCCAAGTTTACATTTACCCGGGGTTCATCAAGCCAGGAAAGCTCCCAATTGCCTACGCCTTGGAACATGATATACGATCGTCAATACCCGGAACAGTGGAACAAAGGTGGAGAAAAACAAAGAAGCTATGGCACAAATTGGCGTCTAAATTTGACTTGCAAGTCGACGATCGTCAACTAATTGTTTTGCACTCAACTCAAAACTGCCCCATCAAGTATCGAATCACCTATCTTCCCGGAAACACCGACCTTTTTATTTTATAGTCCGGGTATATTTTCATGGTCGTAGATATCAGTCTTTGGTCAGATCAAAGCTCCAACTGGTTCGCATCACTTTGTGCCTCCGATAATGCGCAATCTTCATGCAATTACGTCATTGTATTCTTGCGTCAGCTTGGCCTTGACACGATCTTGATAGACGTCCTGACTTGGATCTCCCATTCCTTCCTATTAGGCCTGACTTATCACTCCGAGTGAAAACTTCCAGAATGCCTAACAATATCTTGATCGTGGGTGCGAGCCGAGGCCTGGGAGCTTCCCTTGGAGATCTGTACTCGAAAGACCCCTCCAACCATGTATTTGGAACGACGCGTTCCTCTTCTCCCGAAACGACGTCTTCAATCACTTGGTTGACCGAAGTTGACGTGGCTCAGCCTGATGTAGGCCAGAAGATTGTCTCACAGCTACCGCAGTCTACCAAGCTTTCAACCGTGATTATCACGGCGGGATACTTCGGCTTTGAGACATTCGATGATCCAGATTGGGAAAAGCAAGTTCGCATGTACACAACATCAGCGATCGGTCCTGTCTTTGTCGTACAGAATCTTGTGAAGGCAAACCTCCTGGATGAAGGCAGTAAGGTGATCCTTGTCAGCAGTGAGGGTGGCAGCATCACTCTCCGCCATGAGAAGGAAGGCGGAGGCAACTTCGGCCATCATGCCAGCAAGTCTGCATTGAATATGGTTGGAAAACTACTTAGTCTGGACTTGAAACCCAAAGGAATCGCAGTGGGATTGGTACACCCAGGCTTCATGCGCACGGAAATGACAAAGAGCGTTGGATTCGATAAGTATTGGGATGATGGCGGAGGTAAGAAATTTGTCCTAATTTACGGATACCCATGAGTGCTATGCTGATGTCTATATGCAGCCGTAACTCCTGATGAAGCAGCCCAATCACTCGCATCCTTTGTTGATACATTCGACCTCGGCAAGACGGGCGAGTTTTGGGCGCCACGAGGACCAGGGTATGTGATAAATCTCGTTTCGCATTATCAACTTCATTTAACAGTTGGACAGAGATATTGGGACCGCCGAAGACGTACTCGGAAAGGGCCTGCCAACGCCCTTGCAGCTGCCTTGGTAAAATGGAGAGCTGAGATCTTTCTTCTATTTCAATAGCTAGTCTATATACGGCAATTGACGATATACTCCTTTCAACCTAATGCCGGCCGAGCAGTGGGTTTCGCAGTGGGTTTCGCATTCATGAAAACCAGATCTTTCCCAATATCTGGTCGTGGCTCGTGTCCGACCACCTTCACCCCCAGTGTCTGACCGTAGAACTCTTCTAGCCGTTGCCCACTAGTGAGTAGCATGATTCGACGTAAATGAGGCATGCTTTCTAGTGAAAAGACTTCTGCTACACAGTCGATGAGCCACCTTCCCAATCCATCTCCCTGGTATTCGGGGAGAACATAAGTGTCTGAGAGATAACCAAAGGAGATCCCATCTGTAATCATCCGCGCAAGACCAATCTGCTCTGTGTTTTCGGTGGTCAGAGTCTCAGGTTCTGTCTGGGTTTGCTCTGGTTGAAGCCGCTTGTACACGCCAAAGCTCATGGAGCCATGAAGCATTTGGTGTAGAACATCTTCAGGGAATGGCTTGGTCCAATAGAGGAAATCTTTGCCAAACGCCTCATTTACTGCCTTGACTGATATCAGCTTTGGGTCGTTTGAGATGAAAAATGGGCTGTTGTCTCTCGTCCATGTTCGCGGGGTCAACGTGGCGGTTGGCGGGGAAGAGGCCATTGTGGCAGCAATTGGAGGATGCTCAAGTCAAAGTTCAAAAAGGAAACGAAAGAGATGATATAAGAACGTAGATATCAAGAATTCATTTTTTCCTGTTCACAGTTCTCATCAACGGTTGATTGTCGCCTAGTTGCGTGAGTCATAGAATAGACGTTGCCGAAGACTAGCTGCCTTCTGGGCTTACTTAGCTCCGTTCTAACATCGACTCGGTAATTCCCCAGCTGAATTGTAGTTAGATTCGGCATTAAAAGGAATAAAAGTCACACTTCATTTTGGATGATGAAGGCTATGACTATGGGTTTCACTCTGGGTCGAGTGACCATTCGCGGCTATAATCAACCACCACATCTCAGTATCTTACCGATTATTTTTTAATTAGCAAATACGAACGATCGACAAGACATTTGGTGAGCGTTCGGTCAGGCACTTGTCAATCGGCCGAGAATCTTATGTCAACTTCACCGCGTGGGATGACACGCACAACGAATCACATAGAGCGGGAATTCTTATCGTCACAAATGCTCCGAGGGTCTAGCGTCCATTCATGCTGTCTGATGATCTCCGCAATTGCGTCTGGAGCGGGGTTGATGGTGTCGTTGATGAAAGACACCCCAGACCCCTCACGCCATCACTATCTCCGATGGTGCTAGCTACGCCAAATCAGTCACGACAATTTGCACAATAACCATCCACCAAAATAAATTGGAATGGTAAAACCTAATGCATTATTTTAAAGACGTTCTATCTCAATTAGGGTCAAGTGACGTATAAATTGTACCGCATGGCGTGCAGCAGACTGCGACGGGGATTCACATACATTAGAGCTAGACACCTATAAGCCAACCGATCGTCGCACAAGTCCTAGATTCCTTCCTACCAGACCTACCAGAAATACTGAACACAATTTCGGCTCATCATGACTCTACTCGAAAATCCCGGGATCTCGACTTTGCCTTCGTTTTCCAATATCAAAGAGACATCCGAGTCGATCAAAGGTGTTTCGGAGCCAGAGGCGCCTTCCGTGACCGTAAAAAGCACTTTCAATGATTTGAATTCAGAGCGCTCGACCAAACCTCAATTCGAGGTAGAGGAGCATCCCATCGATGTAGTAAGACCCATCAAAGTCGGCATCATTGGTGCCGGTATCGCGGGTATCACTGCTGGCGTGCTGCTACCCGCGAAGCTACCGGGTCTCGATTTGAGAATTTATGACAAGAACGCCGATGTGGTATGTCAATCCGTTCTGGTGTTTTGTGCTCTCATATTGACTTTTTATCTAGGGAGGCACATGGTAAATTTGTCCTCATTTGCTTCCTCCGCAACAACGCTAACATTTTCAATAGGTTTGAAAACACATATCCAGGCGTTCGGTGTGACATACCTGCACACGCCTATCAATCTGGCTTTTCCCCTAACACTCAGTGGACAGAAGAGTTCGCTCAGGGGGCCGAAATTCGGGACTATTGGCAAGGCGTTGCGCGAAAGCACAACGTGTATCAATACGTTCGATCCCAGCAACAGGTGAACAAGACTGAGTGGCTGGCTACCGAGGGGAAATGGAAAGTCACCATCGCGCATTTAGATGGGTCAAACCAAGTGAGGCCGATCCTTAGCAATTCTTGAATGCCTCTGACCCAATGCCCAGATCTACGAAGAAAAGCTGGATGTTGTCATCAACGCCATCGGTCATTTCAATGCCTGGAAACTGCCTGATTACGAGGGTGTTGAGAATTATAGAGGCGCTCTCTTTCATTCTTCTAATTGGGACCACACAATCGACCTTAAGGGCAAACGCATTGCACTCATAGGTAACGGAGCATCTGGTCTTCAAGTCCTTCCATCAATCGAGCCCATCGCAAGCCACGTCGATCACTATGCGCGGAACCCAACTTGGATTGCCGACTCCTTCAGCAGTGGAAATGCAGGCGTACGCCGACTGGAACCAAACTTGTTCTCCGTGGACCAGCTGGAGTCTTTCAAAGATCCCAATGAATACTTGAAGTATCGCACAGAGGTAGAGAAGGGATACTTCCAGCGCTTCGGAGCAATCTTCAAGGACACTCCTGAAAACCAAGAGCTACGTGAGAAGTGGACTGGAATCATGCTGAGTCGTATCGCCGGCAAAACAGATCTCAAAGACAAGATTCTTCCTGACTTCCCACCGAACTGCCGTCGGCCCACTCCAGGGCCAGGCTACCTTGAAGCCTTAACCAAGGATCATGTCGACTATATTCAAACACGTATCAAGCGGTTCACAGAAACAGGAATTGTTACTGAAGACGGTGTCGAGAGAGAAGCAGATATCACAATCTGTGCAACCGGCGCCAACGTCGACCACGCGCCTCCGTTCTCCATCATCGCCAACGGCATCGATCTCAAATATGCCTGGAAGAAAGACGGATCTTTCGGATTTCCCTACTCCTATCTTGGATTTGCGACACCAGGATTTCCCAACCTACTCTGGCTCGGTGGTCCGTATGCATCTGGACACAGCGGTACAGTTCCAAATAGCCTTGAGAACCAAATAACGTACATTGCAAAGGTCCTGCGCAAAATTCGCAGCCAGGGCATCAAGTCCATTGCGCCGTCAAAGCAAGCAACGGATGACTTTGTGGAATACTGTGACAACTTCTATCCACGCACTGTCTGGACAGCGAACTGCAGCTCTTGGTATAATGGTGGAACCCCCGGTTCTAGGATTCATGGTTTGTTCCCGGGTAGTGCGTCTCATGCGAACTATATTCGCAGAGATCCACGCTGGGAGGATTGGGAGTATGACTATGTCAATCCGAGTGGTAACCGCTTTGCTTATTTTGGTAACGGTTGGACTTCGAGGGAGTTGGAGCCGGAGGCGATGTTGACGCCACATCTTAGACTTCCTGGGGAGGTTGACTTGAAGTCTTGGATGGAGGGCTGGTGGGATGTTTGAGCATACACATACGACCTTGAGTAAGATTTTAGAGAAATAAAGAGAAATTTGATAACTGTCGACGATGCACCGAGTGTATGGCATTTCTATCTTCCAGTCGGGATCTGGCAATGGGGAAGGGAAAGGGACTCAAAACTTGGATGGGGAAGGAGGGGAATAAGAGAAGAGACGCTTGACTATTGCCAGTCCTCTCAATTACCTAGCGATGATTAGCAACTATTTTCTGCATATAATAGCCTCAGGATCTACCACATGAAGCCTAGTAAAGAGGAATAGCAACCGAGGACAGTTCGAGCCCAGGGCGCGCTCCTTTTTTCTTCCTTTTTCTTCCTTTTTTCCGTAATGCCCATATCTCCGAGTATCCTATGAGAAAGAGACTACTGCTATCACGTACCAGAAGAAGAGAGCAGCGAGTTCATTTCTAAACTTCGTCGTCTGTTAGAAGCTGCTCTGAGTCTCATGCATCGATAGCATTTCTATCTTGTCATCTATGTTCATTGGGCTTCATTCAAAGAGTAAGGCGGCACTTCCTCGCCCTTCCGCCAGAAGTATTTTGCACCATGATGAGACTCCGGAAGTCTCGACTGACCCTGCTTTCCATACATGTTCTCGCGCATAGTGCCTCCCTTCACGGCATAGTCTGACCAGAAGAGACCGCGTCGCTGCAGCTCCGGGAGCAAAAGGCGAATGACATCGTCGAATGTATCGGGGAGACTAGCATAGCTCAGGTTAAATCCATCGACATCACCAACATCCACCCAGCGCTCCAACTCGTCAGCTACTGTCTGGACACTGCCAACAATTTTAACACCATTGCCCCCCAGGGTCAAGTATTCGGCGATGGTTTTCTTGTCCCACTTCTTGCCCTCCGTCCCGGGGACGGTGCTTGCCCAGTGGTTTACCATACTTCGGACAGCAGGCTGCTCCACGAACCGGAAATCCTGGTCGTCGGTATAGGTGGACAGATCGTAGCCAGTCCAGCCGCCAAAGAGAGCCAGGGCACCCTCCCGATCACCATATCCCTTCAACTCATCAAACCTCGCATTTGCTTTCTCGTCCGTTTCGGCAACTATAACCAATGCCCCTGCCACAATCTTGATATCTCGAGGGTCACGGCCTAGGTCGGCAGCTTGCTGGCGGATGCTGTCAACGGACGGGCGCACCAGCTCTGGCTTTTGGGCATGGAGGAAGACCGCCTCGGCGTGTTTAGCAGCGAATGCCTTTCCAGCCGTCGAAGTCCCAGCCTGCAGCAGGAACGGCGTGCGCTGGGGACTTGGCTCACAGAGATGAGGGCCGGGGACCTGGAAGTATTTCCCCTTATGGTTGATCTCTCGCACACCACGAGGATCCGCGTACCTATAGCCCTCAACCGAGCCATTGGCCTTGGATGAGACTTTATTCCACTCTATAGCATCATCCCTCCAAGAAGCTTCCCAAAGCTTATAGGTGACATCAAGGTACTCGTCGGCAATGCGGTACCGCTCGTCATGCTCAACCTGCGTATCAAGGCCGAAGTTGCGCGCCGCAGAATCAAGATAAGATGTGACAATGTTCCATCCAACCCGCCCGTTGCTAAGGTGATCGACGGTCGAAAAGCGTCTGGCCAGAGCGTAGGGCGCGTCATAGGTCGTCGAAGCGGTGACTCCGAAGCCGATACTTTCTGTTGCAGCTGCCATGGCAGGAATGCTGTACAGGGGGTCGTTGATCGGGAACTGGGCGCCGGCAGGGATCGTCGGGTCTAGATTGGCCGGACCTTTGTAGACATCGTAGCCTCCGAGGACGTCGGCGAAGAAGATTGCATGGAATTTGGCTTCCTCCAGCTTCTTGGCGAGGGCCATCCAGTGCTTAATGTTTTTGTAATCGGCGCCCTTGTCTGTCGGGTATCGGAAGAGGCCTGGATTCAGATGGCTGGGCGAGTGCATTGCAAACGCATTGAGGATGAGCTGCTTTTTTTCTGTTGACATGGCGATCTATGGGTGTCGGGTACTGCAGCCCGATGTAGATGTGAAAGAATTGGGTATCAGCTCGACGCGTGCTTCGGAATATTCTCCAGGCTTACTTCTTCATATTTATTGTTCCTGCGTTGCTTCCCCTCCAGCCAACCCCGCATGTCATTGCCGCGTCGTATTGCGTGCAAGGTTAAGACGTGAAGTTGGAGTCCGATGGCGTCAGCATCAGCGTGAGTGGGGGTTGCAAAGCCGCAATGATTAATTATTCGGGCAGTTACTGATAGTTCCTGAGCTTTAGATTTGTTAATAGACACTGAATAGTGGACACTTGGTGCTGTCGTTTCCCCTGGAGCTGTCATACATAGCTCGGCCGATAGACGTGTTATGCACATGTGCGTGACACTCTTCCAATGTCCTCTTGTGTGTTCGTTTGCCTACATTCAGCGTGTTCTAATAGGATAATTTGCTTGCGTCACACTGAAATTGTCAGAAATGTTGCGTAAATGATGAATATATCTACTTTGTTGACTTGGGTTTGATGCAGATGTGGTAAGTAGTGGGTATGATGACCGGGATATATCACTACCCGATAACCAACATCTGTATCTAGCCAAACAAACTAGTACAATCAATCAGGTTGTGTCTCCGGGAATTTGAGGAAAGGGGCCTTTTAATCATTGGAAAAAAAAAATCAATGAGAAAAAGGTTAGATGGTTTTACAAAAAGTAAAGTGGGAAGGCAAAAATAAATTGCTTTGCATCATCCGTGAATCGAACACGGGCCTCGTCGATGGCAACGACGAATTCTACCACTAGACCAATGATGCTAGTTCATGTAAGGAATCGCCAAATTTTATTTGATGGAGAAAATTAACAGTGCCCCTAATAATCATGGGCTGTGTTTGTTTAAAAGGTCGCTCGTTGTTCGTTGCTCTACATTCACCGATCCCGATATCTGAATGATGATTGGCATGAGATCCTGTCCACCTGATCTACTCCAAGGACAATAGACTCAATTACGAGCTCTACGTCCCGTAGCACTGCCCCGAGATAACCCGTGGTTCAAGGATGATTGGGGCCAAGATTGGGGGCCGCAATCGGACAGCCGCTCGGGAAAGTCTATACGTCAGGGCGCAGTCGACGAGTCTTGCGGCGAAATCAGTCTCCAAGGTCCAAGCGCGGCTCACCTTGGCTACAGTATCTGCCTCACGAACTCAACCCTGTAGAAAGCACGAAGAAGCGCCCAGCCGCGCCCGAGCATCCTCTTACAGCCCCCTTGTTCATGGATGGGGGCCGCTAGAAAACATCTCGAAGACTGTGGAGCCTCACGTGTGGTATGACGATGGCCCAGACATGCCGAGTCCCCTTGGTCGCTCGTTCTCGTTCACGTCTGGGCCCGATGGGAAGGGGTTGGCATGCTACATCGATACAACGCAGGCCAGGGAAGAGTCCAAGAATGGAGGTCGAAGCATTACATCCAGGCATTACCACCTTAATCTGAGGTTCCCTTTAAGAGTGTCCATTGCACATACTTCGGTGTGCCCGCCATGATGGAAAGCAGTTGACAGTAGTTGGGGTCCTCATACCCGAAGAAGACAATGAACTATCGCAGTAACTCAGTAGTTCGGGTACTCGGCACTCCGGGGCAACCACCCTATGGAGAACCAGTGGATGTGTCCATCAATCAGATCAAGTAGATCCGGGAACTCAGCCATGGAGGCTTAGAGAGAGTCTTGGGACTTGAAGGGGAAAATACAATTGGCGTGAAGCTGGGGCACCGTCGACCCACTGCGGAGAAAGCTGGCAAGGCTGATCTCCTTGTCACGGTGTTTACTTGTATTTAAACCTTATGGCCTCCCCCCCCTCGTTCTCCCATCTATCCCTTTTACTCGATTCACTGCGATCACCTTTCACCATTTTAATATCCTCACTATCCAACCATGTCTTTGAACGGCACAAACGGTGCTGGTACCAGCAAGGCTCCCGTCGAGGAGCCGGAGCGACACCCTGCGCCCGATCGAGGTCTGGTCAAGGTCCAGCCTGCTCGCCTCGCTGATTTGCAGCCCCGATATGCCTCTACGATCGAACATGATCAAGACAACCCGGAGGCACACGGCTGGTACGCCCGAATGAGTAAGTATATCCTGGCGACACCTATCGCATTCACTCTAACTTCGATTTCTTTATAGTTCATAGCCTGGGAGGATGCATCGGTTTCTGTGGTGCCATTCCCTGCTGCGTCTGCTGCCCGAATCCATTCAAGCCTGTGGACCAGGGTCAAGTCGGTCTAGTCTCGCGATTCGGACGGTATGTACTACACTCCCCACTAGTATGGTCAAATCTGACAATCAACCTGCAGCTTCGAACGTTCCGTCGACCCCGGTCTGGTCAAGGTGAACCCGCTCAGCGAGCACCTGTACACTGTCGACGTCAAGATCCAGATCGCTGAAGTGCCGCGCCAGGTCTGCATGACCAAGGACAACGTCACTCTGAACCTGACTTCCGTCATTTACTATCAAGTTACCTCCCCACACAAGGCGGCTTTCGGTATCTCCAACATGAAGCAGGCGCTCGTTGAGCGTACCCAGACCACCCTGCGCCATGTGATTGGTGCCCGCGTTCTGCAGGACGTAATCGAGCGTCGCGAGGAGATCGCGCAGTCCACATCGGAGATTATCGAGGAGGTCGCAGTTGGATGGGGTGTCCAGGTCGAGTCGATGCTCATCAAGGACATCGTTTTCAGCAACGAACTGCAGGAATCGCTCTCCATGGCTGCCCAGTCGAAGCGTATCGGTGAGAGCAAGGTCATTGCTGCTCGCGCCGAGGTCGAGTCTGCCAAGTTGATGCGCCAGGCCGCTGATATCCTGTCCTCTGCGCCTGCTATGCAAATCCGCTACCTCGAGGCTATGCAGGCCATGGCGAAGACCTCCGGCAGCAAGGTGATCTTCATGCCCTCCGCCCCCAATGTGTCGCAGCAGTTCACCGCCGCCGAGAATGCTGGCGAGGGCCCGAGCAACTATGGAGTTCCGAGCCCCAATGTTGATGCCGGATTCCAAAGTGCGATCAATGCCCGCGTCGTCGAGGACATCTAGACGACTCGCTTGTTAAAAACAGCGGGCATACATGTGTTCCCGCCTTTGATTTGAAGTTACGATCTCTTTCTACTTCTGCTTGTGATTTATAATGCCCCCGAGACATTGGCAGTCGGCGAAGAATACTCGCTTGCGGTCATAATTTCTGGAACTCAACGTTTTGTACTATGCTCGACGTGATTTGGATCCATGACGATACCCACCTTCTTTGACGACACTATTACCCCAAGATTTGCGTGTGATATGCGCTTAATTTACTTAACTAGCTTTTCCCCCAATATAATTTCAATTGTTGCTCCATTACGAATGACCCGCTTAAGTTGTAGAAAGTCCTGTGCTGGACAAAGACCTGCTGCGCAAAGAGAGAAATTTTTATCGCACTTGTCGGCATTTAGATCTGCAGCGGTCTCATAGAGTGCCAACTATCTAGTCTACTATGTAGTTGCTTTGTATGAGTACCTCGTGCACCTTGTCTACCCCAAGGCGGTGAAGCCAAGTTGGAGAGGGGCGATGCAGCTAACGTGGAGAATTGACCACCTCCAAACCCCAGACTCATTCGGTGTCGTGAATTACCTTTCCCAAGAAGTCATCCTATCTTCTAGGCCGGAAGGAATAAGTCATTACGTTCATGACTTCCTTCAACAGCCACAACTCGACAGCACGAGTTGTACCCAAGATCGTCAATTCGCAGGCCGACACGACACCCAACTTCGCAGACCCGAACTTCGATCCTGCCGAATTCCTGAATGACTCCTTATCGCCATTGACCGTTGCGTCATTGCAACCCAATGCTTCTCGAGCACCCGGCTCCGTACCTCTGACCGAGCTGTCCGCCCAGGTCCAGTCCTTGCTCTCGCAAATTAGTGCGCAGAACGTGCGCCTCTCAAGTACATTATCCCAGCTTAGCGATGAGATACTCCGAAGTGGTGGACGACTGGCATACGAAGTGGAGGTGTTACGAGGGGAGACGATCGGATTGTCGGAAACCTTAACAGAGGTGCTACGCGACGATATCGCCAAATTCGTTCCGGAATCTTCGAAGTCGAATACCATTGCTACAAGCCGGAAGACAGAGTCGGTCCAAGAAGGAGCCGAGGATCCTACATCTACAAAGGAGGAAGGCGTGGCTGCGGAGGAGCAACAGGACGAGGGCCCAGCCGACCCAGAATACATTACCAACTTGCGCACACTCAATCAAGTGCGATCAAGATTAGAAGATGTCGTCCAAACCTTTGGCGATGCAATGGAATGGCCTCTGCCGCCATCTGAGGTCTCATTCTCTTCTTCCTTCATCTCGGTTTCCGGCCCCGAGATGGGCCCTGAAGGACAAGACCAAGAACAAAAAGGACAAGAGAGCATGAAGAAGCTGCGCAACGAAATTTTGGAGCTACTGGAGAGTCAGGGCGGAGGGCACAAGGGATTAGAAGCCGCTACCCAGCGTTTGGAGACATTGCGGACATTGGCAGCAGTATGGAAGGGATCTGCCGAAGAGAAAGCGCGTGCACGATTTGTGGATGCTCTAGGACGGATTGTGGATGAGCGACGGCGAGTTTTGGAGCATCAGCAGGCAATGGCTGAGCAAAGTCAACGCGGACCTAGATCACGCGAACAACGTCGCGACAGCGATAGTGGCGCCCCCGCCGGCGGACTATTCCGCAACCTTCAACGACTGCGGGAGGAGATTTATCTAGAATAGCGAGTATATACCATTAATGAATCAAATATGAACATACACATACGCATACAGCTCAGGCGTAGGAATCTTATCGTATGGCGTACCGAAAACGGACGATCGGCGGACGTTTCCATCTCCACCTTCGATTGCGTACTTCCCGCGTGGCCTTTTAATATCTTGTAACGTCCTGGGCTCCAGCGCCATGTCCAGCGTTTCTCTGACCTCTGTCTTTTACTAGCCCGAAATGGCTCCCTTAAGTCCGTCTATCGACGAGGCTAAAAACGCGGCCTCGACGCTGCTATGGCAGGTCTATCACCGTCGCCCGCGATCCCGACGAGCCAAGTCGATCGCCTTCTCTGCCCTTACAATCCTATTATTCCTATACATGCTCTTGCCATCATCAAGGGTGAGTGATGATCTTTCCCGACTTGGACGGGATGCTTCTCGAGAGGACATGGCTAACGACCCGTGAATAGCAACCCGAGCCCGATTTCTGGACAAAATTCCCGTCGCGCCACCCTTTCCCTGAGCGCCCGGAAGATGCGCAGGTCGTTCTTCCTCAAAAGTCAGGCATTTCGATCAACAAGTCCCTCCCGCACGACCTGGAGAAGCCCAATCCTTACCTCCATGTCCTCGTCCATGCCCCGAAAACGCCTTTTGTCCCATCGCAAACCCGCGGTGTCTGTCGCACATTGACATCTGCGATGATCCTGGGATACCCGCCTCCGACATTACTCGGATACGGACACGAAAATGCTCACAAAACCGAGTTCGAGCGCATGATTGACCGGATCACTCGCGTGCGCAATTACCTCAAGAACAGCAAGACCATCAACGATCACGATTTTGTGTTGGTTGTGGATGCTTTGGACGTGTTTTTTCAGCTGCCCCCTCAGATTCTGGTTGAACGATTCCAGAACATCTTGCGCACGAACAACAAGAAGTTGCAGAAGAAGTATGGTTTCGCGGCCGTGCAGAACACACTGGGGGGGTCCAGTGGCGACGGTGCAAAAGTACTCCCAGCGAGTTCTGTTCGGTGCCAGTAAAGTCTGCTACACCGGATTGGAAAGCGATCCCGGTTGCGTGTCCGTCCCGGAGTCCTCTCTGCCCCCGGACGTGTATGGATGGAAGACGGACCATTACCATGATGGACATTTGAACCGACCTCGATGGTTGAACCCGGGAACCGTGATTGGCCAGGCTGCTGATCTGATAATGATCTATGATGAGGTCCTGCGGTTGCTCCATCAGCAGCACAAGAAGAATGGCGATTACCAGGCTCTCACGCAAATGTTTGGACGGCAGGAAGTGGTGAGAGAGCTGGAGCGTCGCCGAACCGCTAGCTGGCCTGTGGAAATGTTCTCCAATCTCCTGGGCATTGGGTATGGAACCAACATCTCGGGTATCAGTGTGCGGTTGGAGACGGGACATCGTTACGAGTACGGCATCGGCGTGGACTACAAGTCCGAGCTATTCTTCAACCAGATTATATCCAAAAGCGATGTTGAATGGCTCAAGTATAGTAACGTTACCAAATCTGAGCGCCTACAGATGGAGATGGCTGTTCCCCGCGAGTCTCGTCTTCTCCTTCCAGATGATATCGCAGCCCTCCCGGGTCCATTCAACCAGACTCGTTTCGCAAAAGAGCTCACAACGCATCCTGAATGGAACTCTACTCTCGACAAATTACCCAACCCAAGCACCCACTCCTGGCACACTGTGCCTCTCATGACGAACGGCCACTCTGCCACCATTCCAGTCCTCGCACACCTAAATGGCGACTCCAAACTCCGTAATACATGGTGGGAGAATATGTGGTTCTTCCCTTGGGCGCGCGCCTTACTCCGGAGATACGTCCGCTCCGCACACGGCTTCGACGCTGCACAATCCGCGCTTTTGGGCGGCCAAGACTGGTGGGATATGCGCGGCGGACGAGGCGGTATCTGGACCGACGACGAGACCTGGGTTCCCTTTTCTGAGATCTGCGAAGGCCAGGAGCGTGATCTTTTCGATGATGACTTGGGTCCTTGGGGGAAGGAAAACAGTGATCCAGACGAACCGGTCTACAACAAATTTGGAAACTTGATCTACGGGATAGAGCCCGAGGGAGTTCCTGAAAAGGGTTAGGTGCTAGCCATCTTGCTTCCAAAGCACTCCGTTCCTTGATGATCTGTCCCACTTCTCTCTTACCGTATACGACCGATCTTGTCGAGTCTGGGTTGAAGAGCCTGCATATATTCGTTCCTGGCATTTGATGCCCGGGACCCTTTTTCTGTTTGATACCACTGATTTTTTTTTGGAGCCATGTCTTGTGCACGTGGCCATGTTTGGGTGTTCGGGGTTGTTTGTAATATAGATCGAGGCAAGATAGATGCAAGATAGTTGCCAGTAAGTTCATTGAGCTGGTGTAAATTAAACTCAGAGCTTCGACAGCTAGACAATTTTTTTTTCTTCAAGGATCTGCTTCGTTTGTACGGTAGAGCGAGGTGTATGACAGACATGGGCCTCAATTGAATCATCTAATCTCCGTTCCTGCATTGCCGTGACAGACGCAAGGAATAATGCATCTATTCAATAAAATACCACATAAAAATCTTACTCCTCAAAGCCAGCCTTGGAAAGTAAGGACATCTGGATGAAGTCCAAGTCTGTAAATTTGAAGCTACGCTTCGGGATATCAAAAGCCTCTATAAAAAACCAAAGCACCAATTCCATCGCCACCTTACAAATCCTCTCCATAATTTTCCGCCAACGTCTCCTTGATAATAGACATAATAACCGGCACGTCCTCATCAGCAATACGATCCTCCCGCTCCTCAACAACAGTATCAAATAGCGCCATGGCACTGTAGTCCTCTTCACTCTCCCCTTCCTCCCCTTCCACGCCATTCGTATGTCCCTCATCAACTTCCATCTCTCCATCTCCATCAGCATGCCCCTCCGCGTCTGCAGTGTTGGTGAGGCCTAACCCCAGGTTCAGGATCATGACGATCTCCGCCTTTGTGAGTCCGTAGGGCTGGAGTTTTGTAATGATATCGCGGAGGGCGTAGTCCATGGGTGTGAGCTCATTGGATGGAACTTCAGGGAGTATGGAGGGGTCTGGTTCACCGTCACCGGCGCCGGGTCTCATGGTGCCGGTCATGGCGGCTTGGGAGTGGGACTGGGAGGAGGATGGGCGGGATGCATGACGGGGGTATTTGAGAAGGTGAGGGGATATGCGGCTGACATAGTTGTGAATCTATGTGTTGTTAGGTTCTGCGTTGCAATCTCGGAGCCTGTGAAACTCATGGTCTGTGGATGATTCATATGCAGGTACGGGGGGTCTCTCGTTGGGCTGCGATGGCTCCGACGGACCGCGGACTACGGCTTCGTAAATGGCTTACCTCTTTGACAACTGTATTATGATCTCTCAGATCGGGGCTTGGGACCCATGGCCCTCGGAAATGCTGTGGCCGTGGCGGAACACGGTGGGGTGGATTGGCGTTCAAGTATGCCAGCACCTCGACATTGGTGAGAACGGCTGATTGAGGGTCAAGGATCTGCAATTTGAGGTCAGAAGATGTCACTATTGCTAACAAGAGATGTCTTACCCTCATTGTGCTGAATTGGGGAATATATGAATAGTGGAAGTTGAGTCGAACGAGCGGAAAATTATTCGTTCTGCCGGCAGAACTAAGCGGTCCGATCAACGGCCACACGCACAACCGTAGGGAAAAAAAAGGCCCAAGTCAGAAAGTACAAATGCGGCGAGATGGAAACTAGACACGAGCTACAGAGACATTTACAGAGACATAGAGTATGAACAAAATTATTCAGCCAAACTGTACTGCCTTGTACCATCAAGCACCTCTGCGCCAGGAAAAGACCACGTAGATCAACCTTGAAAATGCCCTCAAACATATGCGAGCAGGTCGCGAAACAAAAAGAAAGTGATATCATACAGATCCGCAAAAGCCGTCCGTCACATAGCGAAACTTTTTGAAAGAAAACATTTACTCGCCCTTGCTCTTCTTCTTCTTCTTCTTCTCATCACCGTCGTCGTCACGCTTGCGCTTCTTGCCATCCTCCTTGTCGGCCTTCTTGGCCTCCTTCTTGGCCTTCTTCACGTCCTTCTTGCTGATGGATGACGGGTTGCCCTTCTTATCGAAAGTGATCTCTCCTCGCTCAAGCTTGCGCTGGTAACGCTTGACACTGAGACCGGCCTTGGCGGCCATCTTCTCGAGCTCTGACTCGGCAGGGCTATCGGAATCGGAATCGGACTCGTCAGAGTCAGCGTCGGCCATCTCCTCGTCGGAAACCTCCTCAACAAGCTTCTTCTCCTTCTTCTTCTCCTTCTTGTCCTTCTTGGCGGGAGAGGGCTCCTCGTCAGCCACGGCATCGGCATCGGGGTTGTACTTGCGGGCCTCGTTCAAGTCGAACTTCTGGGGCTGGGCAGTGCCGTTGGGAGCAATAGCCACACCGCGGGGCTTGAGGGGCTTGCCCTCCATGGCAGCGAGCTTGCGCTCAAGGTTGAAGCGGGCCTCGGTACCGAGAGCAGCCTTCTCCTCCTCAGTGACCTCGTCAGCCCAATCGGCAAGGGAATCCACACGAATACCCAGGGAAGCCTTGGCGGCAAGGATACGGGCCATCTTGCCCTTATTGCGGCCGGTGGCCTGACCGATCAGAGAAGCGTGGTAGATCAGACCGTACTTGGGAGTGTCGTGCTTAGTCTTCAAGGCACGGAAGAGGGCCTTCTCGGCACCCAGAATCTGGATCGTAGAGGCAGGGCTCTTGGAAAGGCTGCTCAAGCTACCAGCGTGGGCAATGAGGCGGGCACCAACGAGCTCGCCGACGAGAGCAGTCAGGTTGGGAGCAATGGCATTCATACGGGAGGTGAGGTAGCCAGACAGACGCTGGCGATAATCGGAGAATCCAACGACCTGGGTGGCCAGGGCCTGAATGTTCTCCAGATCCTCCTCGCTAATCTCGGTACCCATGGAGCGATCGGCAGCAAGCTTGACGGCAGCCTCGATCTCCTCGGGGAGAATCTCTGAGAGATCGACAGTCTCCCAGTTAGTGCGCATACCCATCTTCAGGACGAGATTAGAGTAGGCAATGTTGTCGTTGAGGATCTTGGCCAGCTCGGGGAAGTGCCAGCCGTACCATTCCTTAACACGCATAGCGTAGGTGTTGAGCTCCTTGTCGAGGTCATCAAGCAGGCCAATGGCCTGAACGATCATGGTATCGATCTTGTCGGGGGAGAACTTGAGCTTGTGACGGGCAAGAGAGTGGGAAAGACCGAGGGACATGGCGGACATGTCACTGGGAGCCAAACCGGGGATGAGGGCGGCGAGGTGCTCACGAATGGCACGGAACGCATCGGAGGTAGTAGAGTCGGCAACCAGATCAATAGAGAAACCGGGAAGTTTGCCAATAGCGTTTCCTGGATGGCAATTAGGACCAATTCGCCGTAAAGTGGGCTCCAACTCAATTGTACATACCGAGCTTGACATCCGCAACGGCGAGAGTGCCCTTCTTCTCGTCCTTGATTCCATCGAGAAGGGAGGCAAGACGGGGAGTGACCTTGCCCTCAATGATGGCAGCGGCCTCCTCAACGGCAGTAGCAGCGCTGTCGAACTTCTGGAAACCCTTCAACTTGAACCTACATGGTCGGTTAGCATCGTCTGCCCGCAACAAAAAAATTTGCGCCGACGCAATAAACTATCTGCGCGCACGAAGACTTTTTTCCAGCACGCCGGAATGCTGCACATACATTTCAGAGACACCCTCAGCAGTGGAAGCATCCTCAGCGATGTCCTTGCGCTTCAGGAGCTTCTTGTCCTTGGCCTTCAGCAGGGCATAGCCCGCACTGGTCTCAGTGAGGAGGAAAAGCGACATGGTGGGCAAACCACGGCGTGTAGTATAATAAAAAACTTAGAAACAAGACCCCGGTCTAAATGCAAAAGAATGAAGAGGTAGGGGTGGACCGTGGACGCAATCACCGTTGGAGGAGAACTAGAAATTTTACACGGAAGAAAAAGTGCAAAAGTCGAAGCCACGCTGTGGCGGTGGCTTACATAACCACCCGCCGTACATCGAGCTTCAAGTGTAGCTGGCGACTCCCCGTTTCATCTGTTTCCACTCCACGCACCATGGAGGGCCTTTTCTTCAATGTTAATGCCGGGTAAGTGATTTATGGCTCTTCTGGGATTGTTCCAGCACTGACGGAAGTCCAGATACGTTGAAGGTATCGTTCGAGGGTATCGGAACAGCCTTCTGACTGGCCAGAACTACTCCAACTTGACACAATGCGAGACCATTGACGGTACACCCTATTTGTTATCTGCACAGTGGAATGATGTGTCTAACAAGTTACCTCATAGATGTGAAGCTCCAGCTGGGCCCGTCCTACGGCGACTTCCTCGCCGCTCTTCCCCCCAACCCCTCTACCTCCGCTCTCGCAGGCAAGATGACCGACAAGCTGGTCGCTGAGTTCCGGTATCTGATCGCACAGTCCACCGGCTCAACTGCCAAGTTCCTCGAGTACCTGACCTACGGATACATGATCGACAACATTGCCCTCCTGATTACTGGCACCCTGCACGAGCGCGATACTCGAGAACTCCTGGAGCGATGCCACCCGCTGGGCTGGTTCGAGACACTGCCCGTTCTGTGCGTGGCAACTAATATCGAAGAACTCTACAACTCGGTACTCATTGAGACTCCTCTCGCCGCATACTTCAAGAGTAGTCTGAGCCACCAGGACCTTGACGAGTTGAACATTGAGATTGTTCGAAACACCTTATTCAAGAACTACCTGGAGGACTTCTACAACTTTGTAAACACCCACCCCGACTTTGCTGGCCCCACGCAAGATGTCATGTCCGAGATCCTGCAGTTCGAGGCCGATCGCCGTTCCATCAACATTACCCTCAACTCTTTCGGTACCGACCTGCTCAGGCCAGAGCGGAGGAAGTTGTACCCCGAATTTGGCAAGCTCTACCCTGAGGGAACCTTAATGCTTTCCCGGGCTGAGGATGTCGAGGGTGTGGCATTGGCTGTCAGCGCCAATGCTGACTACAAGTCATTCTTTGACGCCGTGGGACTGAGCCAAGGTGGTGGTATGGGTGGTATGGGTGGAGGCCCAGCTGATGGCAAGAGCCTGGAGGATCTTTTCTACCAGAAGGAGATGGAGATGTCGAAGTTGGTCTTCACACGTCAATTCACCCCGGCGGTGGTGTACGGGTGGATGAAACTAAAGGAGCAGGTAAGAGCACCACAAAAAGTATCTGTGTTTAAAAATTAATCACTGACACTTCGACAGGAAATCCGCAACGTGACGTGGATCTCGGAATGCATTGCCCAGAACCAGAAGGAGAGAATTGGAAACTTCATCTCCGTCTTCTAGACGCAGACACGCCATGATCTCGTTCCCTCTACTTCTTTGTACCTAACCTCTGGCTGAGCGATATTGCTTCTGCCAATTTTGTTGTATCGAGTACCCAGTTTGTTCTTTTTGAGTATTGAAAGTGAGCGCATCACCTCCCCTGGCCGAGGCCATGGTCACATCTGGTTTCGGCTTTTGTTGGCTTTCGATTTGAGGCGTTCGGTTATCTTCCTTGATCTCCCATTGTGCTATAGAAGAACGAAATTCATCAACTAGATGAACGTCCCGATGCCTCCTTGGTTTGCACCTCTAAGAGCCTTGCCTACTGGCCTCTTGAGTGTTAAGCCCCTTGTGGCATAGTGTAAGCCGCTCTAAGTGGTATAAGTTGTACAGGGTACTTGACTAGACATATGACGCATCAGACAGAGAACAGAGTAACCGTGCTTGAATTATTGATTTTAATTCAGGCATGTACTATGTGCAGACGGCGGCAGAGAGATAGCTAGATAAAACAGGTAACTTGGGAGCCAGCCAGACCAAGAGAGCGACAGAGAATCACAAATACACAAAACGCTCTCGGTGTACCAAGTCTACTATGACCGTGGTTCTATATTGGGAAATTTCAGGTAGGTAAAACATTGCGAATAAAAAATTCGCATCAACAACGCCGTATTAAATCCAAAGAAATTCATTGCATATGCCAGATCTGGGATATGGAATCCAGCTCTTTTTTGGGAGTTCAAATCATTGGAACTCAGTCATACTGGAACAGAACGCTGATGCTTTCACCGTGGTGAACGCGGCGGATTGCCTAGAGGAAGCGGTCAGCATGTGGCGCGGACAATCGGACGAATGTTACTCACCTCGGCGAAAACGTGGCCGACCTCCAACACCTCCAGTTTCGGGCAACGGCGCAGATGGTCACCTTGGTCAACGCTGTTGGTCACAACAACCTTGTCAAGGGCGCTGGCGTTGATGCGGTCGATGGCGTCACCACTCAAGATACCGTGGGTGAGCAGAGCGTAAACCTGTGAGGCACCCTCGTTCTTCACCAACTTAGCAGCCCGGGTGATTGTGTTCGAGGTGTCAGCCAAATCGTCAATCAGGATGGCTATCCGATCACGGACGTCGCCAACCAGCATCATGGTCGCATTCTGGCGGTCAGTGATCTTTGTGGGGCGTCGCTCCTGTGAGGGCCAGTCAGATGGTCCATTTGGGTTACCGCGCGATTTAAGTGTGCCTGAACGAACCTTGTGAATTAGGGCAAATTCCATCCCCATTTGATCGGCGATGGCAGTGGCGCGCTTGGCACCGCCAGCATCAGGGCTGACGATGACGGCCTGCTTGTAGTTGGGAATATTGCGCTGGATGTAGCTCTTCAGAAGGGGACGGCCATAGAGGTTGTCGACCGGGATATCGAAGAAGCCCTGGTACTGGGGGTCGTGCAGATCCATAGTGATGATGTGATCGGCACCGGCGCAGGTAAGCAGGTCGGCCACCAGGGTGCCTGCTTGTGCGACCCATTGCTTATAGCCAGGGCGCGGCTGGAAAGTATTGATCTTAGAGGAAGCAGAGCTTGCAGAGTCTTCGGCAGCCCCGTTCGTAGCGATGGACTTGAGGGACTCGTTGGTGTCACTCCGCGGAAGTCCGTTCCCGGAACGTCGCTTCACGGGACTACCGTTGCTTTCCTCAATCTGGGCCCTGGCGAGGCTCTTCTGGAGGTTGTCGATTCCGTTCAGACCGAGGCCGTCAGCTTTAGCGCCCAGGCCCGGGGTGGGCGGGGTGCTCTCAAAGGTGTAGCCATTGTTGGGTCGGTTCGGCACAGATGACTTTACGAGAGGAGCTCCAGTCTTGTCGTAGGGGATGTCACTTTGGCGAGAGTAGGGGAACAGAGGAAGAACAGCGGTCACTCGTCGGGCAGAAGCAGTCTTGCAGGCGGAGATGGTGATGAGGAGCTCCAGCAGGTGGTCGTTGACCTTGCCGCCTCCAGATTGGATGATGTAGACATCCTTACCGCGAACGGACTCCTGGATTTCGACTCGGGTCTCACCCACGGCAAATTTGGACAGCAGAACATCCGCCGGCGGGATGCCCAACACGCTGCAGATGCTCTGAGTCAACTGCGGGTGGGACGTGCCACCGATGACGACAAGATTGCGGACCATGGCTTCTGATTATCTTGATTCAATGGCTTCGGAGGAGGTTGTAAGAGGGGGAGACAGGAAGGCGCTGGATCGAATGGAGGAGGTGGTCGAGGGATTTGGCGGAAAACAGAGAAAATCTGGGGCGATGTCGGACTGATGTAAGAGAAGATCGGATGGAGGAGGCAATAGAGTCAAGAGTGGAGAGTAAAGCGACTACCTCATGACGCAGACACGAGGTGAAGGCAAGCAGCACTGGAGTGAGATCTAGAAAAAAAAACGAGAAGCTCGTGAGTCCCGCGTTAGAAAAAAAGCCTCTTTTGGAGAGTGGAACAAGTCTTGGCCTCGGGTTGGCTGCAGTTGGCTGCCGTTGGATGCCTCAGGCTCAATATAATTCCGGATCGGGCAAAGTGCGCCTGAGGCCCCGCAGCAACGGGAATGAACCGGCAGAAAACGGCGGTGCAGGATATGCAAATGGTCAGCAAGTACTTTTCCCTATAGGTACTAGTAAGACCTCGAGGTAAAAAGTGCATGCTTAGTGCAGCATTCCATTGTCCCATAGATACAGGCGGCGTTGGAGGAAAAAAAAGTATATGAAATAACACATTGAAATGAATTCGTAACGCTCCCCATGCTCCGGTTCCGTAGCAAAACACCCCGAAAACACTCTTGGATATTCGATCTGGTTGGTTCCCTTAATCGCCAGTTCCGACCTCCCTAGATGATTGTTAGTATGCTTACTCATGGAGGTCTTGTGGAAGGAGGGAGATGTTGAGGCTCACAGATCAAGTTGGACTCCGTTACTCACGCCATAGTCCTCCAGCGTTAACTGGTCCTTGAAGGGTCGTTCGCCTTGGCGTTTGAGAAGGATCTCGTGGGGCTCGCGGCCGATGCGAGCGGCAACTTGGGCCTTGAATAGCTCTGGAAGTAGTCAGTGTACTGTACTGGTATGGCCCAAGAAGAAGGATACGAACTGATAGGATCCGAAGCCAGGCAGGGAATCGCCGCCTTAGTACCCAGACGATCGTTGACATGAACGACAATCATAGGCTCTGATGACTGGGGCATGACGGGTTTCTTTTCCTTCTTCTCTTTCTTCTCCTTCTTTTTCTCGCGGTCTTCCCGGGGTGCCTCTCGGTCATCGCGTCGGCGGTCACGGTCGCGGTCACGGTCGCCATCTCTGTATCTGTCGCCATCGCGATCCCTCCGTGGGGATCTTGGTCGGTCTCCTCGGTCTCCTCGGTCCCGATATCCTCGATCTAATTTGCGATCGTCCCCACGGGCATCGTCGTCGCGCCGCTTTTCCTTCCATCGAAAGCCTCCGGACTTCTTAGGTCGATATCGGTCGCCATCGTCCCGCCGGCGGGGAGACTGGCTTCGTGTCCGGTTATCCATCGTGGAAGATGGGAAAGCAGGGAGATATGTTGGTGCCCGACTAGCTAGCCTTGATGTCAACGGAGAATGAGCCAATGGATTCACGTGACCGGGGAATTGCAGCTCTTATCTAACCTAAGCAGGACTAGCGCGCCATTTGGTCCCAGATGAGCTTCTTTGCGTTGTCCCTGAAGATCCAACGGATAGCTTCAATGGTCTCGAGCTTCTAAGTGGTGCTATTCGCTCTATTCTTCAAAATGCCCGGTCGACTTCAAGTCCAGCGGCCTTCTCCAACTACTGTCAGCTTCACTGTCTCGAATGCGCCTCGACGCTCCAGTTCCCCCGCGAAGATCCTCTTTGGCGTCCAGGTTCTTATACGCGCCATTCTCTTCTGCTGTGTTATCATAGTTGGAACAACGCGTTTGCGGCACATTTTCTTCTACCAGGAAGGTCGATTTATACCTTGGCAGGAAGTGTGGTCGTCTTCCCTCGGAATCAAGGTTTGCGATCTGGTGGACACATACAACAACCCATGGGCAATCGCAGTCATCAGCATCCTGGTGGTGTGGGGAGTCTTCCGCAGAGGTTATACTGGTATGGATTTTGAATTCGTTGCTTTCGTTGCGCACAGTCTAATTACTGCCATGTAGAGGAATCGCTCCTGGTTATCCGTGGCTTCGGCATCCAAACTTCCACCTCATCCTCTACCTATCTCTCGACTGCCGCGACTAGATTTATTCCTACCACGCAGATTCAAGATATCGTCATCCATGAAGCCTTTAAAGGCTTTGAGGTTAGATTCTATCTGGCTGTCATTGTCGAAGGCGAGCCTGGTGTCTTGGTGGTCTTCCCAGTGGGTCTCCTGTCAGCTTGCGTAGGTTCTGGGCTAACTCACTCCCCATCTAGAAAATGCTACCAAAGCGTGAGATTTTAGAAGAAGTATGGAGAGGTTCCAGGCGTTGTCTCTATGATGCAAAGCCATGATGCGCTGGGGAAAGCCCTCGCTCATGTCCAATATAATGAGTATGTACATCTCTCAAGCAGTCTGATTTTTCGACGCAGCCTCTTGCTCCTTTGCGGCCATTTTGCGCTCTTTAGACACCAGCCACCTGGCGTTCTGGACCTCCACCAGGTCCGTTTTGGTTTTGTCCGAAATGGACACATATCTTCCACCAAGGCGAGCTTCATCCGCTCCAAGCCAGACCTTGACACCCCTGCTCTGCTTCTTGCCCGTTCCCTGCTTTCCCTCCAGGTTCTGGACGTGGGTCTGATCACCCTGGCTGACTGTCAAATCCAGCAATGCGCCGGCCAGAATCTCATCAATCTTGCGCTGTCTCCAAACAGACCATAATCCATCAACCACGCCTTTCATGCCAAACTTGCTGTCACCTTTAGCACTTTGGGTCTTGTTCAGGCGTGGGTCGCCGGCATAGACCCAACCCAGAGAATCTTCCCGGCTGCCAGAGCTCTCGTCGGGGAAAATGCAGTCCCACAGAACCAGAGGGGCATCGGATGCCATCTCGTATGTTGGCTTCCGCGGGTTCTTGGCAATATCCAGTAGCTCGGCGACAATAGACGGAGATTCAAGCCCTTGTCCGACCAGGAACAGAACTGCGACCATATGGCGGACCTGGTGCCACAAGAAGGCAGAGCCGTGCAGGGTGAATGAATAAACTTGGGGGGTAGAGGCAGAGGGGTTCTCAGAAGTCTCCATATCCACATCGGAGACATGGCCCTCTACCGCCTGGAATCCAGGTCGACCGATATAACCCAATGGGTTAGACTTCGGGTTCACGAATTCAATATCAGAATGATAGATGATCCGCTCGAAATTTTCAATCTGTTTGCTGGTATCCAGCTTACAGAAATTCCGGAAGTCGTGGATTCCCTCGAAGTGCTTGGCAGCTTCGCGCATAGCTTCAATATCCAGCCAGCCCTCGCGGAACTTGCTACGCGGGCCATTGGCTTTGCCTGTGCGGTCCGCGAAGCCAAAGGAACCGGGAGTAGGGGAGAATGCAGGCTGAGTGAAGAAGTATCGGTATCGGCGCTCACGGCAGGAGAAGCGAGCATCGAAACCAGGCGGTGGGTTGGGGCACCAGGCCAGAACACGGATATCTTCAGGCAGAACCCTGTTTAGGAGTTGTATGTAGTTCAATTCATCAGCCACATCATCCCAGTCCTTGTTCACGGACGGTTCCTCGATCTGCATCGCATCGGCCTCTTGTCCTGAAGCAGCCTTGGGCTTGGGTTTGGGCCGTGCACTGCGGACTCTAACTCCAACGACCTGGCCGAATGCGCTCACACCGCGATCCGTTCTTCCGGCTTTTGAGTAATCACATCCATCCCAGTAAATAGAATAGGGCCGCATTGCTCTTGGTTCAACATCATTTGGCTCGTCCTCCGAAGATGTCTCGGGGGTGATCAGCCGTGTCCGGCGCATGGCCTTCCACAACATCTCCTCAATTGTAGGTAGAGGCGTAGCATTCCCATTCGTGTGCTCGAGACCATTGTATTTCTGACCCAGGTAGGCGAACTTGAGAGCAATGAACCGAGTCGAATATTTAGACGGATCGAAACCACGATCTGGCCTGGCGCCTCGCGAAGGAGCAGGTGTATGAGTGATATCACCTCCCGGTGAGAGGGCACGCTTCTTCGAGGGCTGAGCCGCAGGCTCGGCGAGTGGAATCGCAGGTTCGTGGACGTCGATAGAGATGGGTGCGGTGGGTGTCACTTCCGGTGCCGCCGTTGTCGGCGCGTTGTACCGCGCAGTCTGAGAATGCAGTTGCCGCTCGAGCTCGGAGATTCGATTGATCAGGCTGGCACTGCTCCAGTTTGTATAGTCGGGGCGTGCATCGTCGCCGGTGCCCGCCATGGTTTGTGGTTGTGGGCGGTGCTCGCTCAGAAAACGCGTTTGCGATGTAATGGCGCTTCGTCGAATATAACTCGGTATACTGAGCCTTGCTGATGACCTCCACATGCCACTGAGGGGTTTGAGTGTGCAAACGGCCCAGCAATGTCGAGGTGGGATATGCTTTAACGGTGGGAAATTGAAGTCCGCGGAGCTTTTGGTACTTGACGTAATTTTTTATGGTTATGTACTGTAAGATGAGACTCATGTCGGCTCTCTTATGAAGTCTAGAGCGTATGATTGTGTATTAAACCTTTCTTCGCATGAAAAGAGGAAAGCTTATATTTAATTGGAACTTAAATGTCGATCACGATCATTTTGGTGGGCCATTTGCCTGGATTTGCATGCTGGAGGGCTGAAGTTTATATTTCGGTGTAGACCTCGTTGGCTACCCGCACCTTCGCAACTTCGCATTTCTCTAGGCCCTTGCAGTATTGCAATGTTCCTATCCAGATGAAAAGTGCATACAGATCAAGAGCGATAGTATGACCGAAACAGTAGGCCAAGAGACTGAGAGTACGGTCAAGCTACTGCTCCTTGGTGATCCGGGATGTGGCAAGTCTACCTTTCTATCGTGAGTTTGTACTGTATCTCTACACACTTTTCAGTGGAGAGAACTAGTTAAATGCTGCGTTAATGAAGAAGAACACTAACATCGATACAGACGTCTGAAGAGTGGGAGGGGACCGACACCACAACCTAGCGGCGCACCAGACAGCCCACCAACTATCTTACGCGACACTGACCAGCCTTTCATCTACGATATTCGCTTCTCGAAGAAGAGTTTCACATTAGAGCTCTATGATACGTCGAATCCCAACCAGCACTGGACAAGCCTGCAGCCGGACGTGGTTGTGCTAGCCTTCGACATTTCCAATCGGCAAACCTTGAAAGGGCTCAAAGGGGTAGGTTCACTGTATCTCTGGATGATGATATCCAGCTGACAGCAAGGAAAACTTAGTGGCGAAATGATATTATTCGGTTCTTCCAACATGGACAGGGAGAGCGTATACCTGTTATGTTGCTCGGACTGAAACGAGACCTGAGAAAAGAAGGCGAAGATATCATTTATCCCCAAGAGGTAGGTGACGATCCCCAAAATAAGCCGAATGTATTAACTAACAGCATCTTGAGACCTACCGTATCGCTCAAGAACTCCGGTGTGACAGGTATGCCGAGTGTTCGGCCTTGACGGGTGAGCTCCTTAAAGAGACATTCGAAGACCTGGCGAGGCTCGCGGGGATGACTAGTACAGAGAAAGGTGGGCAAACCTCTGGGACTTGTATGATTCTTTGAGCATTTTAGGTCGCATCAACTTTGACGAGTATAACGACGAGATGATATTCGAATCACGGCACTTTCATGTCGCAAAGATGCAAGACGTAATCTAGGGCGTAGCATATACTACGACCCAGAACACATCTTATTTATTTTTTACAGTCCTTACGAAGATTATCCTACGTGATCAACTGCAGATACCGAGCACGACCTTTTCCGATTACTAGAAGATACATACAGGGAGAAACCAAGGTAACGATCAAGTCCACCTTGTAGATTGACAGCACAGGGCTTTCCCCCAGTTGCAGAACACAACTGGATATCTTTCCCTCATAAGCGCCAGTCAATGATTGACGTAGCTATTCCTCCCCGATGCGAAAACATGAAATCAAAAAAAATAAAGGTGCTGGCAAGAGATCACTGATGCAAAAGGACGTGGAAGATTTCCGGTGAAAGCTCTTTTTTCTTCTGCTGTTTTCAGTTTCTTTTTGGACATTGGACAGAAACTAGGATAGACATGTCAAGGGGTTTTGCGGGAGATGGTGTATTCCATTGTTGTCAATGGTTTCGGAAGGTAAATGAATAAACAAGAGCATTTTCTCATTTCCTGTGTCTCGAGTACACGGGAAATCGCCACAATCATCCCGGATCGCCATGGCTTTTTGGGTGGAGGTCATACTCCCCCCTTTCGACTATCCTCGTTCCAGACTGAGTGGATTTACCACTTAGCCTCAGTGGCAGCAGCAGGGGCAGCAGCCGGGGTCTCAGCAGCCCAGTCACCACCCTGGGGGGCGGAGCTGGCGGCCCAGTCAGCACCGTCAGCCTCCCAGCTGGTGGCACCGACAGCAGCGCTGGCAGCGGCGAAGGCAGTGCCGGGAGCACCAGCACCGGGGGCGTTCACGTCCCAGTTGTCACCAGCGAAACCGGACTCGACGGCACCAGGGCCGATCTCGTCAGCACCGGGGACCTTGGTCTCTTCGGCGATCTCCTTGTTCTCCTCAGCCTCGGGGTCGCGGTAGAAGTAGAGGTCAACAACGGTGTCCCACTCGGTCTCACGGGTAGCAAGGGTACCACGGAGGCGGAGAACCTCACGGGCGAGCATCCACCAGACGAGACCGATGGAGTGACGACCCTTGTTGTTAGTGGGAATGGCAACATCGACGAAGTCGGTGGGGGAGTCAGTGTCGCAAAGGGCAATGACGGGGATGTTGACGTAGGAAGCCTCCTTGATGGCCTGGGAATCGGTGCGGGGGTCGGTCACGATGATGAGACGGGGCTCCTTGAAAGAGCGGGTGATGTAGTTGGTGAAGTTACCGGGGGTGAAACGACCGGCAATGGCGGTAGCACCGGTGTGGGAGGCGAACTTCAGGACGGAGCGCTGACCGTAGGGACGGGCAGAGATGACACAGATGTCAGCGGGGTTGTCGATGGCGGCGATGATACGGGCGGCCAGGACGATCTTCTCCCTGTTTCATCGCATTTCAAATTAGCCCTTTGCACTCTTTCACACGAATGGTTCACTCGCTTCCCGCTACATACCAGGTCTTGCCAATGTTGATGACATTGATACCGTCGGCACGGGTCTTCCAGAGGTAGGGCTCCATGTGCACCTGCAAGTTCTTGGAACCGAGGTGGCACTGAGCAGCCAGGAGCATCTCAATGTCCTGGGGGGTAGGGTTGAAAACCGGGGGAAGCTGGGAGGGGGCCATGGTGGGCGATTGATAGATTGATGTTTTGGAGAGATCAATCGTCTGGCTCTTGTCGTGGTGATGGAGGGAAAAGATTGAAGCCGAACCGCGAAACCCACGCCGCGCCTCGGAAAAATTTCGCTTGTTGGTTGTGAGCGTTAGGGCTAGGGCATGATTACATAACAGATCGGGGCTTTGGCTCAGGTGTCAATATACTACAACCTCAGGCAGGAAGCATCGACCAAACAGGTCTAGCGTTATTCGACCGGCGACATGATTTCCCGACAAAAGAGTTGGTCGCGAAGAACTTCGCAGACGCTATAGGAGGCCATTGAATATAACCGGCCACCATGCCTCCACGTTTCTCAGTCCAGCCTTCTTGGAAGGTGTTGACAGGTATGACTTAGCTCATATAGCTAATGTTCAGCTAGATTATTTGCGCACGAATGCTGACGGTACAATCTGGTCCAGGCACGCTCTCCAGACAGGCCCTCTCAAATGGAACTACCATCACTGCGCGTGCGGCGTCCACTAAGGCTAAGTCGCCCAAGAAACATGACTTTTTCATGATCGCACATGCCCGGCAACGGAAGGCAGCCAATCTTTCTCGACGAAAAGTTCTCGAGGCTGAACGGGAAGCCTCACTCGGCCACCCTGTGGAAAGCAAGCCGACACCTTTTATCCAGGAGATCCAGTCAATTCAGGCCGGCACACAGGCTCCAGTATCCAGCATTGATATCAACTATTATTTGAAGCTGGATGAGCTCAACAGTGCACTTCAATTCTCGAAGGATCTGACCGAGCCGCTGAAGAATCCGGATCGTGATACAGCGGACCCTCAGCAAGAGTCGGAGGCAGCGGAGTTACATCAGCAGCAACACCGAAATGCAGAGGAAGCCATCCAGCGCATTGTGAACCTGAGCAATGGAAACGCAAAAGATCGCCTTCGGTTGAATGTACAGAAGTGCATCGACCAATTCGGCCGACACAATACCGACTCATCTCTACCACCTAAACCCGCTGGCGTGCGCCATGAGTCTGCACCGGTTCACCCCGAGAAGGCGCCTCGCATTGGCCAGGATACTGGCTCTCCCGAGGTTCAGGCTGCTATCCTGACAGCCAAGATCGTGAACCTGTCTCGCCATCTGAAGACTACCAACAAAGACAAGCACAATAAGCGCAACCTCCAGCTTCTTGTCCACAAGAGACAGAAGCTGCTCCAGTATCTTCGCAGGAAGGACCGAGGGGGCCCCAGATGGCAGAACTTGATGGAGACTCTCGGCTTGTCTGAGGCCGCATGGAAGGGCGAGATCGCCATCTAGGATTTTTCTTTTGGCTTTCGACTGAACGGAATCTTCGCCGGACTCTCAAACTTGCCTAGTGTCTTGAATTGAGCATCAGCGTGTGTAATTTTTATTTATTTTTTGGCCAGTTCCTGGCATCGGAACTTACCGGTTCAACCATCCTGATCTGAATGTTTGAGGCTATTTTGCCTAGAAAGATCAGAATCATGTGTACAAATAGAATCTCATTTCCTTTCATCTTGTTCCTGATCCCGTGTCAGAATGCACCTGAATTCTCGAATGGGTACCTAACGATTGTTTCATTCTCACATATTAAATAAATGAGTCGCAGCTTGCCGTGTCTCTTACATATCATGCATGCTTGGGATGAATATCTCCGACTATTTCCAAGCACTAGTACTAGAAGGCTTAGCATGATCATTTACCTTGCCTATATAGACCGGCTCTTTTACATTGCTCCTGAGGCTGCATGATTTATATTTAAGTTGACAAACTTGAAAATGACAAACCGATGGCCTGAGGAATCACTAAGCTCTCACCGCCTCGTCAACCTCGCTCTATTCTGCCCATCTTTAGACGACATTTTTGGATCACGTCGAAGTGAGGTCGATCAGCAGGTGAGCGCGCCTATCGAACCTTCTTGAAGTGAGAGCACTTGCTCTCGCGCACCTTCATCACTCTATCTACCAAGCTCGACAGACAACCCCGCGAACGTCAACAAACAGACCCAGGCTCGACTACTTGATCCCCTTCTCTTCCTCTTTCTCGTTCTCTTATTTCCCTTCCCCAACTTTCGCAAAGCCGCTTTTTGAACAGACTTTGTTCTGGGGTCGCTTGATTGTGTTCCCTCGCTCCCTAGCGCACCCCCCATCTCGCCCTCAAAGGCAACCCCAAAGGCAACCCAACCCTTCCTCTCCGTGACTGTTTGGTTGTGAGTGCGCAACAATGCGTACTCGTTCCCACCCTGTTTCACCTGGTGGGCTCGTCTCGCTCGACGACGTCCCCGCACCTCCCCGCCGCCGCAACACGCGCAGCGTATCTGCCCAGCCGCAGGATGCGGCGGAGCCGGGCTCGGGTGCGGTCGAGGCTATAAAGCCGAAGCCAACTCCGAAGACCCGGAAAAGTCGTTCCAAGAGTACCCGTGGCAAGAAGGTGTGTGAAGATGATACCCAGCGCGTAATGACGCGACTAATGATGTGTTTGAAAAGCCCACCCGCAATCCCACCAAATCTACCGAGCCAGAGCAGAAGGACTCAGCCGGCATCGCCGCCGAGCAAGTCGGCCAGGACAACATCGAAATGGTTGGCTCCCCCCAGATTATAATTGATGACGAGCCCCCTTCACCCCCATCAGTTCAGCTGATGCATGAACTTGACCTTCATGTACAAGCTTTGGAGAAAGCACCCCCTGCTGGAACTCCCATTGCTTACAATGGAGAGGCTGCAATGGAGCTTGACCACCCCGACGACCTTATTATGCAGGACGTTGAAGATGTCTCCCCCCTTGGATCGGAACAACTCGTCATTCTTTACGCAACAATTGCTGATCAACTTGTCACTGAGCAGAGTCACGAGGACCATGAAACGCAAGACGAACCTACTTCCTTGATCCCATCTATCGAGAGCCCCCACCACTCCGTCTTCGCCTCCGTCGAGACGGGCGATGCTGAAGATGGTACCGGTGCCGATACGGCTGCACAACGTGAGTGCATTTCCAAGCTTCATACAGTGAATCCCATCTGCCGAAAGCTTCAAAGCACCAGAGTCTACGACAAGCTATTGCGTTTCCGCGAATGGGCTTCACAGCGCCTCTACGGGAACCAATGTGATGACTTTCTTCACCTTCCTTCCCCAATTAACCCAGTTATATATGAATTCAGCGACGACCAAGGGAACGTTCTTAATCAAATTGTACTGATCACCATTCGCTCAGGCCGGAACCTCGCCCGCCGAATCCCCCGAACTTCGCCGACTCGCGCTTCTTCTAACGCTCATCGTGCTTCTCGAGGCACTCAGGTTCTGGGTCCCCAGAAAGCCACTCCTATTCGTCGCTCCTACTCCAATATCTCCCAGACACGTCGTACCGAGGCCAGTGGCCGCATCAATCGCACGTTGTATCGCTTGCCCGATCTCTTGACCCAGAGTGATTCGGATGGAGAAGCTCCTGCTCAGGACCGTCAGCAGGTTGTAGAGACCCAAGAGAATAGTTCTGTCATTGCTAATCCTGCGACCCCCGAGTCTGCCCGACTCAGGACTCCCATGACTCCCATGACAGCTCCTCCGGCTGCCAATGTCGGCAACTCGGCAGCAAGCCTCAACTCATCTCCCAGTTGGTCGCGATGGATTTTCAACAATGTTTCCAGAAGATGGACAAACATTCGCGGGAGGCTTGTCACTCGTCCGTCCGCTGGAACCCTGCCAGGTGCGTCCTTAGATGTTCTAGTCATGTTTGATTCGTAGCTTACTCCAAAGTTTTAGCCGCCGAAGCCGATGAGACCGTGGAGACTGATGAAAGTATCGACCAAGTTGTTACGCCCACTAAGTCGACCGAGGCCAACACGGTTCCTGTGACTGCACCTAAGGCGCACACCGAGGCTTTTGTGCCTCTGCCAACGCGTAGCACCTATCGCCGTCGTGTTTCCACTTTTCTTCCTCACGACGTAGACCCTGACCGGCCTCGTCGTCCTCGTCGCATTTCAACAACAGATCGCCCAGTGGCTGCGTCCAAGTCTCGCCAAAAGCCTACCCCTCCAGCGGCCGAGCTTGGATACGATCTCTTTCCTCGTGCGTATGATGCAGAGCTACTCAAGAAATGGTTCGCGCGAGGTACGAACCCTCGTCTTGTTCAGCCTTCTCAGACTACAGAGGATACGGAGGCTAGCAATGAAGTTGCTATCTCTGCTCCCACCAAGGTTTCTCCTACTTCCAATGAGACTGCATCTGCCTCCGCTGAAGATCAATCGCTCAAGCGCAAGCGTGAGGAGCCTGAGAAAATCCCAAACCCGAAAGGATGCAGTTATGGTATGAGTGAGGAGTTTTTCGAGTTCACTGACGCTGAATGGGAGGAGGAAGAAAAGCGTGTGGCTGCACTGAAGGCCAATGAAACAACTCAACCTGCCGCCAAGAAGCAACGCGTTGATGCGTCGCAGTCGCGCCGACGTGCAACCACTCGGCCCAATACTCCAAAAGCCCCTCTCAGCGCTCTATCTCCTGCGCGCCGTCCTGGATTCATTCCTAACCGCCGAGGCACATACGCTGCCCCTGATCTGTCTCCAATTGACTCAAGTGACCTGTTTTCAGGCGTGGAATCGACTCCGGCAACACAAGCTTCCTCAGATGAACCCGCCAATGCCCCCACCAATGCTCAACCCACCACCGCTAAACATGCCCGCAATTCGATCGACTATGAGACACTGCAGAAAGAACGTGAACTCAAGGCCAAGCAAACGCGGGAACCCAATTCCAGTCCTTCCGGTACGTCTCAAACGTCCTCTCCTTCTCTCCTGCCATGCGAGGCCCTATCGAATCATCCGCCTGTGAAGTATCGCTGCAGACCAAAGTCCTTTAAAGCCCCCGAATCCGTTTCTTCTATTACTACAGACGGGATACCCAGGATCAAATATATACTGACAACTTTGAATCTCAAGTTCCCACAAGCCTCAACGATGTCCCCGAATCCCGCGGAACCGCCCCTACCGCTACTCAAACTCTCGAACACTCCAGTGCCACCACCCCAGAACGTGAATCCTCCCAAATCAGCACTGACATTGACGCTGACATTGACGCCGACGCCGACGTTGATGTTGACGCCGACGTTGACGGCCCATCCCCTCTGACCCGAGCCCGCAACAAGGCTGAACAGTTCAAACCCAAGACGCCAAGTCGTCTTCGGGAAGCTCATCCTTTTGCGAGCAGTATCACCTCTGCTGCCACTGCCACACCGTCCTTCTTGGGTGCCACAACGGGCACCCCCTTAAACTTCGGCGCGACTTTGCATGCTCCCTCAAGCCTGGGCGCGTTGACTTCATCCCCTGTCTTCTACAGTGACCCTGAGTCCAATGATACCATTGAGCCTCTCACCCCAGCTGACGATGCTAATTGGTTGCGTGAAAAGTGTCCAACTGGAGAAATTGCCCACCTGTGCTGGCCGGAGCCGGCTAGTCTTGTTGAGACTTTGAACATCGACCCTGCTATTGCCGAATTTGTCAACAAGAATTCGTTTCCAGAGGCGTATGCCGAGGCTGTCGCTGCTTGGCAGACTATGTGGGAAGAATTCCAACGAGGGCAGCTGGAGATCTAAGTTGCATTTAACGACAATCAAATATTGATTCCAGCCCGCTGGGCTAATTTACGACAACTCTAATTTTGGTATAACAGTTCCTCTTGTGCAAGCCTCGATTCCAGCCCGCCTGGGCTAATTCATAAACCCATATAAAAGACACGCTGGTTAAAATTGGTGGGTGTTGTCTATTTTGGATTAAAAGCCTGGTGTGTGATTTCCCATGTTTGTGAGTTGAATTTTTCGTTCGGCCATATATGCAGCATGGAGTTTGGGATGTACTTAAATTATTTTGAACAATATAAATACTCAGTTTCAAAGACTCCAACTCACGTTCAATCGAAGCCTTGGAACTCCCCATCTCCACCCTCAGCTGCCAGCTGTTTTCTGGCCAGCCGTTCTTGCTCATTCTTGATACGAATCTCCTCAACCATCCGCTCAGTCTCACGGACCTTTTCTTTCTCCTCCTCGGGCAGCTTCTCCCATCTCTCCTGCTGTTTTCGTGATTGAATGGTCTCCTTCCGCCTGAGTCTCTTTTCCCGAGATTCTTGATTCTGACTCCAAGCGGCACTCTCGCCTGCTTGGCGTTTGCGTGAATCTTGCTTCTGGGCGCCTCCTCCTTGCGCCTTCTCTTCCATTTCCTCCTTGCGACGCTTCTCACGCTGCTTATCCTTATATGCGAAGGTGTCCCAGTCAACACTGACACCCAGGAGCTTGTCTCCGGTGAAGCTGCGCAGCTCGGGCATTAGGGGTAGCCTGAGAAGACCCCAGGCTTTACCCAGAGCCTCCCAGCTCAGGTCTTCTACCCGGAATATACTGCTCGCTTGGTGCTTGCTATAACTGCGAAGCCAGCTGACAAAGGCCTTTTGGGCCTTATCGTGGTGAGATCGATCCTGGAGATTATTCGAGCGTACAAGTTGAGTCGTGGTCGCGGCGTCCGCATCGGAAAGAGGAACTGGGAGATTGAAAGGTGCAACGGGAGTCTTGCGCACTTCGAGGAACTGGACATAGTCTTCTTCCCGTCCGGGGTGGAGAAGAACGATACTCAAACCTCGGCGACCAGCACGGCCTGCTCGGCCACAGCGGTGAATGAATGTCTTAGGGTCTGATGGGGGATCAATTTGCACGACCAAATCGACAGATGGGATGTCGAGTCCACGGGAAGCAACATCGGTGGTCAGGAGAATAGCGGGAGTCGTGGAAGTTGTGAAGCGGGTGAAATTCTTCTGGCGTACGTTGGAGGCATGCTTTCCGTGGAGAGGAACGAGAAGGAACCCGTCTCCTAAGATGATTGGGAGAATCATGGCGAGGTAGTCGACACTGGAGCACGTTGACACGAAGAATATTGTTTTTTGAGGAGTGGGTTGGACGGATGAGAGGATGTTCTTAAGGATGGAGAACTTATGGGCAGGCGGTGTTGTAAGATAGGTCATTTGCAGACTGGCCATACGATTAGCAACAATCATCAACATGGATCAGGTATTTCAGAACATACCTTGCTGGTGTGCGCTTGTCTTCAGCTCCAGAGCCACCCTTGACCTTAACGGCAATCTTTACCGGGTTGCGAAGTCCTACGCGGACAATCTGATCAACAGCCTCACTGATACTGGCACTGAACAAACCAGTTCTTCGCTGCTTAGGAAGATGGCGCAGGATTCTTTGAAGGTCCTCCTTGAAACCGAGGTCGAGAAGTCTGTCGGCCTCATCCAAAACAAGCATTTCGAAGGTAGATTGCGGGCAGTGAACATGAGGCGAGGAGAGAAGCTCCAACAATCGTCCAGGCGTCGCAACCAGTACATTTGGCGAGCGCTTGAGGAAAGCACTAAGATCCTCCGCCGGGGATGTTGTGCCGCCTAAGAGAAGTTGTGGGACGACTTTCAAAACCGAGGCGGAAGATTTGGGACGAGGCGCATCGCCTTCAGGAGGGTGGATTGCGGCGGCCGACGCAGGGTGAAATTCCAGCAAGGATAGGAGGACCTGGTAGATCTGGGTTGCAAGCTCTCTATGTAGAGTATTAGCAACCAACGTAGAGCAGAAACTTGCGACTAGACTCACCTCGTTGGCGAGATAACGATAGCCCCAATATGATGCTTCTTGATGGGATCATCAAGGCGCAAAAGCTTTTCCACGACGGGAATTAAAAATGACAGAGTCTTTCCGCTACCGGTCACAGCCTCGACGACTACATCCTTATGCGCCATAAACAGAGGAATGGCCGAGGCCTGGACTGGGGTCATGCGCGTGAAGCCCATAGAGGCCACAGCGTCCAGGGTCCATTGTGATAGCGGCGGTGTGAGAGCATCCCACGACCGTGAGGACGACGATGGCTTGGGTGCCATTTTGTAGCAGATTCGAGCACAAAACAACTTCGACTGGAGATCTGATAATCGCAGATTGAGAAAAAAAACCCATGCGTTATCGATAAGATAGGGTCACGTGCCAGCGGCATTGGGCGGAAACGGGGAGTTTACGATCTACTTTTCCCTTTCGCGCTAACACTTCGACCTACTCTCTATTCTTTGGTCTTTCAGCATATACCATGCGAATCTGTGCACTTATTGTCCATACCCATCCTCGATAACGCGCCGGCGCCATATCACAACCGCCCATCATTGAGTCGTTTGCAAGATCTTTGATTTCCGGCAGCCTTGCCTGCGACGGCGCCGATTTCTATACAAGGCCTCTCCTCGGCCTTATTTGGACTCCAGTACTCCCTCCATTCTCTAGCAGAGCCTCCGGTATGCCATTATCACCGAGCTCGATCCCGGCGACGCCACGAGTCATCTCCCCATCGCCCTCTCTGTCCGATAGATCGGACGCACGTGATGGGTATTTTGCACCGACAACACGGTCAGCGGCGCGCCGACAGCGCCTTTCCGAAGTAGAAGCGAATGCAGCCGAGCCGGAGTCTACACCCTCAGGTGCGGCGCGACAACGGCGGCCTAAGCGGCGGTCGAATCCGAAAATTCCAGCCTCGCCCCCATCCACCAACGGCAAGGTCTCGAATGGCTTCCTCTCACCGACATTACGAATCCCAGAGGCCTTACATGACATTTCGCGATCGCCATCACCGCTCGGTATCATTCCTCTACACACCCGTTACCGCAGTTTCATTCACCGCCACGAAATTCCCCGCAAAGTGCTGCACGTGTCAATCGGATTTCTCACGCTCCACCTTTACAGCCGGGGTATCCAGACGCTGCAGATCACGCCGGTGCTATTTACAGTACTGGTGCCCATCGCACTCACAGATTTAATCCGTCACCGCTCTGAGAAAGTCAACAAATTTTACACACGTTGCTTGGGCGCGCTTATGCGCGAGACCGAGGTCTCCGGCTACAATGGCGTGATTTGGTACCTCCTTGGCGCATATGTCGTCCTGAGATTCTTCCCCAAAGATGTTGGCGTCATGGGTGTATTGCTTCTTAGCTGGTGTGACACGGCCGCATCCACCTTTGGCCGTCTCTGGGGCCGCTACACGCCCCGTCTCCGACCCGGTAAGAGCCTGGCTGGAACCTTGGCTGCCTGGGCTGTCGGCGTTGTCACAGCCGCGGCTTTCTGGGGCTGGTTCGTGCCTTATATCGGCACCTTCCCGAATGACCCGAAGGATGCCTTTATGTTCACAGGTCGCCTGAACCTGCTTCCGGATTCTGTCCGGGGTCTTTTGGGCTGGACCGGCGATTCCTCTTCCACCACCATTACTGGGCCATTGGCCCTCGGCGTCATGAGTGTCGTATCTGGCGTTGTCGCCGCTGGCAGCGAGTTCATTGATCTATGGAACTGGGATGACAATCTGACAATCCCCGTCTTCAGTGGCCTTGGACTTTGGGGATTCTTGAAGGTCTTTGGTTAATATATAAGTTCATAATTAGGTATAGCACGCACATTGTTTTCCCCTATGTTGGGTATTCTAATGTTTAGATGATTGAATGGTTCACCAGTTCGGGCATGGCATTGCATCAAATCTGGTTCAGGCTTAGACAGCGCGCAAAGTCCGAATTATCTTGCCGATCTATTATCCTAGTATATTCTCTTCTCTCTTGCTGTTTCTGCGCGAATAATCTGTAGCTGAGCTAGGCGCATTGAGTCCTTGATATATACCTGTTTGAACTTAGTTCTAGCTCTACATTTGAAAAGCAACGCGTATAGTTCCTGTAGTGGAGAAGCATCTTTCTCCGGCTTGTGGAGACATGCGCCTTGGCTTCCTCATCGGGAATGGCGCCATCTTGACGTAAGAAGACCCTCCCACAATTATTCCCTTTGCCCAGATAATTTTTGATCAATTTGCGCCTTGCCAAAAGCAAATGACCACTAACGTTTCCTATCACGATGATTCATGTTGGACATGTCGCCGACGACGAGTAAAATGCGACAAATCACTGCCCGGTTGCCGGAAGTGCGCCCGTTCGCAGCGGCCATGTCTAGGGTACAGCAAAGAGAAACCCTTACGATGGACGAACAGCGTGGCAAGCCGGGGTAAACTGAAGGGAAAGACAGTACCACATTCGGATACACACTTCTCAATCGTCAGACTGCTTATTGATCCGTCCCTGCAGGATCTGTCTCCTTCCACGCGGGACTATATTGCTTACTGTAAGTGCATAGATCAGGCTAGATCACGGTGATCACTCACTTACATGAAATAGTTGAGCAAGAGTGCTCCCAGGACTGCGTTATACACAACGTGGAACCAGCAAACCCTTTCAAAGAGTTCATGCGCCTTATCCCATCATGTCCTGGGTTTCGTGATGCCGTTGTCTCTGTTGCTGCTTTACATCGAGCCCAACGGGTGAGCTCAAGTATCCTGACTACAGAAGACGTGAATGGTATGATGCTACCGAATAGTTCTCCGGAGTCACAAGCTGCAAAGCAGCTGCAACAGTCGCCCGATTACTATAACGCACTTCGCCACAAGCAGAGAACCTTGGCTTTCTTGAGAAAAGAAAGCGAGGAAGGCTTCATGAATCAGCTAGATGGTACCATTGCCACGATCATCTTGTCTACCTGGTTTGAAACTATGGATTCTGGAAGAGAATCATGGAAATATCATCTACTCGGGCTTAGGGAGCTCGTGCAAAGATGTGGCTTTTCTGCCATTCAATCTGGACGTGGAAGTCTTGCGGCTTCTATACCTCAAGTTTATGAGTACTTTGACACAACTTACGCTATGTATGCACAATCTCGGAGCATCTCATCTGATGATGGCTAACATGAGGCACTATAGATTTGAAATCATCGGCTCGACATTTGTTGAAGCCAAACAACCGTATCGACCACTATTCACCACAATCCCAATGCTTGAAGTTTTGAAACGATCTGAGACTCAAACCTGGGTCGGGTGTCCTGCAGATCTTCTATTCGTGCTTCTGCTCGTGAACTCAGCTTCTTCAAGACCGGCCGAGGACAAACAAGAGCTATTGTGCAATACTTTAAGTCTCATCCGAGGCTTTTCGCCCATGAACTGGGCGCTCACAACCACACATTCTTGCCACGTGAAATCACGGTACCATCTTGCCTCACTCTACCAGGCAGCTGTGGAGATATACGCGCGGCAGATATTTTCCATGTCAACAGGGCAATATTGCTTAACTCAGGAGGGACCCGCCAATTCGATCGATTCTCTCATGCTCAACTTCCAAGCCATTGACCGACAGGATACCCATTTCAAGAGTTTAATATGGCCTGCATTCGTGATCGGTGCTGAAATGCAAACGGAAAACCAAAGGGCTATGATAGCGGAAGTCTTTGCACATCTATGGAAATTATGGTGTTGCCCTAATGTCGCGAGCGCGTTCGAAGTGCTGGAGAAGATTTGGGCCCGGCGTTCCGCCGAGGGAACACCGAGGCCTTGGATTGAATACGTTTACGAATGGGGCGAGGACTGGATTTTCCTGTAATCAAATGCTGAACGAATTAACGAATCTTACAAATTCATACTTGGGTGCTGAGAAATGGACAGAAGTTGAGAGAGAAGCCCGAAGACTTCGGGTTCAGAGCTTAAGAATGGGGCGGGGGCTGCAATAGGGTCAATAATATTTCTGAATTTATGAACGAGAAATTTGAAGGAAGCAGTCGTGTATACAGAGACATATCACCATACGAATGAATATCATTCTTATCATTTTATAATTCTTAGCTCGCTACGTAGATGCTAGTCTACGAATTGGAGAGTCACGGTGCCGATCATGTCCAAATAGCCTCGTAACGTATTCTGTTGCGAGGTCTGATTCAATATATTCACAAGTGGACCTCCGAGACCACATAATGGATCATGCTCTGGAATGCTGACCTCCTCAATCTCTTCTCGCAAGAGTTTCATGACTTCGTTGCCTCTGCAGTAGTTGCTGCGCCATTTGAGAGCAGCCTGGAGTTGTCAACCTATCAGTCTTATAAAACTAGGCAACAAAGCCGTAAAAGTACCTCAGGGTATACTCCGATGTATCTATAGTCTCCATATACACTTAAAGGCCGGGGTGATACACCCGCTGGCACCACAATAACATCACCCGCGTTTACATCTACTTCCACTCCCCCAGTAGCGGTATCCTATCCTTCACGGCTGAGAGCTAGCTTTGATCCGCCTTGGAAGACAGTTTTATGAGATAAATCTAGTCTTATGAATTCACCATGAGCTAGATGCCGAAGCGCACCATAGCATTCATGCGTGTTTGGATGGAAGTGAGCGCTGTAAATAGCTCCCCATTCACCCTAACGACCAAAGGAATTGATTAGAGTGAATTTAAATCACTAAACCTAATGATCAATCCTCTTTTGCCAGTGATTGTCTTCGCACAGAGCCTTTGCGGATTCTGGATCTAATGGCTTTGGAAGAACATGACGATAGACAAGAGCTGGGATACTATTGTTCGGGACGAAATGGCTTCTTTCGAGGTAATATACTTCTGGTGGCACGGTTTTGAACTGCGCCATACTAACTGACCAAGTTTTCAAGCCAGTGAAGGTTTCCGAGAATTGGTTTTCCAAAAAGGCAGCTCTCATGAGATCTCCGCACGCGATTTCGTCACGAAATATGCACAACAGACTGAGATTGCTATCCCAGCCTGTGGGAAAACATTTGGCGGATAATTTACAAGGATGGCCACGGAAATGTAAGATTTCAAGACGATGGAGGTTGAACATGTTGAATCCAATTATGATTTTGAAAGCTGCGGATAGCGCCGAATGCATGCTGTGTCTCATTAAAGAATGCCGCCTGTTCTCCGTAGTATGTGCGCTTGATATGACCTGTGCATACTCCTATGTAACGCTGAATCCTGATCTTGAAGTTGAAGAAAACAAATACAAGCAAATGTGGAGGGTATCACAAGATATTCAGACCAAATCAAGAATACTGACGCGAGGAACGCGCTTCTTGTTGTCCGACTTCTTCTGGCCACGCTTTACGCCATCGACTTTCGTGGTAGTAGAGTCGTCTTCGGACTGAGCGAGGGAGTCGATCATCCAGAAGCCATTCGAGATTGTGAGGTTTTCGAGATGACCAATGCTTGGTGTTTGCTCCGGTTCTTGGCCCTTTTGTTTTGTGCATTCTCGCGACTTGCCCTTTGACTTCTCGGAAACCTTTGATGGGGAAGAACTCCGGCTCGGTGGCACAATGATGTGTTCGGATGGTTGCCTTGGCAGAGCATCAATACCTTTTGTGTCCACGGCAAAGCTTTGGAAAGATGCAGATGCCTTGGAAGAATTATGACCTTTGTGCTTTAGTTCCTTGGAAGGACTACCACGGAATTTGTGGTCTTGTGTCTTCGATGGAGTTGGTAGACGCAAAGAAGGGACTGTCGAACCCAGAAGTGTCTCTTTTTCGTCCTTCAATGACAGTGATAACGAACCGATGGCTTCTTCCAAGTCTTCAATTACGTGCGATTTCTCCGTTGATGGACACTTGACCGATTTCTTGTGAGTGTGATAAAGTCCCATGGATGCTAGCGATGTTGTTGCGAGATCTTCTTCCCTTACTTCGTCGTTGGTCGCTGAAGTCTCATCGCTGGAGACAGAGTAGCTGCATTTGATGCCTTTTCGTAAAGTCTGCGACGACGCAACATGGTCGGTGACGGAAGCGGTGACCTCCTCGACTTCACCTTCGGTACCTGCCAGAATGCCGGCTCGGGCTCGCATATATGACTGGGTGTTCACCGGGTGTCGCTTGGCCGCCGGTGTTGACATTGTGCACAATGATGAAAATGTGCCAATAAAGTCATCCAGTTCGTGTGATGTCAAGGGTGTCTGTTCCGAAGCCTGATGTTGTGAATACATACTCGGAGAAGAGGAATCCGTCTCGGGATTAACGGGCGTCATACTTTGGAATGGGGAGCGCTGATCTTTGACAGGCTTAGTAGAAGAAGCTGCTTCCAGCAACTGGGTCTTTGCGGAAGAGGATAACTCTGATCCTTCCTTTGTGAGAGTTCCATATTTCAGGATACTCCCCCGCGTCATGCCGGGATCAATAGGTCCCTTCTTCTTGGGCCCTGCGCGCCGAGCGGCCGGCTTCTTAGGCTTGGGAGTAGCTGCCCTGGCCGCTTTGGCAGCTTTGGCGGCCTGCCCATCGTCCCATTTCTTAGCAATTTCAGGAAGACCGAGTCTGACGACAGTCTCGAAGATCCAGACCTTCTCAATTGCAAGCGGATCATACCGTTTGGTCACCCGCGACTTCGAAGGTGTGGGCGGTGGCACCTCGGCAGCGACTTCTGGGTCGTCATCCTCATCGCCGGAGAGGTGCGTGTTCTGCGATGGCACAGTCTCCTGGGATGGCAGAGGTGGGTTAGGTTCTTCGGCTAGAAGATCAATACCAACAACATCAATGGGCAGCATGTCCATTTGAAGCTCGGTAGTGCCGTCTGTACCGAAATTTGCACGACTTTTGTGAACCTTTTGCATCCAGGATGTATCACAATCGGGAGCAAGAGTGCCTGAACATAGGCCCTTTACAGGTCTCTGGAGGCGAAGTCTGTAGGAAATGAGAGGCTCCGCGAGAAGCTTTATAATCTTCCTCGCGCCTGAGCGGTAGTTCCACTCGAAGTGTTCTGCAGCAAAGCTTCGAATCGCCATAGGATCAATCTCGCAATCCCAGGCATGTCTCAGACGACGTCTTAAGGCCGTCATTTCATCTTTCGTTGACACCACAGGCTCTGCGTAGTATTTGAGAATTGTTCGATCAGGAAAAGACTCCGGGATTCGCACAGCTTTGTGTTTTGTCGTAAACCAGCCGCTCTCGTTCTCTTCAAGCTCAAATTGCAACCGTTCCCTCCATTCGTTCAGCCGGGAGTCCAGGTCGGGCGATTCGGACGATATTTCCTTCAGCAGATCATCGCCAAATTGTGCTTTCGCAATCTGCGCGGCCAATTTGCTCCCACACTTCGGGACGCCTGAGGGCAGATAATCGCCTCCACTGAGCATGGCAAACAAAATCATGCCCGCTCGGTCCAAGGGAACATTAGAAATGTGTCCCTCATTGCCCATTCGATAACAAGTCACATGCGTTGATGCAGATGTACCAGTTCCGCTCTCTTTCGAAAAATTCATGATCGTCAGCGTGGAGCCAAACATCAACGCATCGACATCGTTGCTCATGACCGCATCAACGATGCCAGCTCGTTGCAGTCGCGCACACTCCGCTTCGGCCTCACCCGGAGCTTCGTGCCATGGAAATCGGAACCTTTCAATCAGATCCTTGGAGCGCCGGATGATCGGCGCACTGCCGTAGCTGCGGGTGGACACTGCTTTGCCCCTCTTGAAGGGAGGCTTATGCTGGCCATCGTAAACGAACAGCGGGTGAACTGGCAGTGACAGAAGCTTCAGAAGTCGAAAAAATAAAGTCCGCAGCTCAGGGTTCTTTCCGCCACGGCCGGCCTGGACTTGAAACAGCCAAATTGAGATGTCAACAGCCACTCGAATAGGCCTTGCTGTTCTCTCCAAGTGGGTTACAGCCAGTTTGGATAGAGAGATTCGCTCCCCTGTGCCAATGGCGTTGATTAATCTATTTCAAAGTAAGTCAAATGGTCTGTACCAGTGATAGAAGCGACGTTTTCGCCGTGGATAGGGCGTTGCTAGGTAGTACTCCCGCAGCAAAGCCTGCATGAATATATCTCTGCACCCAAACCAGGGGTCGATGTATATAGCACATACCCGGGAATACCCATATGGCCGGCTTCAATTAATGCAAGACGCCGGCTCAAGAGCAACGGTATACAACCATGTGGTGCTGGCGCAGACGTTCAGGAAGAAGAACTTGAGTGTTGACGGAGTGTAAATAAACCACGGCCCGATGTAGATCCGTGACTTGTGCAGCTCCGCACTGTCTGGTCTTCACTTCACTTGAGATTCGAGTTCAATTCTGATATTCGAAAGGAAGCAGCTTCTATGAGGAAATAGCAGACCTCGGGTCAAATTATATGGCTCTACTTCACCGATCGGCGCGTCGTAGAAGCCCATCCCCTGCCACGGCTTTCAGTTGCTCCGAGGGGCAACACGCCTGAACGTGCCCTCCACTAAATAACATGGCAACTTCCACACCGTCTACTGGTGACAACAAGCGCACAATGCCTGCAACCTCCAATCTACGCCACTCCCAGTCAGCGCGGCCATCATCCCCTCACACACCTCAGCAGCAACCGCGATCGGGCAATGCGTCGTTCGCCAGCTCCACGTCGCCGGGCTCGTCTTTCCGGAACGAAGACGACGCGATAATTTTCGAGATAGGCACCCGTTGGATTCGGGCGGGATTTGAGGGCAATGGCAGTCCAGCTTGTACTGTGGGGTTTGGGCCTGAAGAAATGCGACGTGTTGGAGACTACCGCGGTTGGATTCAGGGAGCTTCTGGCGTTGGACCACTACCACGACCTGTCAATGCGGAAGACTGGGTACGGGATTACGAGCTGTGGAGGCACGATCTACGTGACCTTGACCTAGGTCTGGTCGAGGACAAAATAGAACGCGCTTTGCGCGAAACCTACAACCAGCACCTGTTGACCGACGCAGGCACCTCCCGTCTCGTCCTGGCCCTTCCATCGCTCATGCCGCACCCGTTACTATCCTCTTTGCTTTCTGCGCTGTTCAGTCGCTGGCGCTTTCCGAGTGTTACCCTTCTATCGAGCGCAACCATGTCTGCAACCGCGGCGGGCCTGCGGTCTGCCTTGGTCGTAGACATTGGCTGGGCCGAGACCACCACAACAGCCATCTACGAGTACCGGGAGGTCACGACAAAGCGGAGTACAAGGGCCACGAAGCTTCTTATGCAGGAGATGGGCCGAATTTTGACTGTTCTGGGCTCCGATAAAGCCCCAGAGGAAGCAGTTAAAGACGAGATCTCCGTGGGATTCACATATTGCGAGGAGGTTACGACTCGTTTCGCTTGGTGTAACCCGCAGGTAGAGGCCGGCGGAGCGGTGTCCGGACCAGACCGAACCATCTCAATTCCGTCTCCGAACAACCCAGACAAAGACTTTTGTGACATCCCATTTGCCCAGCTTTCGGAGCCTGTTGAGAAGGTCATGTTTGCGCCAGGAGTAACCGAGTGTGAAATGGACGACGAAGAGAAATCGATACCTGTGCTTGTCTACAACACTCTTCTTACTCTGCCTCCTGATGCCCGCGGTACATGCATGTCACGCATCGTATTTGTGGGTGGCGGTTCTCGAATTCCAGGACTACGACAACGGATTCTCAATGAAGTGTCATTGCTGATTGATCAGCATGGCTGGAGCCCAATTCGAGGCAAAGTCCTGGAGCGTCAACGAGAGCGACTGGAGCGAATGAAGATCTCATCTCAAACCAACGAAGAAGCACAGCCGACCAACAAGAGCTCTGCGCCTTCCCATGATGAAGGAGAGAAGCCAGATCCGTCTCGAGAAGAACCAGAGATTGATTTCGTTGAACAGAAACTTCGCCGCCAAAACAAGGACACATCCGTTCCCGTCCAGGGTGTTCTTCGAGAAGTCGAATCTCTCGGTGCATGGGCTGGCGCCAGCTTAGTGACAAGCTTGAAGATCCGAGGAATGGTTGAGATTGAGCGAGAGAAGTTCTTGCAGCACGGGCTGGCTGGGGCGACTCGAGAATCAGAGCCACCTGTTCCTGATCGCCGATCCGGTCTGAGAGCCGGTGACCGATCCAGCTGGACCCTGGCTGGCTGGGCATGATCCTGTACATTTTCGTACTACATAGTGAACATAATAGATACCCCCTTGTTTTTCCAGATAAGTGACATAATCATTATTAATCCATCAATTGAAAGTAGCCGGCCGGCTTGACGAGAGAATCTGTACTCTTTCACTCTTTCACTCTTTCACTCTTTCCGAGAGCCACAGTCGAGAGCTAGTCTCTACCGAACTAGGACTTGGTCGGAAGCTTTATTTACCAGCCAGATCACGTGATTAGACACGCGGGTTCCGCCTTCGTAGCCTGAGAAACCACCTCCGTCACTTTCACATGTATTTTTAGCTAGTTGTCTACAAAAGGTTGGACTTTCATACCTGCAATGTTTTTCACCGCTCAATGGCTACCGGCTGCCCGCCTCAATCCCAACCATGCACGAAAGTTCTCCTTGCTTTCCACCCATGCCTCCTTTCCAGCAACGTTGTATCGTTATCAACTACAGCGGAAGGCAACCATGTACGACTCGAAGGAAGAGGGAAACCGCAGCTCCAAGGATGCGATTAAAGTGTCGGAAGATGGATTGGTTCATGCGATGATCTCGAAGTCAAGCCCCTGTCCGTTAATTTCTGCACGCTTGGATAGTCGATATGGGTGATGACATACTAACACTCATATTAGACTCGAATGGGCCGATTTTTATGCCCAATTCTCGTCTTCTACAGCAAATGCTACGCTTTGACTTTGGGAGCTACCAAGAAGAGGTTTCTGATGGGAAGATTTCCTTGGATCCGACTGTTATCTGTGTCCCGCGAGGTATGATTAATAATAACTTCATTTGAAATGTGATTCACAGTAAAACTCACGAACCAAGACACAAAGATTCCTGCGGGACTGGTTCTTTGGAGAGAAGGCGTCTCTCGCTTTTCCCTGCAACCTTCGGAGCCTATGGAGGTTGGAAGTAAGTATCAAGACAAGACTTTGAGATAAACTGAGCACATTGCTGATGATTACAAGAACTTAACGATGCACTCAGTGAGTTCTATGAGGCGTTCGCAACATCCGTTCCTACAGAAGAATGGATCGAGAAGCATCCGTACCGGGAGAGTTTCCCAGACCAGAATGAGAAAGAATGGATGGAGGTATAGATGACCAGAATCCTCGTCTATGCTAGTCATGAACTATGGCCAAGACTGTGATCTGGGAACCTGTAAAATAACTACCTACCCATATAGCCATCTGAGTTCTACCACCACCAATTTCGCAAAAGCACCCGAATCATCAACATTGACTATCTGCTGCATTTCAAGACAGTACGTCATTGACCTAATTTGTAGCACGCCTTCTTGATCTAAGGCGTATTCACAGAATGTTTGAGTGATCCTGTCAATCGACTGGATACAATATTGTACGAAATACGCAAACCATGAATTAAGCCTATAATAGACTAGTTCTAGGATTTGGAAATATAGTCGATTAGTTAACTTATATGATAATAAACAATAGTTGTCAATCCATATACTTGGTGGAGGAATATTCGCACAACGTTGGAAATCTAAATACAATAGAAACCCATGTAGCCCTTCAAACACAATTGGCAATAGTTGTAAGTAATACAAATGACAGAATTGAAGCAGCAACGATGCTCCCGCGCGCGGAAAAGGGCCAGTCCTATGTTCTGTCCCGTCCGTCGGGAACCCACCGGAAGTTCCCTTCCACGAGGAATTCCTGTACCTTCCGGAACCTCGTCGACACCAAATTATGGCCCACTTCCTGCATGGTACCGATTATCTCCCGAACCAGCGGTATCTTTAACCTAGTATACACGAGCAGCCGGTCATTTGCTTCATATCACGGATTTACTTCCACTCACCTGCGTTTATCTTGACTTTTGGAGCAGTAGCCCTTCCTGTCATTTGCGATAAAGCGCATTTACCTTCTAGACAGCACCAGAACGAAAAAAATGACAGCATCGAATAAGGCACACTTTTCGTCTTTCGCTCTTGCGCTATCTAAATAAACCCGCCAACCAACGGCTTAGTTTGAGTGGTTGGGGAGTGTGATCCAGCAGTGCTCGTGAATCAAGGCCTTGCAACATCAACATCCACCGAGAAAACTCAGGAAGAGAACAATCACTACCTCACATTATCTGATAGCCATGATGGTCATGCCCATAATGGTCGGCATTCGGCATTCGGTGTCTTCCGGTAATGAGTTAGATTGTGGGTCTCGTGGAGTCCGTGAATGCGGGGAACTTCAACTTAGCTCCGAGGCTGTCCATCAAAGCGTCCCTAGACCTTGGATTCGGCCTAGAGTGAGCATTATTCTGATCTTCCATCCAGTTCATACACAACATCAGCCATGCCAGATAATCCAACGTTTCACAATCTCTCACTGGAGAGACATGGCAACGTATTCGTGTTGACCATGCAAAAGCCTCCCGAGAACCGATTGAACTCAAGCTATTGCCAGGAGATGATTCGAGCTTACCGTACAGTCGAGAAGCTGCTCGGTCCAGACTCTGATGGCGCTGTTATTACGCGAGGAAGCGATACTAAGTTCTGGTGCACTGTATGTGGAGAAGAATCCCCCGAGTTGAGCAGGTTGTTAACAAAAAGGCTCATAGGGATTGGAATTAGATGAGTCTGACAGCAATCCTTTTGCAAACACAGACGGCTTTTACCCAGTAGGTGCCCGTCTATCTCTGGTAGCGAGCTGGGAGATTTGAAATGTAGAAACTAAAAAAGTTGAAACAGCTTGTCCATACAATTCTCGACTTCCCATTTCCTACAATTGCGTTGCTCACAGGACATACTTTTGGCGGCGCTTGTCCCCTAGCCCTGGCGCATGACTACCGCGTCATGAACTCGCGCCGTGGCTTCATCTCTATGCCTCCTGTCAATCTGGGCTTGCATTTCGATGGGATTGGATCTCTTCCACGACTTAAACTCCGTCCTCAAATTGCACGAAAGATGCTTCTTGAAGCCCACAAATGGACGGGCAAAGAGGCATTGGAGGACGGAATCGTTGATGCTGTTGCTGAGCCCGAGAAGATGCTGGATGTCGCTCTCGACCTGGCGGCAAAATGGGCACCAAAGGCGAAGATGGGGTAAGTGTGACCATGAAGAGGCAAATGAAGATTCTATATCGGTACTAATTGAACTTTTTTTGCAGTGTATATGCATTGCTACGTCACGAGTTGTGGGGGGAGGCAATCGAGAAGTTCCAAAAAATCAGCTATGTTCATAGTCGTGTGACATCCGCTCCGGCCAAGGCCAAGATCTGATCAATTGATGTATTATTTGATGGATTATGCGGGTATCTTGATGTTATCTTCGAATATTGGTTTAGCCGAATGGACTTGAGACGACGGAAATATGGAGCAAATCTCCGGCTTTTCGAATACTCACTCAAAGGTATGACAGTTAAATACCTAGTGTAGTGCTCCTTGAATTTATAGCTTGGATCTATTCTCTTTACTCCATATCTGAACATCAGGAAGTTCACGATAATTGGGTGGGAAAAATCTTGGTCCAAGAATCTTCTTCTGCACTTTCCCAGTCCCCGACTTTGGCAATTCACCTTTGATGACCCGCAAAATGGTAGGAATTTTATAGCCGGTCAGTTTGCTTCGCAGGTCATCTCTTAATTCTGCGAGAGTGAGGTTCTTGTGGGTCGTGCTCTGGTCCGTCTTAAGGCTCACGGTGGCTGCAACTCGTTGACCGTATTCTTCATCCTCAACGCCGACCACCATTACTTCGGACACATAGTCCAAACCCAAAATCTCTCGTTCGATATCCAGTGCGGAGATTTTGTACCCTCCTGATTTGATTATGTCAATGGAGGCACGGCCGAGAATGAAGTAATATGGTCCCTCCCGGCGAGCGATATCACCCGATTTGAAGTAGCCATCTTTGTCGTGTGCTTCGGCCGTCGCCTTTTCATCATGCAGATATCTGTCGAGCAGCATCGTTAAAAGGGTGAAACCGACGATTTCCCAGAGGTTCAACTTACTTGGAGAACATGTAGGGTGTTTTCACAAGGAGATGGCCATCATCCTCCAGCTTGAGAGAAACCGCCTCAACCACACGTCCTACGCTGTTCCGAGGTGTTCCCGTCGGAGAGAGGTCTGTTTTGATCACAGCACCAAATTCAGTCGCCCCATACCGAGTTAGAATTGGCTTTTGTCTCAGATTCTCCCAAAATTCTTGCACAGGGCCAGGCAGGGCCGACGATCCACATAGCATGGTGCGGATATTCCTAGCTCCGGCGATGTACTGGTCGCGAATTTCGGGGGCTTGACTTGCAATACTCTCTTCATAGTATCGCATCATTCGCATATAGATTGTAGGTACACCCGAGAAGAATGTGAGGCCACCCTTTCGCCAACGCTCCCATGTCCAAGCCGTATTAAAACTCCCGCTGCGGAATTCGATGCAGGCGCCTGCCGTGAGAAAGGGGAGGAAGGTTAGTCCAACCCCCGAAGCGTGATGAACTGGCAATATGTGGAGGACGACGTCGCTCTCTGTGATGCGATAAAAGTCCGCGTCTGTTTCAGCATTACCTGTGAGCCAGGTGCGGCGCTGCACAGCGCCTTTGGGTGGACCAGTTGTGCCCGAGGTAAAGATCACGCCGCTTGCGCCGTTCATGTCGAGAGCTCGATTTGACGAGATAAAAACATCATCTGCTGGAAGGAGCGTAGGATGAAAGGAAGACGCGATAGGAGATATGCACTGGATGTGGAAGTTCTTCTGTTCTCTCATGAAGCGCGCAGCAGAGTGAGCAAGGGTTTCGCTAGTTGTGCTGGCGACCAATGCGACACATTGAGCCTTGAGCATAAAGTATGAGGCTTCCTCGACTGGAATTCCGGCGGCTAGGAGTCGTTAGCTTTCCTCTTTGTTTCAGTGGCATTTTACTCACCCATTGGGACGACCGCGGCACCGAGAGCAATAATAGCGACGAAGCCAACAGTGTATTCATAGCCACCAGGGGCCAGCAGACCAATGTAGACCTCCTTGTCTTCAGCTAACTCACGAAGAGTCTCTTGACTGAGCATCTTCTCAATCTCGCTTCGAAGAGCCAGAGCATCCGACAGGAGATCATGGAAAGTCTTTTCGACGCCTGCAATCACATCTCGGACGGCAATGCGTGACGGCTTCCGTTGAGCGTATCGCAGCAGTTTATGAAAGAAGGGCAAATTGGGAAGAACATTATTTCCTACATGCGAAGGCACGAATTGAGTTCGGTCTCCCATTGTTGTCTGCTATAAGATCGGGTTCCGTCCTTCTGCCTGCCGTGAAATGGGTGAATTCCTTGAAATCCAGACCATTCGACATGCGCTGTATTTAACACATCGGAAAGGTCCCGCCCTGTAATTCGGTTCTTGATAATATCCAAGTCGGCTACTTGCCCACAACCTGCCCCGCGTTCCCGGGTACCCCAGTCCCGGCAATCGGCACTCGGCGATTATGGCAGTACACCACCCACCTGAGCATGTACCTAGGCAAGCCTAATGCGGGACTTGGAGTCTTCCAGGAGGCATGCATATACTCTAAGAGTATCAAAGATCTGTTCTATACTGCAACGTGTGTAGCTGAAACCCATCACCATGCCCGACTTCACAGATAGACTTCGTCCTAGCCAACCAGATGGACCCACAACACTTGCTCGAGAGCGAGGGCAATCCAACGTCTCAGTTAATGAGCTAGGTCAGCACTTGCTATCATCAGATGGATTTTTGGAGCGTCAAACTCGTATCCTACCAATTCTGCGGCGAGAGCCACTCTTCTCAAAAAGAGAAACAACAAAACTTGTCCCGTCCGGATCGCTTCAAGCTAGCACTCGCAAGAGCAAAGCTGCTGCGTCGACTGACCGATCAGTATAAGTGGAGCCATGATGACTACAAAATGGCCGAGTATCTTGTTGACGATGTGTCTCCCTACTTTCTGCACATGGAGATGTTTGTCACCACTGTCCGTGAACAAGCCAGCAAAGCACAGCGCGCGTACTGGATGCCTCTGATTGAGTCATGGAAGATTATTGGTGCTTACGGTCAGACTGAGCTTGGACATGGCAGCAATGTCCGTGGTTTGGAGCTTGAGGCACGCTGGGATAACCGCACCAAAGAGTTTGTCCTTCATAGTCCCACGCTCACGGCAAGCAAATGGTGGAATGGGAGCCTGGGTCGCATTGCCAATCATTCTATCGTGGTTGCGCAATTGCTTCTTCCTAAAGCGGGCTCGCCTGGCCAGTATCTATCTCAGGGTCCTCATCAATTCATCGTGCAGGTGCGTGATATGAAGACACACCAGCCGTTGGATGGAGTGGTGATCGGAGACATTGGCCCAAAGTATGGCTATGCTACGATGGATAACGCCTACATGCTGTTTGATAATTTCCGGTAAGCTGAAGTGCCATCATTCCATGGCACTGCTAACCCAATGTTAGAATTCCCCATTCCGCCATGTTATCCCGGTACTCCAGCGTCAATCCAGACACTGGTGTCTATACAAAGCCCGAACGGCCTGCTCTAGTATACGGGTCTCTGACATATGTTCGTGCAAATATCGTCCATCATGCTCGACTCGTGCTAGCACGCGCAGTCACTATTGCCGTACGATACACTGCCATCCGACGGCAGTTCCAAGATCGAGACGACAAGAATGGACCGGAGATATCTGTCCTTGACTACCCCACGGTGCAAATCAGGATTTTCCCCTTACTTGCAACTACCTTTGCACTTCATTACACCGGACTGGCTATGCGCTCGGTTTATCAGAGCACACGACAAGATGTTGAGCAAGGCGATTTTCGCTCTTTGGCTCACATGCATAGCATGTCTTCAGGGCTCAAGAGCTTGTGCACTATGCTTGCTGCAGATGGGATTGAGACATGCCGTCGTGCATTGGGTGGACATGGGTTCGGCGGGGGAAGTGGTTTGATTCAACTGAACAATGATTATCTTTCCAAACCAACTGTCGAGGGAGATAACTGGATGATCACGCAGCAAGTCGCAGCATATCTAATCAAGAAAATGGCAGCTGCAGTGGAATCTCCCAGTACCCCTGGCGCCGATAAGACTGAGGCTGGATTCAAGGAGTTTATTCAGAACAAGCAAGGTACAGAAACACGCCATTCTGGCTATGATGTTTTGGGCAAAGACCAAGACATTGTCAAAAGCTTTGAGATGCGAGCCACTGCACTTGTAAGTCAGAGACACCCTTGAAACACAAGGCTGGTTGAGTATTAATGAAACTTCGCAGGCCTACGATGTGTATGAGCAGCGGGTGTTGAAGAAGCTGAGCTGGACCAGCCTTCTTATTCAGCTGCACAAACTCAGCAAAGGTAGAGTCAACCTCAGCACCGGTAAGAGATAGACTAACACACCTACATAGCCCAATCTCAGTCGATCCTTGTAGGCACTTTCTACGAAGCTCTGTCAGCGGATTCGACTCTTTCAAGCTCTAACAAAATCATCCTGCGGGACTTGTTCCGCTTGTTCGCACTCTACACCATGGAGAATGAAGGTTATGAATGTGAGCATTTCCGTTGCCCGAGGAAAGGTCTTGTTTGCCCAAAATTGAAACTAACAACATGCTAACAGTCTTCCGCTGCAACGCCGTGTCTCAAGCCGACCTCAATAACCTCTCGGCTCGCGTCCAAGACTTGATGACCCGCATCAGACCCCATGCTGTGAAACTGGTTGATTCATGGATGATTCCAGACTACCTCTTAGATAGGTGAGGCAAAAGCTACTTTCTCGAAGGATCCCTCTAGACCTGTTTCTGACTGTGAACATAGCGCCCTTGGACGATATGATGGCCGCGTGTACGAAGATCTCTACAATCGAGCCCACCGGTTGAACCCTCTCAATCGAATTACATTTAATCCAAACTACTGGGAGGAGGAGATTGTGAAAGGGAGCGGTGATAACGGGTCCGGTATACTGTCAAAGCTATAAAAAGAGTGAAGGGCGACGGGTATCAGAGAGGCAGTGGCTCTACAGATACGGCCCGAGTACCCCGCTCCTGGAAAGCTTGTCAAGACTGGACTTGAAAGGAAACATACAGCGGATGAATCTACAGAGGACAAAGAGAGGAAGAAGCAAAAGAGAATTTGATTTTAAATTTGAATTGAAGTATTGACAAGCTTTGGAGGCATTTCAAGCTAGTGAATAGAGCAGCATATTGAGAGGACCATGTCAACTTGAGGGTCATAGTAAATGATAAAGGGTCAAGTCCATGTACCAGGAACCAAGACATGACTTGGATAATAGAGGAACATGACGGTTGGTGAGAGGAAAGGGCGGTACCTGAGAGATTCACGGCAATGATTGGAGGAAAGAGAGTATATGGGGAAGAAAAGAGCTTGGCAGGGGATATGGGAGTATCTATGGGTGCGGTCCCACAACAAAAACCGGGTGAATCAACAGAGTGTCTGATTCACTGCGCGTAAACGCCAGGCACTCACCCGGATGAGCCAACGATGTCAGTGAGTATTTGCCATCGCCTTTTATTATCTTAGATCCGTACGGTCGTGTGATCACATGATCACATTATCTATCCTGCCAGACTAGCTAAAGCGATGACAAAAATTCATTCATGTCTCAATTTCAGACTTAGGCAAAGCTGCCTGAATATCCTCGAGAGGTTATGCACATATGCTCAACTATTTTCTAGCCTAATATGGTGTTACGCCGTAGCTCTTGAGGCATTTCAGAGATGAATGATGGGTATTTGCATCCTAACTAGAAGAAATTATGGTGCTTATAAACATGCGCATGCAATTATTTCAGCGGCACTCAAAGAGTGCCGAACTGGTAGGTAGCCCAGTTGACAGCAGGGCCATCATCAGGTCCAAAGATCTGGTAAGGCAGACGACCCCACTGGGGCTGGTTAATGCCATCGATCCAGTCCTCGGTTTCGATGACGATGCAGCCGTACTGGTTGACGTACGCAGCACCGGCGTCACCATCTTGTTCCTTGTTGCGCTTAGCCTGGGACTCCTTGGTGGCGATGGTACCGTTCTGGCCGTTGCAAGTGTAGATCTGTAGCGCGGCCTGGTTGGTGGCAACATCGAGAGTGATGCCGGTCTTGTCGGAGGACAGGTGAACTGAGGGAACGAACGAGTCGGGGGCGGCATAGGCAGGAGGGCGGTCAATGAGGAAGCAAGTATCAACGCCAGTGCAACCCTCACCGCACACGCCGCTCATCTCCGAAAGGTCTTGACCGACCAGCTTACCCTCAGTGAAGTCCAAAGAGCCGTTAAAGGCAGTTTGTACGTCGAGAATTTCCCCAGTGGGGACCTCAATAGTGTCTGCAGCAATGACCCGCCCTGAAAGGGGCATCTGCAACGTTGTATCGTTCAAAATAGTAGGGTTCTTGAAGGCATTGAGGTTCCAGTAGATGTGGTTGGCCAGCATGATTGGGGTCTTTTCGGTCAGAGCCAGGGAAACCAGCTTGGTGGTGAGTTGCGGTAGACCCTTGGGGTTCTCGGAGCTCTTCTCGGTCGAGAGACTGAAGACAGCATGGTTGATCACGTCGCCAGGGAAATTCTCGAGAGCTTCATCAAACAGAGTGAAGGTAATAGAAGACTCAGAATGGGTGGTAACGGTCCAATTGCGCATATCGTAGCCGACAGGGCCACCGTGAAGGGTGTCCACACCGCCGTGCTCGTTCTCAGGGATGTGGTAGGTGTTGCCATCGATGGAGAAGGTGCCATTCTTGATACGGTTTGCGTAGCGGCCAACGACCGCGCCGAAGAAAGTGCGGTTGGTTTCGCTGTCGTGCAGGTATTGTTTGGGGTCGTCATAGCCGGCCACAACATCCTGGGTGTTGCCATTGCTGTCAGGGACCAGGAGGTGTGTAAGGCGCGCTCCGTAAGGGATGAATTTGGCAGTGATGTTCTCGGCCTTGATCGTGTACTCGGTGAAGTGACCACTGTCACTTGAAGTGCTATCAGAGGTCAAGGATACATCGGGGGAAGGTGAGGCTGAGGGCATAGCATTGGCAAGGGCGGGCAACCCATATAGGGCTGCCGTAGCGTAGGACTTGAAATGCATCTTGAAACCCAGAGTCGCGGTGACAGAGAGGAATAAGAGACAGTAAAGAGTAAAAATTCGGGGAGTTATACGCGCAGGGCAAAGGAATGAGCGGAAGCATCCGAGGGGGACGCGCATTTTATGGTGGTGGAAGCTCCTTTCCAAACCCAGTAAACCTCGTCATTCCCTGCAAGCTTAACTCCGCATGGCTTGACGCTAGGGGGCGGGGCGAGAAAGCCGGGGTAGAGTGAGATTACAGTGAGATAGATCACGAATCAGCCGAAAGCAGTTTCGTGAGGGGATCCCTGTCGATCATTGGCGGACAATTGAGCGAAGGCTGGAAAGATGAGGGGAGGAAGATCCGAGCCCGCGCACGGGGAGGGACATAGGTGGGCCCCTTAGTTAGCTAACTCACCCGTGGTTGGGGCCCATTCGATGCTCTTTTAGTGCTAGAATAAGCTCCAGATGGCGCAGACCGCAAAATGCCAAATGTTACCTACCCTTGAGGACCCTGGGCTGAGCACGGCAAAACTCCGGTGGAGGAATTCCCATCCCTGGCACGGCCTAATTCGAAATGAACCTGCTAGCCAATCGCTGACTCTCACGCTTGCCATGGGGTAATTTCTCTTGTTTTTTCGGTCATTTAATCGCAGTCAATTACAATTGCTGTGCCGTGCGGGCGATGTATAAAGCCGTTCCTGACCCGAGGTGACGCGTCTCACCTAGAAATGTATGTAGTCCACGCCTCATAGCATCCGTGGTTTCCACATAGAAACTCTCAAACTACCTAGAGAATGCTAAGGCGATCGGGAAACCGGGGCATTCCTTGATCTTGCATCTAGATCTTTCCCGTGTCCAACCCATTGGTCCCAAAGGGCGTACCCGGTCCCCCTCGGGCTGCACGAACCTGATCTGGGGCCCCGGAGCCGTTGGAAGGGTTTTCCATAGCGAAGCGAGATATTACCGGGACTAGCGGTGTTATTATAGAAGGTCAAGGCGCCCATGTTGTATCGCCATGTACCAGCAGTCTACGTGGGGCCATTCTCAGTTCGCGGGGGCGAGGCTCTCTCTGCAACTGGGGACATTGAAACCTGCACAGTAAGTAAGACCCAGGACACATTCCAAGGTCATTAGTAGGTATAAACACATATCTTCTCTCCTCTCTGAGGTCCTTCCCAAATAAATCTCTGGACGTCTCCAGCCCTAAAATGCTCAAAATCCCAATATTGTTCGACTTCAAAACATCTTTGATCAACACTAACATTTGAAAACAAGCTATTGACCACAAACTCACGACGATAGCTCTATTTAAATGCTTTCTTAATTTTCGTCGTAGCTGGGTGCCGTCAAGAGCCCCTACTGGAATGTATATCTTCCTTACGAACCAAGGATCCGGTCACGATTGAAGAGGTGAGATCCGTGGATTGCCACTCGTCACTTCAAACATGCGTCATTGGAAAAGGTTGAGGTAAGCAACTTGGCTCGACAGCTCAGCTATTTATTGAATCTTTCAAATACTCGAAGGAGCTCTAAGCGAAATCTGTTTCGAAAGAATGGGAGAAAGACTGGATGTCGAACGGGCGCTTGCAAAACCACGTTGTGATGAATTTTTCCACAGCATCGAAACCAAGTTCCGTTCGCCTCATATCCCCAATGACAAATGGTACCTCAGCTAGTTGACCACAAAATCAGAGCCGCATCCAGCAGACCAGTTGTATCTGTACCTGGTCAAAATATCCCACAGCCCCGGCCCGCCAGGCCTTGACCCAACGCATACGCGTGGCTTTGTTAGAAAAAATCGCACTTATTGGGCTGCCAGAGCCCATGGAAGCTTTAAATGCTATCAGCAAGATGGAGTCAGAGGACGACGTGGATCTATCGTTCAGTCGCGACGGCTGGCGCTGTGACGAGGGAAATCATGCGCGCGGCATGGCATGGCTGGAAACGATTTATGCGCACGAAAAGGTCGCCCTATTTGACTCATTCAAAATCTACCGTGAATTTGACTTCCGGGTCTGCGACATTGCCTATGGCTTGCATCTGTCCGATCGGAGCATCTTGAGTGATCTAGATCCGGAGATGACTGCCGATAAGGCAGTCATAGGCCAAGATATACCCCGAGAGATGTACTGACATATTAGAGGAGCCAGACGACTTGGAGTTGCCAAAGAGGCGGAGATGAATGTGCGATTGTTTTTGCGAGGTGGCACGGTTCTGTAGCTCAGAGTTGAACCGAGTACCGGATGTTGGTACAGTCGATGCTGAACTATAGCAGTGGACAACGACTCCGATTCTCTATAGAACGAACTCGCCCAATTCTAGGAAATTTGGAAATTTGGGTTTTAAAGCATTTCCAGAGAAATACAAAAGCCGAAGCCCAGCATGAGGATCGCAAGTTGAATATTTACATTACTTCCCGATTGGGACTAGATTACCTAACACACGTTGCGCCGTCACCGATTCGTGCCGCCTCGAGCCTCTTGTTTATTCATTGCCCCGCGCTTCTTTGCAGTGATTGTACAGTTTCTCTGGCCTTTTGAAGGCCATTTCCTGGCCATTGTGACTTATTCATCAGCGCATTCCGCAGGGTGCGCTCTCTCCACGCCCCCTAGCGGCACGCGTGCCGAGATTCCATCCAGCCCGCCATGTCAAGCACGTCGCGTAGCGAGAGCTCCTCGCCCGATATCCTGGGACCTCCAGGCGATGCCGAATACCTCATATCATCCCCCATCAAGCCATTTGTGGGTCGCCAAAGCTGGCTGTCACCCGCCCCACGTCGCCAACAAACACCGGCCAAGCGACCGCGCGCAACCCTCAGTCCTGCGAAGAGCGCGCATTCGATCCGATTTGATGATGTACTGCTCCCCGGATCGCCTACAATGAAGCTCAATGGACGCCAGAGGTCACTTTCGCCAGAGAAAGGCGAGGACGGCAATGTGAGCCCTTGGCGCATTCGAGTCACTCTCGAGGCGACTCAGGATGAGGAGAACGAAAACCGAGGCAGCCCGGCGCGCAAACGACTACGTCCTTCAACAACTACTACTATGATTCCTTTGAAGGACGAAAGGAGCCCACTGCGAGAGAAGACACCAGCAAGACCACGCGGGCGCCCACGGAAATCAGATGTGCAAGCTAAGAATGGGTCGCCATGGCCTGCTAGCGCAGGAAACACCCCAGGACCAAAAGGTGCAACTCCGCAGAAGAATCCACGGGGGCGACCACGCAAGAGCACGCCGAAGCCGAAGGAGCAAGAAATGCTCGTGGCTGAAGATGAATCAATGCGAGCATCAACGCTATCGCCTGGCCCAAACTTACCGCACTTTAGTCCGATGGACACTGCTTTTGACGACAGAGCCGACTCGCCTCGACAATATACCCCGATGAACCTTGCGACAGATGGTTTGGACAGTGATTCACTCGGAGCCGATGATCTACCTGTCGCCTTCCTTCGCCCGCCAACACCAGCTGTGATTAGGGAAAGCTCGGGCAACGATACTACACATGAAAATACCGGACGCGATTACGGTCGAGCCAGCTACGACACCCCCGTTATTGGATCCGCAGAGCACCACTACCTCGATCATGACGAGAACATACATTCTACACCCTCAAAAATGCCATCACCGACTCGAGAAAGATCCGTTTCATCTATAAGATCTGCGCGTCACGCAGGCAGTATTTCTCCCCAAAGTTACCCTACACCTACGCCTACTTCTTCGCTGGTCGAGGAAGAAATCCAAAATGAGGAACCTCGAGTACAACACCAACCAGTGTCCGATGATCCACCTTCTGAGACGGACCCTACGGACGAGCACGAAGAGTTCGATTCTATCATGGAAAGCGAGGGCTTCACGATGGTCTCTTTGGACACCCTCCCTTCAGCCAAGCAATATGGTCTCTCTAGCGGCAAATCAACAGGCGAATCCTCGAGTGGTCGTATCGGCGACAAGTTAAAGCGACAGTTGCCGGGAGGTATCAATGACCTTCGAAGCGATAGTCATAGTTCAGCCAGGCCGAGTCCAGCTACCATAGGTCCTTCCTCCGCTTCACGTCTTTCACGCGCTCATCTGGAACCGCAACATTCGAACAGACAGAGCCCCCTTGTCAATGTCTCCTATCCAGAACTGCCTGCGATTTCTCCCGAGAAGACACGGGATATATCCGAGTTTGAACATGAATTTTCAACACAAGAAAGACGAGCAGAAGAGGACGTGTATGAAGACTTGGACGCGGAGAACATCAATCTTGGGATGTATAGCGAAAGAGACGTCGAAGAAGATGAAAAAGTCGAGGAAGCTGAGGAGGGAAACTGGGACGACGATGATGAAGTACAAGTTGTCGATCCATCTCCTCGGTTTAGGCAAACCTATTCGCCTCGACCAGGTCACCGGGGCCCGGGAAGAGTCCAGCGGGAGAGCGAATGGGATACCGAACGACAGGCCGTGAGCCGGCAAGCTCGGGATCCGACAAATACCCAACGACTGATCAATATTGAAAGTGATGAGAGTGTCCCCCAGGATGAGGTGGCCATTGGCCAAGATGCATTTGACGCCTATTCACAGTCTGATGTAGAATCTGTTGTGGACGAAGAAGAGCCTTTCGATGAACGACATTTGGAAGAGCCCGTGGAAGAACGTTATGCAATGAAACATCATGTGGAAGAAGTACCTCTTGAACGGGAACCTTTGACAGAGCATCTTGTGGAGGAAGAGGAGGTCATGGACGAAGAGCCTGTGGACGAACTTCAGCCAGAGAGTCCTCGTTATTGGGAACAGGGGCCTACCCCGGAGCGCTCGCGCTTTGCAAACCACGCAGCGGAGATTGAGCCAGAAGTCTATGAGGACGACAATGAGTCTGTCGATATATGGCAGCAAGAGCCTGAACATTCGGAGCCTGAACATTCGGAGCCTGACTACATACCTGAATCGCGTGCCATCAACCGGACAGCCGATATCGAGCAGGAAGCCATGGATGGCGATGACGGAGGCTTTGGCGACATCTGGCAGCAAGAAGCCCGCGACAACAGTTATCTTTCGCAGCACTCGGATGATCGGGAACAAGCTCCGGCAGAGCACAGTACCAGCCCCTGGAGACCATTGGATGGGGTCTACGACAGAGAAGAATACATGAGTTCATCTCCCGCTTATGTGACCATGGATGACGGCAGCACGAAGTATCTTGGACCAACACATGTTCGCAAGCTACGGGATGAGGACGTGGATCTGTCGGCACTGCTGGCGCGGGAAGATACGCCAAATCATGCGCGCTACTACAATGGGACAAGTACTCCCCGAAGTATCTTAAGCCGCCGGTCTGGCCAGCAGCCCCCGTCGATCAACGGGTCCTCTATCAAGTCTGTCTCTTCGCGCAAAACTGGTCAGCGTGTCCGCCTACAGCCAATATCACAGTCTCCAGAAAGGGAATCGGAGCCCGAAGTCAGCTCACCTGCGGTGAGGCACAAGCTGCCACCTCGGCAGCCTCAGCCAGAGGAGGTAGATGAGATCCGCAGCGTTTCCGATGCCGGCCTGCACGAGACTGAATCCATTCAGGCAGGCTCTGCCGCCACCCCCGAACATCCACATCAGCCTAATGGGGAAGCTCCGGGGTCAACCTGGTTTCAGCGAATCACTAGTCTCACCCCCAGGTGGCTGAAAGCCCCTGCTGATTCTCATGACGATAGTTCGAGTGCAGTCTCCGAGAACGAGTCAGAGAATTATTATCACGAGGACCAGGAGGCAATGGACAGCATCGAATCAGCGAAAGAAATTCGTGAGCACCTCGAGTATACGCCTCGTTCAGTTCATTTAGGCGAATCACCACAATCTCTGGACAAATCAGCCCGTTCTCCTCAGCCCGACCCCGAACACACTCCCCGCCCTGTAGAAGAGGAGGATGACGGTGAAGAGGATCTGTTTATTGAGCAAGTTGCTTCAAACCCCACTGCGAAACGCGAGGTGCTTTCCGTGGAAGATTATGACGAAGATGAAGAGGAAGATCTGTTTATTGAGCAGGGGGTGCCCAACCAAAGCGCGAAACGCGCCGCTACAAACCTTACTACCGACGATCCCCATGATCTGTCCGGGCCGCGACCTCTGGCATGTTTCGGATACTTCTCCGACGACCACTATAAAGCCCTTCGGCGCGTCTACCGAATGGCAAAGCGAGACCCAGAGCGCTTCCCATATTATGACGCACCGGGCCGTGCACAGATTATCGGCGATTGGATCTGGACCTCGGACGGCCGTCACGGGGTGCCAATCACCGAAGTACAGTTTGCCATCATCGATCGATTTGTACATGACCTCTCTCGGGCCGATGTACAGTACGGGGGGTCGGGGCAGGTGGATTGGACAGAGGCTGATCTGCATCGGCGTCTGATCAGCATCGTTATTGGGGAGCAGATCCGAGAAGAGCGCAAGGCCAAGGTGACCCGCGGGGTCTCTGTTGATACATGGCGATGAACACAAAGCGCGTTTACTTTTGTTCCTTTCTTTGGCGTATAGTTGGGATGGTGAATATTTGCGATGGAGTTGGTGGTTCTGTATTCATTTTGTTTTTAAGATTCCCTCATGGTCATGGTCATCGGCTTGGGTTTTGTACGGATTGTTTTGTTTATTGCTGCTGCTGTTATGACTTGAATAGTCTGGCGTTATGTACATGGGATGGGACCCCCTCGTCACTGACGCTATACAAATAAATACATCAAACCCCCTGTCAATGTGGATCCTTGGGCACAGCTGCAAAATTCATGCAGCATTATTCCTTGTTTCCCCGATGGTTGACGCCGGAGGCGCAGTGTATGTCCAAGGACGGAGACATACGCATCTAGAGGAACGATCAGATCTATCTTTACAGGTGTCTGTTTGCTGCTAGAGCGACTAAACGGGCAAAACTTGACCCCCGTAGGAAGGAAAGACAGGACTTACGTCGTCAAGATACACGAGAGCAACAGTGGAATGGGCAGCGGTTGAAGTCTCGACCAACTTTGCAGCAATCAACCACTTGGACCAACCAGGGACACCCCAGGGCTCGTGTCTTTCGCATGGCCAGCCAAGCAGAAGACGTATCTGATTTGCATCGGGCTGATCGTCCACTCTCGTGCGAGTTTCATGCACCTTCGTTTTCGTTTCCTGGGATGTTAGCCTGGGCACGAACCAACGGAACACCCCTCCGGGAGATACTCGGGACATTATAAGGGTGGCATAGGCTGCTTAGACGACAATCTATTGTTTTACTTCATCACGCTCTCTACGGCTCTTTTCTATGGAATCATTATCTGCTCCCGGGCTCCAATGTCGGTGATTACTATTGTTCAGCGCGCCCTCCCCTTCTCGCTCCCTTGGAAACGAAGACATTCAACAACCAAGGAGAAGGAATCTGACTCCGAAAGCCCAGACCTGGCCTTCCACGAGGACGAACTTTTCGGCAATCAATTTACCGATTCCCCCGGCACAACGCTGCACTATGACGTCTCCGACGCTGTGCATATAGCGGTGAAGCAGCCCCTGGATGACACGACGAACCCCGATGCGTCTGGTCCTGAATCAAACTCTGACTCGGATTCCGAGCATGAGACTCATCAGTTCTCAGACAATAGCCAGGCCCGCGCACGCGAGCAACTTTGTCGAGCCGTCAGCTGGGCCAGTATCGTCCGCAGTCAATGTCGATGGTCTAGAGAGCAAGAAAGACAGCTCTGGATAGCAGAGAAAGAGCTGAGAAGGTGTCAGAAAGCGTGGAGCTCGGAGCAAGAAGTTTGGCTGGCATATGTACGTCTCCCGTGCTTTATTAGATCGTTATTGAGACAGCAATCCTGGTTCTAACGCCGTTGTCATTTTCGATAAGATCCAAAGTCTGAATGAAGAGAAAGAAGCCCATGAATACTTTGTGCTTATGCGCATGAAGCAGCAGGAGGAGGAGCGGAATCAGTTTCGCAAGTCTTGGAAGCGGCGTCGGTCTGTGGAGAGCGCACCGGAGGAGAAGGAGTATACTCCTCCCATCAGAAGGAACTCTAGTGGACTGAACAGGTTCCGCCCGCTGCCACTATATGGAAAGGTGGTACCTGATCTGGCTAGAGCAGAGTCCACTGCCGTAGCATGTCGGGCATGAGAATCCAAGGTATACGACCGGGTCGGATACGGTAATATATTAAAATATTGAGCACATCTTTCTGCAAGTTTAAACATGTTTCATTTCAATGCTACTCTCTATCTAATCTAATAGTTTGCTTTTTTTTTTGCTGAACTTCTATTTTACCAATTCGAAGTCAAGGTTGCTTCTGTCATTTGAATGTTGACAATTACAAGCGTGCTGTTGGTTGTGTTGTATTGGGAAGCCCAAAATATTATACACGCTTTGGTTTCAAGGCAGATCCTTCTCTGCAACTATCTGGGGTGCCACCGGAATATTTGATGCCTCTCACTTGGCGTGAGGCGTCAGCATGACTGGCATGAATATTATATTTGACAATATTAGTGATCTTACTGTCTTCTTCAAGGAATATCATGTACACTCAAGAATTGATGCTTTTTTTTCTCAAATACGCGTTCATAGAAGACAAGCCTTGGAGTTGTTTCTCGGCAATAGAGCACTGCACTTGACAGCTTCAAAACAACAGCCCTTTTGTCCCTTAGCTCTTCTCAGGATGCGGCCACTTCCGAAAGATATCGGCAACCAGGTCCATCGGCGCAGTCAAAAGCCCTACAGCCGTCCCAAAGGGCGGCCTAATTGGCGCCAAAGGGTGCGATCGAGAAGGTACAAACATCTTCGTTCGATCCAAAGACTTTGTCAACGCCGCGCTATCGGCCTGAGATAACGCATCCTCCAGCGCTGGGAGATCACTGCTCTCTTCCTGCTTGAAATGATATTCCAAGTCATCTAGCAAGGCTTCAAGAGTCGGTGCAAATCGCGGATCTGTCGCCCGGAGTCCCTGAAACGCATTGAGTTGCTCCTTTATCGTTTGGTGCTCGATGCGGCGCTTGTCTGCTTTGTCTTGGCCATCGTCTACGTGTTTGGAGAGGGCTGGGTAGACGACTAACTCTTCACTAACGACGTGTCGTGCTAATTCCCAGGTGAGAAGGGCTTGGTATCTGATTTGCTCGTCTGGATTGGCTGAGTTCAGGATTTTGTGCGCGTGGTCTCTAAGTTCGCGGTGCTCGTCTTGGATGGTAGGAAGGATTCGAGTAGCTGGTGACTGTGTCACTGTTTCACTAGTGTATGTTCGAAGAAGTCGTCTAAGTCGTCTGTGGAATAAACGGTGCTGTTTTGGAGAGGTTGTTACTATGTTTCTGGATGTGGCAGCCCTGAAGGATAGATGGGGCGTGAGTGCATGGGTGCGACCGCTCCGCCGGGCATTTATGAGGTATTTGAACATGGCCAATGGCTTCATTAGATTTTGCTCATCTTACTGAGCATGGGGATTGAGATGGGACTTGTGATAGAAAAACCGGACATCATTTCCGTCTGTCATCATAATGATATCCAGCTCGAATTATACGGCACGTCCAGGGTTTCCGCCACGGAATCTGAATGTCAAAACTTTTCCTTTATTGTCCATATCTTAAAAATCCACATGTTTTCCAATATGGCTCATATCAAGGAAGCTGCTCTAGTTATAATTCCAGTTGACCAAGTGCTTTCCAGATCGACGTTACCGGGACCTGATATTGACATTAATACGGGACCCAGCTGGCGGGCGTCCTCGACTTTTCATTTATATGAGACCGGAATTCACCAAATCATTTCTCGGGAAAAAGGAATCGTAAGAGCCTCCCACTCATCTGCCTTTTGATGATCCTGCTTGTTCCTCTCTTAAGTGCTCGTACCGAGTTCGTCACCGTTATGGCCCGTTTTTTCCTCACTTTTGTCGAATGCCGTCATTGGTCATAACTCTGCTCCCCATTATTATCACTCATATTTTTTGTTGCTTCTTCCATATCTCAGTTGACTAATCAATTAATTCTAGAAACACATTCCCTATTCCGGAGATCATCTTTGATCCTACATTGGTCCTCAGCCCACACGTTTTTTTATTGGGCATGCTCTTTCGCATTGGGGGATTCAAAAGTTTGACGAATGATGGCCGCACGGTGAACTGTCCAGAGAATCTGTATAATCTCCGGGTCTTGGACGGACTTGGTCAGCAGGAATTGAAGTTGAAACCTGAAGTTCTTGATCAATATATCTTTTGTCACGCGTTGCGGGAGCCCAACGGAATACGAATCGCTCTGGACCAAAATCTGTCCGGGGCTTGGCTGCGATACCGAATGAAACGTGGTGGCGAAATCACAGGCTTCGAGGAAGTCACAAAGCCCTACAGCCTCCGATACGGAGCAGCCAAAGCGTTCAATGATAGCCGTGAGTATTATATTGGGACGCTATCTGCACTTGTTAGCTAATATGTATCCCTTCCGCAGCCGATGTGTCTAATGAATTACAAAACGTCATGCTGCAGCATGCCAGTATTGATACCTCTGTTCGGCACTATAGTGTCGGTATTCACGTCGATGCTCAGGCAATTGTTCGGGGTATGCCCGCACAGAAGCAGCTTATGCGTTTTGCCTGCTCGATGAGTCGATCTATCGATCCGCGCAGACCATACAAGCTAGAAGAATCTAGCGCTGTAAATCGGGTTCCACGCGTGGTTGCTTTGGAAGAATTGAAGCAGGCACGAGAATAGGCTCGAGGCATGAAAAAACGTGCATAGCAAAAGAAATGGTCGAAACCGCTATGTTGCCAGTCTTGATGAAACAAGCTCGTTCTACGATCCGAATTACCGTGGACAGCTTACGTCTGATGGGCATCCGCTCTATGTCACTTCCATATGATAAGAGCTGGATGAGCCCTCAATCGTCTTGCCTACGGTAGTTTCGGCATCCTGGAATTGAAACCTAGCGCTCAGGACCTCCCATAATTCTTAGATACCTACTGGCTAGACCTATAGGTGAGCGAGTGCGCTGCAACTGCTTTGGCGGTCGCAATCCTGCTCGATCAATAGCAGTGGCACCAGATAGGCTACGCCGCGAGGTCGCCGTTGACTCAAAGAGTATTAATTACTCCACAGTACGGTCAAGCCATTTAGTTCTGAAGAGGGTTGTACATTGCGTTGTCGTAATCTAAATTGCAACAATGGATACAGTGGTTGGTTGGTTGGTTGGTTGATGTCATTTACCCTGACCCCTCGCAGTTAAAAGCGATATGCAGGCTACAACTACTTTTTCAATACATGCTGATTGATCCCCGAGATTGTTCCAAGCTTCCTGAACGGTGAAATTTGAGCCTCACCTGATAAGGCCTGTCGTGGTCGGTTTGCCGTTCGTGGTGCCGTCATGGCGTGGCTATAATGAGTTCCCAGATAAGGCAGCCAACAGCTGTCTGGTAGCATGAGCCTCCGAGAACCCCCTCCCTGAAGCCATATAAACCAGTTCAAATGAGTTTCGTGGGATCATGAGGGAATTGTCGGTGCTTCGCCACTGTTTACCATCCGTGTGATCTGTGAACATGATGATTCCAATTGTCTAAAATGCCGGAGCTGTCGGCTTCCGTCCTCCCGACAAGCTTAGTCCTGCAGCTTTACGGAGTACTTCGGTTGCAAATGTGGCAATGTCTTGGCGTCACAAGTACGGAGTAGCGGCTTGCACAATTTACGGGAGGCTGAATCTTTTTCTCGGCGAGGCTTTTTTATCAGAGCTACAAGTGTTATTCCGGACGGAGGGCTCCATCCGGAGGACCCAGCGTCTGTTCGCAACCCATACCACTTTGTCTTAATATGCATCAATGGCCATCATGGCCTTTTGACCAATGTAGGTCCTCTTAACTCCATGAGAAGGTCAGCATTATGGAACCAAGGGACCTTGGGCCCATCGACTGCCTCCGGCAAACATTTACATTTACGCGGACCCAACCAACAGTGCTAATTCCATAGGGCTAGATTTCATACTATGCACGGGTCGATCCTCGGCAATCTTCAAGACACCAGGGGCGGAAAGTGGGTCGAGCCCTGGTGATCTCTTAACAACCAATGACCATCACTAATCTTAGCCCTACCCACCCCCGTGGTGTCGCGTACCCACACCGCTCCGGGTGTTGGTCCGCCCATGCTCAACGTAACTTTTACCCTCAACGTAACTTTTACCCTCAACGTTACTTTTGAAGCTATTCATGCCTGTTTCTCCCATTTCTATCTATAAATAATCAGTGTTGTAGTAATATACAGATGAAAGAGGCAATCTACTAGGCGTATCTATAATCTGGGCCCCTTCCACTGCCGGTGTGGGTGTTGAAAGTACGTTTGGAGGTGCCATCTTCCTACCCTTCCGCACGTTTGCCGCATGATCTTTCTCCTTCCTCGTTGTGATATGGCGATTTGCATCTTTTGTCGTAAGTGTACCAAACTTACCTACCTGCTTTAGCGATTTACGTACCTTTGGGCGTGTAGATGGTAGTTGATTCTGTATAGTAGACCGAAGAAGGCTGATCTCTTCTGCTATCTCCACAGCTTGTTTAGAAAGCCGGTCGAGCTACCGGCACGTATACACAGATAAAGCTTCACGGCTAGCCATCCTCGATACCTTCTCTTGCGTACGGCGTGCCTGAGCTGCTGATTGGGGCGGGGAACTCGGTAAACTCGATAAATGAGGCGGCGGCGGAGTATCCCCGGTAGGCCAGTGAAGCTCTGGTGTAGGTGTTCTTGTAGCATTAAGCCAATTAATCACGAGGGCTGGATTAAAGGGGAATATACTACGATCCGCGAATGTCTTCCGTATAGTACGTGAGGTCATAGCCTGCTGTCTTATCGCAGTGATCTCGCGAAAGAAGAAGCTGATATCCTTTGTGTCGCCACCCCACTACGCGATAGTAGTATTCTTCGCCCGGAATCTTTCCTTTAGAGCGCGGAATAAGCTTCTATCAAGAGGCTAAATTATATACGTAGTATACGGAGGGAAGATAAACGGGATAATATTCCTTTGCTCGCAGAAATATAGGAATTCCCACGTAAGGTGTGAGCCGTAGCCATCAAATAGTAATATCCGCGGGCCACCACAAGCGCGTTCACGCGTATGTTCGTCCAAGAATTGAAGCCAGTCAAACGCGAGAGCATCGTTCGAGGATCCCGTCGGTAATATAGCAATCCGTGATACTTCTGAGAGGTTGCCACTATCATACCATCGTTCAAGGTGTACGACACCAGGCGCGACGAAGTATAGCTCTATAAGCCATCCATTAGCCGCCACACACTCAATTCCCGTTAATAAATCACCTCTTTCACCTGATAATAGCCTTATGCGGTGCCGGTTGCGACTAACCACCTTTTGAGGCTTTCCTTGGCCAAGCTGGAAGCTTATTTCGTCGAAATTATATATATTCGAGGGCGGGATACACTTCACGTGAGGCTCTAAACGGTCGTACCAGGCTTGTAGGATGCTAATATCCTCGGCTTCGATTCTCTCTCTCTCCGCTGGCTTCTGCTTCACCCAATAAAGGCCCTCTGGTAGGCGTTTAATAAAGTTATATACCCATATCTTCCCAACTGATGCCGACCCTTAATCTCCAGTTACTTCGATATATCTCTAAATCATCGCATTTGCGCTCGCTTCCACTATACGCGTGGTAGGTGGAACGTGGAGGGCGTCAAGAGTATCGATCCAGCGAATCAACGCTGCTTCCTGGGCTTCATATAAGCGCTTAGTGGTGGCAGGGCGCTGCGTACGAGCTTGACGACCTTAAAGACGCGCCCGTAGGCGTGAGACGGGAACGTTAAATTCACGCGCAAGCGGTGCAATTTTTGCGGGTTTTCGAGCTTTATATGCATCACAAGCGGTCTAGATACGCTGTTCAATAGCAGAATACGACGAATCCATGGTGGAAGGTAGATAAACAGGCATGAATAGCTTCAAAAGTAACGTTGAGGGTAAAAGTTACGTTGAGCATGGGCGGACCAACACCCGGAGCGGTGTGGGTACGCGACACCACGGGACTATTACTTCAGCTTTCCACGGACTTCCACGTAATCTTCGTACGGGTGATGTTATTTACGTATGAAAGTACATGACCATACTGGGCACCTTTGGTATCCAACACTCTCCTCAATAACTGATCTGTGCTCAGGACTTGGCAGTGGGGTCAGAAAAGAGTGATTGAGTGTGTTTGTGTCAAGCCGATTTCGAGAATGACTGTAGTCAACTTGGCACTCTTAGCTCTCCTCTTGGGTCTCTAAGTCCCAGACCAAACAATGCTCGTAAATGCCATGAAAATCATATTACCACGACAATGAACCAAATTAAAGACAAATTTCATACCTATGCATTATATCCACAAGGAAAGTTTCACAAAGGCCATATTAATCCCAACCATTTCCAGCTTCATATATATCAATCAATCAAAAACCAAAGCCCTAACCTCGATACTCTCCCTAGCCCGCGCTTCCGCAGGCGTCCTCTCATCCCAAAACGCAGTATGCGGCACCCACTGAGCCACATCCCCATCTTTCAGCCCCTTCGAATCCGAACACTTCAACAACAGCCTCTCATCACCCGTCATCCCAGACCAATATAACCACTCCTGGCCCGGATTGTACTTAACGCCCATCGTCTCCCCGGTCCGATGCGGATACCGATGCTCAATGGGCACGAGATCCTCGCCGTCCACAGATGCCGCAGAGGCAAATGCCAATGGAGCAGACTGAACCGGTTCAACGGTTAACGGGCGCCAGACGTTAACGATGCGGTAGCGACCTGCAAGTAGCTTTTCTGCTTCTTCAGGATCTTGGATGTGGAGTTTGACTCGATCGGCGGCCGCGCGCGGGGTCTGGTCGACGTGGGCGCGTGTAACGGGTTGGCGGGGAGCCCCGTCTTTTTGGCGTCGGATTGTATGGTCGAAGAGGATGATTTTGCGGGAGCCTGGAATTGTGGAGAGGAGGAGTTGTTCGACCTCTGGGTAGTAGATTGAGCGGACGGAGTCGTCCGAATCGAAGGTTGAGTAGGTCGCTGCGGAGGTGATGTTTTGGAGGGCTTGGAAGGAGTCTTTGTCCAGGTTGTATTGGGATTCGTGGCCGCGGATGTCATTTAGAGTGACTCTGTGCGGGACTTCGGGGTAGTTGCGTGCTGGTTGGCCTGGGGGTGGGGATTCAACGTAGTTATAGGGCGCGCTGTTGTCCGGGGGTGGGGCGTAGAAGGTGAGTTCGGCGGTGGTTGGGCCGCGAGGGATGTAGTCTGAGGATGTGGTGGCGGTGGTCGTTGTGGTCGTCATGGTGGATTGATTTACACTTGACGCTGGAGCTATTTCGTATGCGAAGTATGAAGTATGAAGTATAGAAAATGCGGGGTATGCAAGATGCCCAGTTGACGCTGAAGGATGGTCAGCAGGAGGCGAAAGCACCCTGTATATATAGCCTTCCGAACATGCAAGGAGAAAGTTGAACGTCGAATTAGTGATCAAAACCTAGTCGGCGTAACTCGCGACATTTGTCATCTCGCCGTCATGTCGCCGAGGGCGGAGGAACGGAGATGCAGCCACTCAGCGATGCTGCCAATGATGCGATGGCCCCAGTTCTGCTGTGATCACCTCATTCTGACTTGGTTATTGGTTTTGACTCCAATATTGCCAATAAGATTGAGGGAATACCCGTATAGTTATCCAATCTTAACGGTGCGACTGTGCTTAGCAATCCGTGGCGTCATCCGAAGTTGCCGAGGCTAAAGTATGAAGAAGACCTTAACTTTACTGGGATAGTCTAGAGACGCAATGGATCAAGTCCAGTAGATTATGCTTAAGAAATGAGGGAGAAAAATAGACACGTGAGAATCTGAATCTGAAATGACCGAACGCCTGTTCCCATCCATCGTTGCCACCAAAGTAAAGGAAAGAAAAGAAAAGAAAAGAAAAACAAAAAACCAAGCCCTGGTTTCCGTAATAGACACCGAATTCCTCCCTGTACATACATTGAAACGCCCGGTATGCGTTACCCCATTAGTGGTTCCGGATACGCTTGCTGCTGCGCTCACGCTCCATCCCTGTAGACTGAAACATCTCGGGACCGGGGTGAGGTCGCATAGGCTGCAGGTGCATGCCCACAGATGATGGGAAGTCAGGGTGCAGGGCATTGAAGTGGTCGGGGTTGGGAGGATGGCCATCGACCGGGTCAGAGGGCAGCGGCGCAGCAACCAATTCACAAAGAGACGAATCGATCCAGCCAGCAGGCTTACCATGCAGACGATCGAAGCGTGCGCAATCGTCGTCAACCTCGTCATTGAGGAGGGAGGTAAGTGGAGGCGCGTTGCCATTAGGTCGTGCGTGATAGTTGGACAAGACGTGGTATGGTAGCGCAGGGCGCGACGCGGGCTTGTCGGCCAATTCGGCCAGAGCGCTTAAAGCACTGTGTGCTGCCGTGCCACGAGTGGATCGTGTAACATGGAAGTTCTGGCTTGCCGTGCGGATCATGTCTGCCGTAGGAGTACCGTTATCCTCATGCCCGGTAATTTCGGGGGTATCATCCGCGTCGGTATTGTTGCCGTTGGTCACGGCACCGGAACCCTGGTCTGCGCGCTTGGAAGTAGAGAAAAAATGCACGGTGGCGACATGCGCGTGGTTTGCGTGAGCGCTTAGCTCTTTATCCGTGAACAGTGAGTGCATCGAGTAAGTAGGCGCAGTCTGCTGAGCAAGATATTGCTTCTGGCGCTCAGCCGGGGTTGTGCCACCTGTGTCCCGCACGGGTGAGCCCGTGTCCTCCTCTGGCGCCTTGCGCTTGCGCTTGTTCAATTCCGAAACAATGCCATTGCCGAGTTCATCCAGATCCACCCGGTGCCGTGTATGACGAGTCTTTCGGTTGCTGTGAAGGCCACCAGGACTGGCTGGGTTGGTAATGCTGAACTGATTGGGATGGAGAAGCAGTGCATTGGTATCCGCGATATCGAGTTGTTCCTTCTCGCGCATCAGACGGGACCGTTTGCTCGAAATGCTCTGCATCAATCGTTCGCGTAAGGTTGTCGACAATTGGTTAAATTCTTCTTTAGCAAAATGCTGGCGGAAATCGTACTCGCGGCGGTGTCGCTCGAGGCTATTTTGGTGTCGGCCCTGTGAACGTAGACGGTCAGTATGAAATATTTGATACAGTGATGAGAAAAAGAGTGGAAATACCATAATCTGAGCCAAATCTGCATCGCGCTGCTCCTTGACATTGTTCACCTCCTGCACAAACTTGGCGTACCATGTACCAGACAAGCTTGCCATCTCCTTAGCAAACTTGCCACCACCAACAGTATCTTCAATTAGCTGCGCGACATCTTCAGAAGAATCTGGCAGTGGGCCGGTTTGGTAAGGGTCGGCATTGTTAATGAGGGTCATATCGCATTGCAGGGAATGAAGCTGCTGGCGAAACTGGGCGTCGCGATTCTGACTAAAGGTAGCAGTCAAATCGTGAAGACGCTCCTGAAGTGCAGACCGACGTTTGTCACGTTTTGAAAGTGTTCCAGCACCACCGTTGGGACTATTAGAACGGCCTCTAGAGTGTAATCCGCCATGGTAGGCGGGCCCAGCGCCGGGCGACTGGGGCCCTGGGGAGTATGCCATGGGTTCGAGGAATGGTGATTATAAAATAGATGATATGGAAGAGCGACGGATGTAGTTGCAGTGTAAAAGTACAAAGACTAACATCAAGACGAATAGAGTAGGAGAGGAAACAACTCGTCGTAAGAAAAGCGGCGCTGGAGCATTGTCCCCCGATGCGGTTTAGGGTCGGCTCTACTTTTCACCGGCCCGAAGCATAGAGTGGTCATCAATCATCGGAGTGAATGGCAGAAATAGAAGCTGGAGGCTTTTACGGGGAAACAGTGATAGTTTTTTAACTAAGATAGTTCTGACGTTGAATTACGACGTCCAAGTAGTGTATCTAATGACTCCTTACGGCCTCGCGGGCAGAACGGCTTAATCTACAGTCGGACGAACGGAGAATTCTGCAAATAAGCCTAAACAGGTAGTGTTGATTTATCTACCTGAGCATACTAATGAGTTATTTACACACTTCCGGGAATAAAATGGGAAAAAGAAAAAGCTAGAGAACGAGAACTCTAGGAGGTATAGACGAACAAATTATTGGGGCCCATCTGCAAAATGTTCTTAGTCCGGCTATCCCGACGCCTCAAGACTTCTGGTAATCCCCTGGATATCGATAGCCTCCTGATGACGAAGACGTCGCAACACGATTGAGGTCTATCGAATCTGGTCTCCACAGACTATAGTATTTTGTTGAGCTTATCCTTTCTCTACACACGCTATCGAAGTTGCACATGTGAGGTCTCACCAACAATCAAACTTTCCACCATGTACCTACGTATGTACGCCGGGCCAAGGCCATCTGCAGGACAACAGTGCCGCTGTCAGGATCATAAAACCATCAATGCAAAGAGAGCCCACTCCGGTGACCGGATCCACCCCCTTATCAACATGACCGAAGAGTCGGTCAAGCAATGGTGCCTGATGCTGCCTTATGGTCTGACGGCATTATCACCTTGGGGCACCCAACCTACAATTCACTATTTCGGATTTTACTTCACTCTCGATTCTCAGAAACTGTATACATTGAACCTGCTCATTGTATATATTTATATCCATCTCCATCGAGAAATCAAAAAAAAAAAGAGAATTATCATCTCGCCAAATAAGAACCAACATCATGGGTATTCACGTTCATTTACCATCCGGCCGACGCAGTATGCATAGCGCGCAATCACGGCCGAAATATAAGAAAACCAAAAAAGATCGAGCCAACTCCGGGGACCCAACGCTAGGGTCCCATATGACATCGTTGCAGCGGGCTGCGAGAACCATCTTTAAAAAGCGGTATGGTGTGGAAAGGAGGGTGTATAGAAGGGAAGATATCGAGGGGAATAAGGTCAGTGTGTTCGACGGATGACGAAGACACCTAGTTCGACACCGTCGCGAGGCTCGCCTTCGCCGTACGGTCGCCTGCGGATGCCGTCGAAGATCTCGCTGAGAAGCATGGCGGAGGAGACTTCCTTATCTCCCATCATGGCGCCGGGTCCTCCAGAGGACACGGCCTTGTTGGGTGGGACGCGACGGCCGTTCTGCCAGTAAAGATTGAGGACTTCCTTCATGCGAGCCTTCTCCTGGTGGATGAACCATTCTACCCAGGTGTTGCGGTCTAGGTGGGCGCTTGCCTTGCCGGCATCGGCGACCTCGAACTTGGAGGAGGGCGAGCTGAGGGATTCACAGAGGGCTGCGATGTTGGCTTTCATCGTTGCGAAGTCGTCCATCTGCGAGACTGTTGACAGCTTTCCCAGGAAGCGACCGACATCAGCGGACAGTCCGTTTACCACGACGAGCTGGCGGAGTAACGGGTCGAGGATGGGGCCCAGATATTGTGACTTGAAGGTCGAGGCACCCTTTTTGGTTGGGTAGGTGAAGAGGAGGGAGCCTCCGTTGGGGGACAGCTCGCAGAGCCGGTCGACGAGGAAGGACGGTCGGGTAGGGCAGAAGAGGTCTCTGTACTCTTGGGCGGATGGAGGTGGAAGATATCGCTCAAGAACGGAAATGTGAACGCTGTGGGGAGGGACAACGGGCATGGGGGCGTGGGAGAGTTGTCGTTGAAGCGGACCACGGAAGTCGTGGTACGCCCCGACGACTGCGGCACTGGAAAAGACGGTCGCATTGAAATAGTCGTCTGCGGCGGTCGGCGAGCGTGGAGTGCTGGGAGGAGAATGAGGCAGGTTTGAGAGGCTAAATTGTTCGGGCACGGCGTGTGTGACATTGATATAGGGCGACTGGCCGGGCTGGAGGTGGTTGTGCACGGCTCGGACGATGGAGCAGAAGATGCTGCCGTTTCTCGGCAGCGATATCGACTGGTCGGCCGTCTGCGGGTAAGGGAGTGTCTGTGAGACGATTTTGACGGCGTCTCCTCGTGGATTGGAAATTGCTAATGATGATACTGTGGCCAAGTTAGTAGACCGAACGGAGGCCAGTGTGAGAATGTCGCTTACCAGTCACATTGATTCCTTGATCCAACCACGATCCCACGTCTTGCTGACAATCCATCTCGTCATGCGGACCAGGGCTTCCTCCAGAGCTGGACGAGCCATGGGAGAGACCGTCGGACGGGCTGCTAAGGGTGTCTGATGGGCCCGTGGTGGGGGAGGTGTCAACGCCCGGACCATCATCCATCATGGTTGAAGAACCGGGTTCCCGGTGCGGTTGCTGATCGTACAACAACATCTTAGACTTCGGATTCCACGCAA